TAAATAAATAAATAAATAAATAAATAAATAAGTAGAAACGCGCCCCCCCCCCCCCCCCAAAAAAAAGAATGGCTACAGAGGCCTCCCTCGTGTTCCCGTCTTGCCAATGTCCCGTTTTGTTTGTGTCCTAGCCTCTTTTTTATTTTGGAGATAGGGTCTCATTGTGTGGCTCAGTTTTTAGTTAAGAATTCATCAGATTTTAAGCAATGGTGCTAAGTCTAGTCCTGCACACCGTGTGGCTGGGAAGGAGGTGCCAGGACAGGGTATCACTGGTCATTCCCGGTGGCCAGAGACAGTTGTGGTCAGGGACCACAGAAATGTGGTTGCTATTTAGTGTGTGTCCTGTGTCAAGGCAGGAGATTGTGTGGCATGTCCACTAAGCTGGCTGTGAGGTGTGGTGATGTCTAGCTTGTCCTCTGTTACGTTCTAGGTTTAGCCTTGTGTTGGGTGTAGGACAGTGTTAGCACATCCGGTTTTTGTGGTAACTTACTATATATATTGAGTGGCTTTCTTGTGGCTCTGATGTTTCGAAACCTGAGCTGTGTCTCCCAGGGCTAAGGCCAGGCTGCCAGCAGGGCTGCCTTGTGCTGGAGGCTCTGGGGAGTCCACTTCCTGGAGTCCACTTCCTGTCCTCTTCCAGCCTCTGGAGGCCTGCCTTCTGCATCTCACAGTCCTTTCTCTGTCTTCCCAGCTGCCTCCATGGTCCCACCTCTGCCTGACCCTCTGCTCTGGCTGTGGCACTGTTCGTGGCACCATGGGGCTTCTCACATGCAGGCTGCATGCCACCCAGGGCTTTGCTTAGCCACACCACCACCAGGCTCTGGGAACAAGGACTCTTGTTCTTGGTTGAGGGACATACAGCACTGGACAGACCCACTCACAGTCCCTGTTTGTAATTCATCGTGCTGCTTCTGGCCAGTGTCCTGGGACAGGTCCCTACTCTTGGCATTACCTACCCTCCCTCCCTCCCTCCCTCCTCCTTTTTTTGAGACAGGGTTTCCTGTGTAGCCCTTGTTGACCTGGAACTAGCTTTGTAGTCCAGGCTCTGGCCCCAGACTCACAGAGATCTGCTTGCCTCTGCCCCCCAAGTGCTTGGATAAAAGGTGTGCTCAATGCCCGGTGGTATTTACATTTCTTTAAAATGAAAGTTACAGAAAACTAAAATCTACAATTTTTAGCCTGAGAGTACAAAATAGGTCATTACTAACTCGTGTTCCATGTTGGAAGCTGCTCTATGATGCAGGGTACAGGTCCCATCACATGACCATCCCAAGGGCTGTGTTCAGGGTAAGGCATCTGGCACATGCTGGTCTTTTTTTTTTTTTTTTTAAATAACAGTTTCAGCTATATGTGTGTGTGCACACATGTGCGAATGTGTGGTGGTTGTAAGGCACCAGGTAGGTGTGGGGAACTGAACCAGGGTCATTCGCAAGAGTAGTAAGTACTCTTAACCACTTGAAGCTTCAGTCTCCTGTTTCAGCACCTGCGTTATGGGGATGCACCACCCACAGACGGTGTTGGGGATTTATACCCAGCTAACCACTTCTATTTCAAACCATCAGTCTGAGTTGATGGAAGTGCATGCTACCTTAGGTCCTATCCTGTTTATAAGGAAATCCACTTTTTTACTTTATGTGTGTGAGTATTTTGCTTGTATGTTGTCTGTGTACTGTGTGTGTACCTGGCGTCTGTGGAGTCCAGAAAAGGGTGTTGGATTCCTCTGGATCTGGTGCTGGGATTCAAACCTGGGTCCTCGGGAAGAGCAGTCAGTGACTGCAACCACTGAGCCTTGCCTCCAACACCTATATCTTTGGCAAGGCAGTTGTCTGTTTTTCTGGAATGTGGTAGACATTCAGTATGTGTGTGCAGTTGTGTGCAGCGGCTGACTGTTAGATGAGCGCCAGGGCGCCCGGCAGACCTGTCACTGCGGAATTGCTTGTTGATTTGGATAGGGCACTCCGTATCCTCTGCTCGCTGCTGTGAAGTATCCCATTCATTGCTGCCCACCCTAGCTTTTCTGCTCCACTCCAGACTATTAAGATTTATTTCTCCCTTCCCACTTCCCAGCCTCTGGTAGACACCGCTTTTCTCTCTACTTCTTTGAGATCAACTTTATTTATTTTGTTTTTGAGAGTTTCTCTGTGTAGCCCTTGCTGTTCTGGAACTCACTATGCAGACTAGACTTCTTTTAACACAGAGATCCGCCTGTCTCTGTCTCCAGAGTGCTGGGATTAAAGGTGTGCGCCACCACTGCTCAGTATGATCAATTAAAAAAAACCAAACTTACGTGTTTATTTTACACATGGATTATGTGGGGACTATGTGGACTTCGGAGGACAACTTGTGGAAGTTGTTTCTTTCCACCCTGAAGGTTTGGGAGTAGAGCTCAGTCATGGTGGCAGGCACCATCTTGCCCCCATATGCAGGTCACCACACGTGAAATTTGCCTTTTGGTACCTGAATCTCTACACCTAACAACACAATGACCTCCACTTCCATCTGTGGTGCTGCAGATGACAGTTTCATTCTTGTCTCTGGCTAGATAATATTCCATGTACACTTCCTCTGTTTGTCCACAAGACCCCAGTTGACTGTGCGTCTTGGCTGTTGTGAATGGGGTTGCACAATCCTCACACGCTGTCCTCACATCTTGGCATGTGTGCTCAGGAGTGGCACTGCTGGAGCACTCACATTATGAGTGCTCTGTGACCCTCTGTGCTCTTCCTTGGTACCCCTTTGCACATCTCCAACATTTGTGGGGGGTTTTCCCCTTTGTGGTTTTTTTTTTTTTTTTTTTTTTTTTTCAGGACAGGGTTTCTCTGTAGCAGCTCTGGCTGACCTGGAACTCACTCTGTAAACCAGGCTGGGCTCAAACTCACAGATATCCCCTTGCCTCTCCTCCTAAGTGCTGGGATTAAAGGCGTGCGCCACCACCTTCTGTCCTTTTGGTACTTAGCAACTGTGACTGGGGTGAGATGGTGTCTCATAGCGGTTTTGAAATGCATTTCCCACTTCATGGAGAGTTGTGAGTCAACATATACTTGAGGTCCTGTGAAGTGCTGGTTATTCTGAAGTGGCTTAAATCCAGGTTCCTCTCTTATAGGGCTTGTGGTCCATCCTGAGGGAAGGATGCTCTTGCTAGGGCAGAGCGGACTCAGCCATTGAGGTTTAGAGGAGGGAGATCCACAGACAAAGAAAGGGATGTGTCAGCTCCCCTCCTGATGCATAAAACTAATCCTACGCAGGCCATGGAGCTGAGAGGCTCACTGGTCTTGGGCCAGGTGTTGTCTAGGTTCTGTGTGCACAGGTGCCATGGTGTGCATATGGAGGTCAGAACAACTTCCAGAGCTGCATTTGTCCTGCCACTGTGGGTTCTGGGCATCAGGCCTTCAGCAGATGACTTTACTCACTAGGCTGTCTCTGCAGCTCCCCCATGCATTTCTTAAGGGCGTTTCCTGGGTGTGCTCACCCACTCTCACAGCACCCGGCCAGTCTCAGGTATATCGAGTGTTGGCTAATGGAATGAAGGTGGTAAAAGCTGGTTCGTGCCAGAGCTGATGCCTGTGCAAAGGATGTATGTGTTGGGTCTGCACAGATGTGATGTCAGTGGCTCTGTCTGACGTCTGTTTTGGTGCCTGTTGTAATCGATTGTTGCTCCCTGTGCTTTGTAGTCTAAGGTCACGTTGTAGACGTCTGTCTTAAACATTGTCCTATTGGATGCAAAATGCCTGCCAGATACACTGATGTGTTCTAGCCTGAGTAGCTTCGGGACAGAATCACAGAGTGGCACACCTCACTATGACATCTGCCTCCTAGTCACCTGTGGGGTGTTTACCCACCAACCCCACAGCTCCCCAGAGTTTTCTTGAGTGCGAGCAGCAGGAAATATTACATAGAAGGATTTAGATTGCGGAGATAAACAGATAGAAAATAAAGGATAGCCCCGAGAGGGCCTGGAACCTATTCCAACCAGCCCTGACTGTCTCTGCCCCAGGGTATTTATAGAGACGCCAAGGGGTGGAGCAAAAGACCTCCTCCCCCAGCACAGCCAAGTGCAGACCATGTCAGACACCTGCACTCAGGCCCATGGTCCTAGTCATCCTCTCGATGCAGATCTGCTGAGTAAAGAAAGCCATGAGGAACCCGAAAACGGGCTCCCACAGTCACCTTGTATTAATGGCCCTGTGAGCAGTGGACTTGCTTCCAGTGTTCGGAAGCCATAGTGCCTTGTACACGCTTCAGGTTCAGCATCTCTAGTCAAGGCTGCGTGTGGAGTAGAAGGTGGTGAAGGTCAGTCTTGGTCTTAGTTTCATTGAGCACAGAGCTCACTAATAATACCGGAGGGGCACTTAGTGTTGGAAGGAAGGGATTCGTGAAGTAACGGCAGACAAGGAGAAAGGAAAGGGTGGAAGCTTTCTTCCAGGCTTCGAGGTGTGTCCGAGTGGAGAGGATTGCTGGTGCAGTCTCTCACCCCCACCCCGCTCTGTTGCACAGCTGCTGTTCTCCAGGTGCTGGCTCCTGACCTGACGGAGCCTGTACTTGGATTTCCCTTGGTGGGGTTTGCTCCACCCCTCCCTCACCCCACCCCCACCCGACTCGGCACCCGTGGTTCACCCGTGGCTCACCCGTGGCTCGAGGGGGCCGTGCACCTCCGTCGGTCTCTTTTGCTGCCTTTTTGTATGAGCTAGAAGTCAGGAGTGTTGTTTTCTGTCTTGGAGAGTTGTCCTTGACTTGGAGAGCGACCGAGTGTGTCAAAATCTATTTATAGAATGGCCGTGGCAGCAGACTCCAGTGTGTCTCATCAGCAGGTCATTAATGGGGGTGGGGTAGCCCAGGCCATCTGCAGAGCCAGCTACCTGGAGTGAGCACCTGTGGGTAAATGCTGAGGGCATTTTCTTTGGGACAGTCCATGACTGTCTTTACATCTTAGTGATTCCTGTAGGATTTGCTCCTCTGAATTGGGGGACTGGTGACTGATCCCCCTCTTTTCCATTCCAAAGGCAAATCGGGAGCGGTGCCGAGAAAAATTTCCTTACTAGATGACATTTCATCGCAATGTCCGATCGTTTGGGGCAAATAACCCAGGGCAAGGATGGGAAAAGCAAGTACTCGACTCTCAGCCTGTTTGACAAGTATAAAGGAAGATCAGTAGGCGCGGTCAGATCCTCAGGTAAGGCCCGGCCAAAGGCCCCTCTTACGCTTCCTTTTCCTGTAAGGTGACCAGACACCTGGCCGGGCAGCTGTGTCCCTGTAGGCTGTCAGCGGGGCTGCTGGGTGGAATAACACACACAGCATTTGCGCATCCTTCCCTTTTAGTTTCCTGGTTCTGACTTTGTGGAACCTGGTGGAACAAGTTCAGGAAGGACTTGTTACCACCCACACGGCCTTCCTGGGGGTTCTTGGGTCGTAGCCAGGCCATCTCAGGGTGCCTGGGTGGTCACTGTGGGCTGAGCTTCCTGGTCCTGGCTCCTCCCTCCCTGACATGAGCCCACCCCCCTCCCCACCCCCCACCCCGCCTCAGTAGAATGAGAGTCTGTGCAGATCCGGCCGCCTTTGTCTCTGCAGTCTGGGGAGGAGCTGGCAGGGCTGGAGTGACTGCCAGGCACTTGTCTTTGCTTGGCTTTGTCTTTCTCACTTGGAGGCTGAGCAGTGGTGCGAACTGGCCTCTTTCCTCCTGTGAGGTGTGTGTTCTGTCCCGTGCACTTTCCCTACAGTTATTCCTAGACATGGCTTACAGAGTCTCGGGAAAGTTGCCACAGCCCGGCGTATGCCACCACCTGCAAACCTGCCAAGCCTGAAGTCTGAAAACAAAGGAAACGACCCCAACATCGTGATAGTACCCAAGGACGGGACAGGATGGGCCAACAAGCAGGACCAGCAAGACCCAAAGAGGTGAGTAGCAGGAAGGTGATGACCAGGCCGAGGAGGGCGGGTGTGCATCAAGGCTCTTTGCATCTTCTGCTCTGTAGGAGGCGAGTCTGGCCTGGGGGGGCGGAGCTGGGAGTAAGAAGTATGGCCGGCTTCTCTTTGACTGTGTGCATTTTGCTGCTTCCTTTGTGTGGCTGGGCCTTTGAGCTGATGAGTAGCCTTTCTCTGGATAGCCATACCCCCCAAGGGAGTGTGTGCAGTGATTCAGACCTCCCCAGAGAGCCACTGGGTTGGGGCTGGGGCCCTGTGTGCTCCATGTTGGGAGAATGTAGCTTGGCAGCCGCAGCCTTAGGAGACTCAAGTCCTGAGCCATGTGTCTCTAGAGAGACAGCTGGGCGCTTGAGCTGCACGAGCCCTCAGATGATGAGACTTCTTTGATCTCTGAGCCTCTGCATGTCTTGATCTCTTCTTCTTGGGGAGGGAGCCATGGCCAGGCAGGGGGAGCTCCAGAGGTGGGAGCCTCCTGCTGGAGCTTGCTGCTGAGTGTGAAAACCAAGGCTGTCCGGCTTCCCTCACCCTCACCCTTGCGTTTGTTGTGGTCCCTTCCTGCTGACATAGGGAACTAGACAGTGAGAGTCACCCAGCATGCACCCTGCCATCCAGCCCCCCATCTTTCAGGCTTGTGCTGGATATGGCAGCTTTGGGAAGGCTGTCCCTGCAGTATGGCAAAGAGGAGGTGTAGTGTGAGGGAACCATGCCACCAGTTGATATGCTGTGGGAGTGTTTGAAATGGGTCCTGAGCTATTTAAACGATTTGCAGCCAAGGATGGTGGTGCACACCTTTAACCCCAGCGCTTGGGGAGTAGATAGAGACAGGCAGGTCTCTGATTTCAAGACCAACCTGGTCGACATGGTGAATTCCACGTCAGTCAGTGCTAAAAGGAGAGACTCTGTCTCAAACAAAACAATGTTTTGCAGGCAGTTTGTGAGGGTGCTGTTAATTGACAGATAGAACCCGATCTTCAGATTTGGCCTTGTGTGCTGTTTCCAGTCAGACCATTTGTGGCTTGTTGGGACTTGGAGGGATAGTTCACTTCTGAGCCCCAGGGTCCCGCCTTCAAGGAGGAATAGTCCCTAGCTCCAGGGGTGGTCACCAGGGCATTGTGGTGCACCCATGGGATAATAACTTGCCATAGAGGGCCTGGCACACGTTAGCTGTTTTTACCATCCACCAGCTCTTCGATGAAGCAGCTGTGGTACAGTTCAGTGGAAGCTCTGCCTCTACTTCCAAAAGCTGCAGAGAGGCCAGAAAGTGCTGCCCCTCCTCCTCAGTCTCACAGCAGTGGCAGAGGCAGTCCCAGACACCCCTGTGAAGGCCACCTGCCGGGAGGAAGTGAAGAGGGAGCAGTCCAGGAGGCTCCCCATTGCCCTGGCCTGGCCTCCTGTGGGGGGACTTGGAGGCTAGGTTTGGGGACGCAGAGGTGCCACTACCTGGAAGCTTCTGTTTTAGGTTAGAAGGTGATGTGAGAGGACCAGTGGCCTTCAGTTTGTCATTCTCGTGACTGGTGAGTGACGGGTCAGGTGAACTTGGAGCAGTGTGTCTGTGGAGTTTGACCATCAGATGAGCCCCTGGCAACCTCTGCTCCTCACTAAGTGGGCGGCTACCTTGTCCAAGGCTGTCAAGTGCAAGGCTCTGAGGCAGAGCGGAAGGCTCCACACACCCTTCCTAATTCCTCTCAGTCAGGTGGGGCACACACTGCGGCCTATGTAAAGGCAGCTGGTGATAGCTTTTAAGTTTCAAGAACTCTTGGTCCGACAGCTTCATCCATATGTCGTATGACTTTGGTAACAGAGAGTGCCCAAAGACCTGTGTGTGTGTAAAATGTTTGTGGCCGTTCTCTGTAATGGGGAAGGAAGAGGAACAGAAACTGATGAACTATGGCTCATCCAACTGCAGTTACTCATCATTAAAGCTAGTTCTATGTGTAAAGAGCTCCAGTAGACTGAAAAAAGAGATTGTGGAGTCGTACATATACACAGGGCAATCTTGTGTTAAAAATATCATATGAACATGTGAATAGGAAAATCTATGGAAATTGAAGCTTATGCCTGGGAAATGAATGGTTATGATTGTTATTTATACTTATAAATTTTTATTTTATTGAGAGCATGCATTTCTTTTATGCACTGAAGCATGGTAGAAGTCCATTGAGTCTCAAAGCGGGGCAACCTGGTCAGGAATGGAGTTCAGGCCCCTCACACCAGTGACTCAGTTTCTCCTTTTATTGCTTCTTCAAGTTCATGTGACAGCTGTTGGAGGCAAGCAGCAGACTGCCCCATGTCCTGGGCAGTGTCGTTGCATCACAGGACGTGGGTCACCGCCTTGTGGGTGTCCCTGCTGTGGCAGGCAGGTGCCCTGGGTGGAGTCTGACCCAGTCTGCATCCCGCTCTCTTCCAGTTCCAGTGTGACAGGCTCTCAGCCGCCGGAGTCGCAGCCGCAGCCGGCTTTGCAGAAATCTGTCTCCAATTTGCAGAAGCCGACACAGTCAATCAGTCAGGAGGTAGGTGCTGGGGACCGTGCCCTGACTTGCTGAGGCCTGGTGGGTGCTGCTTGGGTGACAGAGTTGAGCACAGGCTTTCGTTTGCCTGGGTGAGATTGAGTTGTCTTGAGCAGGTCGGTCACTTGGGCTGACTCCAGGCTGGTGCCCTGTGGACACTAGTGTCATGACAGTACAGGAAGTGCCGTCAGGCCACAGAGATGCCCTGTTGTCTGGTGAGTTTGAAGACACAGCGGCTGACTGTGGTGCCCCACACTTTTTCTTTTCTTTCTTTCTTGCTTTTTTTGTTTTTGGTTTTTTTGTTTTGTTTTGTTTTTCGAGACAGGGTTTCTCTGTGTAGCTTTGGTGCCTGTCCTGGAACTCACTCTGTAGACCAGGCTGGCCTTGAACTTACAGAGATCCGCCTGCCTCTGCCTCCCGAGTGCTGGGATTAAAGGTGTGTGCATTGCCACCCAGTTCCTTTTTTTTTTTTTTTTTTTGAGACAAGGTCTTACTGTGTAGCCCTGGCTGGCCTGGAACTGGCCATGCAGACCAGGCTGGTCTCAGGCTCACAGAGCCATCTGCCTCTGCCTTGCTTTTGTTGGGATTAAAGACAAGTGCCACCACGCCTACAGCCCTCAGCCACTGCCTTGACACCTTAGTTGTGTCTTGTCTCCTGGATTATACAGTGCTGTCATCTGCTGTGACTGGAAGCGTGTGTGTCAGAAGAGCCCGTGGCTTCTCCGGGACACCGTCCTCTCCAGCACTAAAGATCCCTGTTTCCATCAGATTCCATACATACTGGCCGCAGTCCCTTGGGCCTGTGACATCACATGTGGAGTTGAATTCTTTTTCTTTCCCAGATTTAAAGCCAAGGGGGATTATAACTCCTGGTGTTTCAGATTTAGCCATGTAGAGCTTGGTAAACACACTTGTGCTCTAGCCCTGGCTCTGGAACCTGGATAGGGTCCTGGGCACCTCTGTAAGAAGGATGTGGGCCAGAACCAGGGAGGCTACATAGTAGGGGGGACCCTAGGATGACTGTGGCTTATAATAAGTTTTGGTTTTACTCAATCACTGGGCAAGCCTCAGTGAAACATTTCACTAATAGGATAAGAATTTGTACTGTATCAAGCTGATAATAGAAAAAATTAATTAATTAATTTTAAAAAAGAAAAAAGGGAGCCGGGCGGTGGTGGCACACGCCTTTAATCCCAGCACTCGGGAGGCAGAGCCAGGCGGATCTCTGCGAGTTCGAGGCCAGCCTGGGCTACCAAGTGAGTTCCAGGAAAGGCGCAAAGCTACACAGAGAAACCCTGTCTCGAAAAACCAAAAAAAAAGAAAAGAAAAAGAAAAAAGGGTGTGGGCTTCGGCAGTTTTGGCCAGTGGAGGAAGGAGTCTGTCCCACATGGGTCATTTGTCTAGCACTCAACTCTTCTTAGAGACTGGAGTTTTCTCTCTAACTTGGGAAGGGAGAGGGATACCTTACAACGTTACTTTTTAAAGGTCTTGGGAGTTACAGTCCACTGCTTTTGAAATAGAAATCACCAGCATGATTGACATCCCTCCATTAATGTTCCTGGTATGGGCTGTGTAATCCCAGGTCTATTGACATGGGTGAGGTGTGTTGGGGGAGGGAAGGGCACCACCCTGGTGCCCCTCTGCTTACAAGAGGTCCTACAGGCCCAGCTATATGCCCTACTGCCCTTTGGGCATGTCCTGTGTGGTCAGGAGACCTCTGCAGACTTGGCGCAGACACAGGCAGGCAGACATTTTCTTCATGGGAGCGGTGGGTAAGCCTGGGTCCCGTCACGAGTGCCATGTCTATGTACTCATTCTCGAATCCCATTTGGGTTCTGACCAGACCCTTCTAGAGGCAGGGTGGGATTTCACTTGATCCACAGGTTGCTAGCCTCATGAACTTTCAGCAAAGGCTTCTTTCTCTAGCAGGCCCGAGACTGAGGCAGGCAAGGGTGGATGAGTAGAAGAGACAGGCCTCTCAGGGGAGTCAGGCTGTAAAAACCACCAGTTGTTACATGGTCGGGCATGTTAGGTTTCTTGTGCGTGTTCCTCAGTTTATCCCTGGCACAGATTGAGACATGTGCTGAAATTGAGGTTGGAGCTTTGTCTCTGGAGCAAGACAACACAGCTCTGTGTGGGCATGGGACAGCCTGGCAATGTTTGCAGAGTTCGCCGTGAGGGCGGGTGTGGGTTGGGTCTTCTGTGTGTGCTCATCAGCTCTGCTGCTCTGGGCCCCAAGCTCCTGACTCTGCCTGGGACTGCTATTCCTAGAGCCCCGAAAGAGGCCATCTGTCCTCGGCAGGAGGCTTCAGTCTAAAATGCAACCCTCACCCCACCCTCTGTTCACTTTGTGGTACTGGGGTGGAACCTGGGGCCCCCAGCTTGGAGTGCCACATCCCAAGGCGCTCGCGGCGCAGCAGGTTAGCTGAGCTGGTTCTCCTTGTTTCCTTCCTCTCAGAACACAAGTTCAGTGCCAGGTGGACCAAAGTCATGGGCACAGCTGAGTGGAAAGCCAGTCGGACACGACGGTGGTAAGTGGGCACGGGTGGCATGGGTGGGCTGTTAGAAATGTTCGCTTGGGCTGGGCAGAAGAACCCCAACTCTGGCCCTGATGGTCCTCCAGGAGCTATGCTGCTGGGGAGTAAATACTGCCAGCGTCCCGTTGCCCCCTCCCGCCCCCCGCCCCCCGCCCCCCTGTCCCTGACACTACCTGTCCCTGCCGTGGCACCGCCCCAGTGCAGGGAGCAGCTGCTTGCCGTCATTCACCCAGAGCCTTTGGAGGATTGGGTGGAATTGGTTACTGTGAGTATCCTGCCAGGCAGTAAGATCTGAAAAGGTCGTCAGTCCACTGTGTGGAGCTGTTCGCGAAAGCGAAGGTGGAAGTGGGATGCTCTGCAGGATGAAGCGTTCAGAGTAGTCCAGTAGCTCCCAAGGCAAGGTCTGACTGGGTGAAGTAGTTTCGGGGAGTCCTGTGCAGATGGGCACAGTCCCTGCAGCTCTGGAGGAGCTGAGCCCAGAGTCAGCAGGTAGGGGTTTTTTTGTTTATTTTTTTAAGATATATATATATTTTTATGTCTTATGGATGTTTTTTCTGTACAACAGAAGAGGTCATCTGATCCTACGAGACTGGTTACAGATGGTTGTGAGCTACTGTGTGGGTCCTGGGAATTGAACTCAGGACCTCTGAAAGAGCTGCCACCTCTAGCCACCAGCAGGTGGTTTTGAGAGCACCAGGAATTGAGATTTTTCTTTTCTTTTCTTTTTTTCTTTTTTTCCCCCCATTTTATTTATTTTTCTATTATCAGCTTGATACAGTATAAATTCTTATTCTAATAGTGAAATGTTTCATTGAGGCTTGCCCAGTGATTGAGTAAAACCAAAACTTATTCTAAGCCACAGTCATCCTAGGGTCGCCCCTGCTGTATAGCGTCCCTGGTTCTGTGGGTTGCAGTCTGATTGTTCTTTGCTTTATATCTAGAATCCACTTATGAGTGAGTACATACCATGTTTGTGCTTCTGGGTTTGGGTTACCTCACTCAGGATGATATTTTCTAGTTCCATCCATTTGTCTGCAAATTTCATGCTCTCATTGTTTTTCTCTGCTGAGTAGTACTCCATTGTGTATATGTACCTCATTTTCTTAATCCATTCTTCAGTTGACGGGCATCTAGGTTGTTTCCAGGTTCTGGTTATTACGAATAGTGCTGCTATGAACATAGTTGAGCATGTATCTTTGTGGTATGAATCAGCGTTCCTTGGGTATATGCCCAAGAGTGATATGGCTGGGTCTTGAGGTAGATCGATTCCCAATTTTCTGAGAAACCGCCATACTGATTTCCACAGTGGTTGTACAAGTTTGCATTCCCACCAACAGTGGAGGAGAGTTCCCCTTGCTCCGCATCCTCTCCAACATAGACTGTCATTAGTGTTTTTGATCATAGCCATTCTGACAGGTGTAAGGTGGTATCTCAGAGTCGTTTTGATTTGCATTTCCCTGATGATTAAGGATGTTGAACATTTCTTTAAATGTCTTTCAGCGATTTGTGATTCTTCTTTTGAGAATTCTCTGTTTAGCTCTTTAGCCCATTTTTTAATTGGATTGTTCAGTATTTTGATGTCTAGTTTCTTGAGATCTTTATATACTTTGGAGATCAGTCCTCTGTCAGATGTGGGGTTGGTGAAGGTCTTTTCCCATTCTGTAGGCTGTCTTTTTGTCTTATTGACCGTGTCTTTTGCCCTACAAAAGCTTCTCAGTTTCAAGAGGTCCCATTTATTAATTGTTGCTCTCAGTGTCTGTGCTGTTGGTGTTATATTTAGGAAGTGATCTCCTGAGCCAATGCATTCAAGAGTACTTCCTACTTTTGAATTGAGATTTTTCTATATGAAGTCTTTTTTTTTTTTGGTTTTTCAAGACAGGGTTTCTCTGTGTAGTTTTGGAGCCTGTCCTGGATCTCATTCTGTAGCCCAGGCTGGCCTCGAACTCACAGAGATCCACCTGCCTCTGCCTCCCGAGTGCCGGGATTAAAGGCATGCGCCACCACCGCCCAGCTACATGAAGTCTTGTAGGATTCTTAGCTGGTGTATTTCTGACAGCGCTGACCAGTCAGCAGCCGCTGCCTGTGTGAGAGAGATGATGCCGCCAGGGATAGCTCCACGGTGCAAACTGTTGGAACCTGAAGTTGCTCGCTCTTCGGGGAAGCAGCCCTGGCAGCCGGTTCTACTCTTGTCCTCTGCCCTGGGGCACCTTCCCACTCCCGTGTGTCCCTGTCGGCCAGGGCTGTGCCACGCTTGAGCTGTAGCTCACGCTACCTCCAGTGGCTGTGGATGGCCAGCACAGAGGACAGGTCTGGCCGGAGTCCACGGTGGACAACCCACACAGAGCTGCAAGTTAGTGCCGCAGGGTCTGCCAAGGAACTGCAGACATGTCCAGATGTGCGTGGCCTCTCTCTGGGGCGGCTCAGCTGCACACCGTGAGAGCACTTTGCTGACGGAGGTGAGGTGAATTGTGAGAGCAGAGAGGGTAGGCAACTAGAGGTCTTCAGAGAGGCTGCAGGCAGAGCAGTGGCCGCACTGTCCGCTGGGTCCTACCTGTCTGTCCTCTATGCAGGTCAGGTGTTGTGTGTACGCATGCATCCATGCTCATGTGGGTACGCAGGCATGTGGTGTGTGTGCATATGTAGCAGGCTTTCTTTTGGACCACCGACCAGCTCCCAAAGAAAGACACAGAGACTTAATATTAGTTATGAATGCTCAGCCTTAGTTTATGATTGTCCCACTAGCTCTTACATTTAATTTAACCTGTTTCTCTTCATCTATGTTTTGCCTCGGGACTTTTTACCTTTCTTTCATTCTGTATGTCCTACTCCATGTCTGTCTGTCTGGCGGCTGCCTGGCTGGCCCTGGCGTCTCCCTTTCTTTCTCCCTTGATCTGTCCTCTCTTCTACTTATTCTCCCTGCCTGCCAGCCCCGCCTATCCCTCCACTGCCTAGCTCTCCACCGTTCAGGTGCCTTAGGCAGGCAAGGTAAAGCAGCAACCATCTTTACATAATTAAACAAACGCAACGTAAACGAACATGGCATATCTTTACATAGTTAAAGTGATATTCCACAGAATGCCTATGGACGTGTGTGAAGACCAGAGGATAATTCCAGATGTCATTCCTCATGAGTAATCTGCTCGTTTTTAAAGATTTATTTATTTATTATGTATACAGTGTTCTGCCTGCATGTATGCCTGCAGGCCAGAAGAGGGCATCAGATCCCATTATAGATGGTTGTGAGCCACCATGTGGGTGCTGGAAATGGAACTCGGGACCTCTGGAAGGGCAGCCAGTGCTCTCCAGCCTCAATTTTTGAGACAGGGTCTCTCTGGCTTGAAGCTCACTGTTTTAAATCCCTCTCTGTTGCTATGACAAAACACCATGACCAGAAGCGACTTGGAGAAGGAAGGGTTTGCTTTAGCCTACAGCCTCCATGAATGGAAGTGTCAGGGAGCTCCTGGCGGGAATCCAGGCATCTGGAGGCAGAGGTCATAGAGCAATGCTGCTTACTGCCTTGCTCCCCCTGGCTTTTTTATATATGATCTGCCCAGGGGTGGCTCTGTCACCCAGTCAGCTGGGTCCCCTACATCAATCAGGAAGCAAGAAAACACCCCACGGACTTGCCTCTCGGCCAGCCTTACAGAGGCATTTTCATAGACTCCCTCTTCAGGTTATAAGTGGCACACCATTATGCCTGGCTGTTGACTTTTTAAAAATTGTGTGTGTGTTTGTGTGTGTAAGGGCAGATGCACAGGTGCCACAGTGCACACACGTGGAGGTCAGAGGACAGCTTCCTGAATCAGTTCTCATTCTCCACCGTGTGGAAGTGGCTCTCACTTCTTGCCATTGCACTGCATACACCAAGCCTGCTGGCCCACGAGCTCCTGGACAACTCTGTCTGCCTCCTAGGGAGTGCTAGATTACAGATCCCTGCCATTGCGTCCCAGATTCTCACATAGATGCCAGGGATCTAAACTCCTCAGGCATGCATTGCAAGTTCTAGGGCAGAGGTCTAAGGTGTGTGCCCCTCCCCTTTGCGTGGCCTGTCCTGACCACCTTGGTAGAGTGCCGATACTGGGTAAGGAATGTAAAGTGCTGAAATCTTAGGGATACTAGTGTGCTGGTGGGAGGCTGTGAGTTCCCCCGGTGTCTCGTATTTTTTTCTTTTTGTTTTTTTGAGACGGTTTTTCTGTATAATAGCCTTGCTGTCCTGGAACTCTCTCCTTAGACCAGGCTGGCTTGGAACTCCTGAGTGCTGGGATTAAAGATGTGTACCACCACTGCCCAGCTGCTTTTCCACTCTTAAACAATCCACAATCCCATGCCTAGGGAGTAGCACTACCCACAATTCCTGCCCAATTAACATAATCAAAATTATCCCCCACAGACATTCTCAGAAGCCACCCTGATCTAAACAGTCCTTCCTTGAGACTCATTCCCAGGTGATTATCAACTGTGTCAGGCTAACAGTTCAAATCAACCACCCACCTTTTATCATTTCTGTCTGGAGTAGGGTTTAGTTGATGCCCTCGCTTGGCAGGCTGCCCTGCCCCAGCCTCTCACTGAGTGGTGGTGAGTAGGCCTCTGTCTGGCACTGCTGCAGTGACCCCGTCCGTTTCTCTGGCTCAGCCTGTTTTAGTCAGCAGGTGCCTATGGACTGTACTGAAAACCTAGGGGTGTGGCTTGTCCCTCCCTACAGGGCGTGATTGACACAGCAGGACAGTGGTGTGGTGCTTCAGTTCAGCTGTATGGCGCTCAACATGGGCTGTATAGTTGAGAGAGGACCACTTCCCACCATGGACCTTAAAGGACCATTTTCCTCTGTTCATTCAGGAGGTCACAGGATCTGTGTGTCAGGGGTGAAGTTAAAGCAGGGCTGCTCCTTCTGAAGCGTTGGGCTGTGAGCAGTGAGTGACAGTTGAAGAAAGAAATGGTCTTGGGGTTACACCAGGACCACGTTCGGCTTTGCAGGGCTGGGAGCAGCTGAGGAGGTGAACTGCAGTCAGGAGCTGAGTCTGTGACGTTCAGAAATATAGGCCACAGCCTTGTGGGGGTGTCTGTTGGCGTGGCCCCATACAAGGCAGTTTTCTTCAGGAGCTGATCTCGCTTACGGACTGTGCTTACTCACCACCCGGGCAGGCACAAGTACCAGGTGGCTCCTGTGGGGTGGAAAGGGACATGTTGGAGCAGAGGTGACATCCTGCCCCCTCATCCTGCCAGCCCGAGGACAGCAGAGGGCCACCCTTACTGACTGCCATTGCAGATGCTCCGAACACTGCCTCCCTGCAGCCACACCAGCCTTGTGGGCCGGGGAGAGCTGACGGGACATTGGTGAGCTGTCTCACGCACTCTGTGTGTCCTCTCTGCCTCTCCTGACAGGTTTAAGGGGCTCAAGCCGACTATTATCCTTCTCTCCCGAGGAATTTCCGACGCTGAAAGCAGCCGGAGGGCAGGACAGGGCTGGCAAAGAAAAGGGCGCCTTCGATCTGTCGTATGGGCCAGGACCAAGCCTCCGCCCTCAGAGTGAGTGAATAGCAGCTTTGCCCTCGGGCCCTCGCTGGGCACCAGACCCCTCGCTGGGCACCAGACCCCTCCTCTCTTCCTTCCCCTTTCCAGGTGGGCCCCAGCTGCTGGGCCTAGGTGTTTCAGCACGGAAGCCGGTTGCTAGCTTGACGTGTGCATGTCCTGACTGCCTCCCTGGCCTGACCCTCACCTCTGTCTCTCGTCCCTCTGGCTGAACCAGGTCTTGTCACCGTCCATGTACCATCTGTTATTACGTCCCCTAAGCTGGGTCACCGGTGCTCCCTGGATACATGCAGGGTGCCACTGACTTAGTCAAGTCCCCGCTTCCGTAACCTGTCCCCAGACCCCGGTGTGTGCTGATTGTCACTCCAGGGGCTGTGACAGCTTGGCTTCCACCCTTCCCCATCCACATCAGAATTGACCAGTGTGTCCACAGCAGCCAGCACTGGTGTCCCCTCTGGTGCTGGGGTTAGGGAAGGCCTGTGTGTGGTGTGAGGTTCTGGTGTGACCTGGTTTGGCCTGACCAAGGAAGCCAAACTACATCCTGGGTTCGGTCTTGAAATTCAAGGGCTTTTGTCTGCCTGCCCTTACAGTCCCAGGTCCTCTCCTGCTGCTGAGGATCAGAGGCACTGTCCTGAAAGCTGAGTGACCGCCCTGCCACTCTGCCGAAACATGGACTTTGCTGAGAGTACACAGTGCTCAAAGTGGGTAGTTAAAGGTTCAGAAGAGTCCTATCCTAAGATGGGTTACCTGGTGGGGCTAAGGTGTACAAGTAGAAGCAGCTTTGAGATCAGGTCTTTCTCTTGAGAAGGTGAGAAGCAGTTGGCTTAAGGGGTGGTCTTGGCTTCCTAGGATAGCAGCAAAGTTGGAGCAGACTGGTGGGCTGGCCCCCATCCTGGCTGGCTTTTTTCTTGGGGGTGCCAAATGCTGTGTCCTTTTCTGACTCAGCTCCTAAGCAGAAGAGAATGGAGAGGAGCCTGGAGGTGTGGCCCTCTGTGTGGCCCCCCACACTAGTACCTTGTATGTAGTTTCCCTTCGACATTGTGAGTTATCTGCAGCCAGCCACATCTGCAAGCTACTGAACACTATTGTGAAAGGGAGACATGTTCACACTGCTAGTGTTTGTCTTTTGCAAATGACTTATAAATTAATCTTAAAGTCTGCATAAGAAAAATCAGGCCAGGCATAGTGGCACACACCTTTAATCTCAGCCCTTGGGAAGCAGAGACCAGTGGATCTCTGTGAGTTCGAGGCTAGCTGGTCTACATGGTGAGCTCCAAGCCAGCCAGGGATATATAGTGAACCCCTTATTTAAAGAAGAAAAGTCAGTCTGTGTTGGTTCTGGAGTGTGCCTCTTTTGGTAAGTAGGCTCACAGGGATTGTCATCACGTGGCTGTGAGAAGCACACTCTCACAGGGAAAGATAACTGTCAAGTTTTTAAGTTTTTAAAAATTTTATTTTGTGTGTATTTTTGGGGTAGGGGGACACACATACCAGAGCATGCAGGTAGAGGTCAGGGTACAACTTGGAGTCCTGGGGATTGAACTCAGGTCATCAGCCTGGCAGCAAGTACATTTACCCTCAAGACACCAACCGCACCAGCTCCATCCTCAGGTTTTTTTCTGTGAACTTAGTGTGTGTTCCGTGCATGCTGCACGTGATCACATGGTACCAACATTTCAAGCTGAGACTCACTGGACAGTGTTGTAGTCAGCCCAGAACCAAAGCATCCTGTCAGACGGGCTGTGGTGTAAAAGTGAGCCTGTGTCAAAAGTCACGCTGGCCTTGATGTGTGGGACAGTGTTGGCTGTCCTGTGTCTCCGAGTTCTGCCCTCTGGGTGGGTTTGGTGTTGGCCGTAGAGGAGCCACGTTTTGCTCGTGTCTCTCTGAAGTGGAGCTCTCTGTATTTCTCAGGCATATATCCGATACCCCTCAAGAAATGCTAGCTTTCTGCTCCCCACTCACCCTGACAGCACTTGGATTTTTCTCTCTTTGTTGTGATTCTTTTTTTGTTTTTAAGCAAGGGGTCGTGCCCACTGGCCTCAGAACTTTACAGATCTCCTCCCTTTCTTTTGTCTCTTTCCAATTCACAGATGTGACGAGCTGGAGGGAGGGTGGTGGGCGAAACATCATTTCTGCCACGTCTCTGAATGCCTCCCCAACAGAGCTGGGCAGCAGGACCTCCAGTGCGGGAGATGGAGCCCCCTCCTCGACATGCACCAGCGACTCTAAGGACCCCTCTCTCCGCCCAGCCCAGCCCATCCGCAAAGGGGCCTCACAGTTCATGGGACACATTTACCAGCCTCCCACTTACCATGACATGCTTCCTGCTTTTGTAAGTCTTCAGAGCATCTTGTCCCGAAGCTAAATGTTCTTTCTGTCCACCAGAACTGGCTCAGGTCGCTCAGCCTGAGCTCTCTGTCAGGATAATAGCCAGAGAGCACTGTGGCCTACAGCAGAATCCACTGCCTTTTTCCAATCTACTGCCTCTGGCTTCTGCCTCTGGGGCTTGCATGATGTAGCTTTGGTTCTTCAGAGAAAGGAGAGACAGATGTACCTAGCCTTATTGAACCCAAGGCAGATGGAATGGTGTGCCGGGATTCATGAGAAACCCTCTCCAGCCTTTTCTGTGCCCTTCCCCCATATTCCACTTTCCAAAGTGAAGCCTTATTGAACATGTAATTGGAGCCATCACCAGAAAGTCCGACACTCTGATGTTTATATTTCAGATGTGTTCACCACAGTCCTCAGAGAACCAGGGTACGGTGGAACGGAGCCCCTTCCCCCTTCCTCAGCTCCGCCTGGAACCCCGGGTTCCTTTTAGACAGTTCCAGATGAATGACCAAGATGGGTAAGGCTGTGAGCCTGTGGTCCTGTGTGTCATTGTATGACATGAATGTGCTCTGTGCTCTGCAGAGAGAACATCCTGGTGTTGGCGTGGGTGGCAGGGGATGGGCCTGGCAAGGAGCTTGGGTTACACTGTTAAGGCCCCACTGCAGGAGTTTGGCAGTAACTCTGGTGGGGGTAGCAGTGAGCTATGTGGCGCTGTGGATGAAACAGAACCCCATCTAGAATGTTTTTTGTTGTTCATTGCATATTTCTTCTAAAAGGAAGTAATATATATAGATACTCAAACACCAGACTGCAAGGGAGAACCTGTTTTTGGAAAGTGACTGCTTCCCCGTGTAAGTCATGTGACCCATCTTTCTTTTCCGTCTCATCAGGAAAGAAAGGTCCGGCCTGGCGCGCCCAGTACGCCCACTGAGGCAGCTGGTGGAGCGGGCACCACGGCCCACTGTCATCAACGCAGAGAACCTGAAGGGCCTAGATGATCTGGACACGGATGCAGACGATGGCTGGGCAGGTGGGTGTCAGGAGGGACAGCAGCCGGTGGCACCAGTGTGCTCTGTTCTTGGAGAGGACAGACTCTCCGTGCCCATGTGTGCAGTCAGACCAGAGGGCACTCTCTGGCCAAGTGAAATCTTCTTTTGGTCTGTGCTCTCCTTAATCGTAGAGCTCTGGGAGATTGTGCTATTCAGCCTTTAAGAGGACTTGTGGAATTACAGGCATTTACTACTTTGTCTGGCTAGAAATCCTCCATCCCATGCTGAGGATTAAACCCACATGCACAGGGCTGTGTGCTTACATAGCTCCAAGGAGCTCCCCTTCCCTTGAGAAGGAGAAAAGTTTTCTCAAGTTACATTTCTTTTTTTACCTGGGATACAGTATGTGCATGCCGGCCTGCACTCCTCTGTCATGGCACACCTGTGGTCAGAGGATGTCTTGGGAGTTGGTTTTCTTTCTGCCAAGTGTGTCCTGGTGCTCCAACTCTGGTCATTAGCCGTGGGGACAGGCACGTGACTGTTTTGCGGACCAAGCCCTGTCCTTTTTGAGGCATGGTCCTGCGCCAGCCTTCTAAGTGCTAGGGTTACAGGTGAGAGGTACCCACCCCTACGGCTTAACCCTGAGCCATCGCTTTGGTCCAGCAGTTCTCGACCTATGGGTCTTGACCCCCTTGAGGGTGGCAGTATTAGGAAAGGTGGGAACTGCTGCTTCAGTCTGCTTTCCTTTTTAGAGACAGGATCTTATGTACCCCCAGGCTGGTCTCACACCCAGCACCGCCACCTTGTTCCGCCACCTCCTCAGTGCTGGATTAACTGCTGCCCTACCTGCTCCTTGGTCAACAGAGTGTTGGCCCAGTGGGGGTCATACGGTTTCTATTTTTTCTTTTTTTAAGATCTATTTTTGTATTTTATGTATTTGAGTGCTCTATTGACTTTTTGACAGAGGAGGGCATCAGATCCCACTGAAGATGGCTGAGAGCCACCATGTGGTTGCTGGGAATTGAACTTAGGACCTCTGGAAGGGCAGCCAGTGATCTGAGCCGCTGAGCCATCGCTCCAGCCCCACAGTTTCTGTTCTTATTGGCATGTTGATACTTGTCAGCGCTTTTCTATATCAGCAGATTCTGTCGGCTCCTGTGATGTATCCGTGTACTGGGCTTTATCCATCTAGAAGTCTCAGTAAGAGCAGTATCTTAAACCAGGTGTGGTGGTGCACATTTTAATCCTAGTACTGATAGTACTGAGAGGTGGAGGCAGGCGGATCTCTGTGAGTTTGAGGCCAGCCTGGTCTATAGAGCGAAGTGCAGGACAGCCAGGGCTACACAGAGAAACCGTGCCTCAAAAAAAAAGAGCAAGAGAGAGAGAGCAGTATCTTAGGAGCGCTAGAGAGATAGCGGGGGGGGGGGGGGGGGTTGGGGTTGGGTTGGGGATTTAGCTCAGTGGTAGAGCACTTGCCTAGCAAGCACAAGGCCCTGGGTTCGGTCCTCAGCTCTGGGGGAAAAAAATAGAGAGATGGCTTAGGTTAAGAGCCCTGGCTGCTCTTCCAGGACCTGCATTCCGTTTCCAGAACCTATATGGCAGTTCTTAACCATCTGTAGTTCCAGTTTCAGAGGATTCAACACCCTCTTCTGGTCTCCACAGTCAGGCAGCACACACATCCACACAAATCTATGCCAGTCTGGTGGCACAGGCCTTTAATTCCGGCACTCAGGCAGAGGCAGGCGGATCTCTAGATCTCTGTGAGTTTGAGGACAGCCTGATCTGCAGAGTGAGTTCCAGGATAGCCAAAGCTACACAGAGAGATCCTGTCTCAAAACCAAAACAAAAGGAAAAACCAGAAACAAAAATAGGGGTTGGGCATGACTAGAGAGAGAGTGCAGAGGTTAAGAGCACTGGCTGCTCTTGCAGAGGACCTGGGTTCAATTCCCTGCACCCACATCAGGTGGCGCACGTACACCAGGAAGTCCAGTTTCTGGGTATCTGAAGCCCACTGACCCCCTTGGACTCCTGCATGCATGTGGTACACATAAACTCAGGAAGACACACACACACATCCATGATCAATAATTAAAAAGAAAGAAATGCACATTATTTAATAGGCTGGAGAAATGGCCTCAGTGGTTAAGAATATCTCCCGTTGCAGAGGACCCACCTGTGACTCCAGCTCCAGGGGATCTGGTGCCCTCTTCTGGTTTACACGGGCACCTTTTGACACACATGATAATCATTCACAAAGATACACGCACACATGAGTAAAAATAAAAGAAATCTTTCCAAATCACCTTTTGCTTCCAGTCTGAATATTTTTTGCCTTCCTTGAGGGCAGTGATGTTCCGTGGTGTCCAGCAGTCCATGTTGCCTATGATACTGGCCCATTATTAACACTTGTTGAGACGTTCCCCTTGACGTGGTCTGGCACCTTTGCCGGATGTCATCCATGTCAATCCCTGTCGATGTTTATTTCCATGGACAAGTTCAGCTGTGCCAATCATAGTAAATCTTAAACTCAGATAGCGTGGAGCTTTCTACCTTGTTTCTTTGCAAGTTTGATTCCTCAAGTTCTTTACTGGTCTCTGCAAATCTGGACTCCACCCTGGCAGTATTTACGAAGATCCTCCTTCTGTGTCAAGTTCAGCCACTCTGTCTTGACTCCTGAGTTCCAGGGTCCCAGTGAGTCTCCACAGGTCTCTCCTTTCTCATTAGTGTTCTGTAGTTGTCAGTAGAGAGAATCTTTCTTTATTTTAAAGATTATTTTATTTTTGATTATGTATCTTGTGTGTGGCTATGTATACCTGAGTGCAAAAACCTCTCTGAGGCCAGAAGAGGGTGTCAGATCCTTTGGAGCTGTATTTATAGATGGTTCCTGGATACCAAACTTGAGTTCTCTGCAAGAGTAATACATCATCCTAACTGCTGGACCCTGTCTCAGGTCAGTAGAGAGGATCATAATGTTTTCTGGTAATTTTATTCATATTCCTATGAATAAAATTAATATATTCCTATATGTTGCCACATGGTTGTGGCATTACCGGTCTGCTGGCATCTTGTTACTCCTTTGGGGGTGGCTGGCGTCTCTCCCAACTCTGCCCTTCTTCTCCCTGTATCTCTGCTTGGATGTCCCGCTTGCCATAAGCCAAAACAATATTATTATCCAATGGGAGTCACACATATTCACAGCATAAAAATGACATTCCACAGCACTTCCCCTTTTCTGTCTAATCAAAAAGGAAGATTTTTGCCGGGCGGGTTGTGGCGCACGCCTTTAATCCCAGCACTCGGGAGGCAGAGCCAGGCGGATCTCTGTGAGTTCGAGGCCAGCCTGGGCTACCAAGTGAGTCCCAGGAAAGGCGCAAAGCTACACAGAGAAACCCTGTCTCAAAAAACCAAAAAAAAAAAAAATAAATAAATAAATAAAAAGGAAGATTTTAATTTTAACATAGTAAAATTATATATATATATAATATATTATATTATATAACAGTAGTTATCAAGCAAGAATTATACTTACAATATCTAGTCTATTTGTATTTGGCAAAATTAAAGAAAATATTCTATTATCCTATTTTTGTTGAGTCTAAAGTTTTATACCTAATTTATCTTTTATTGTGTCTAAGGAAAACTATAAATATAACTATCTAGTTTCAACTCCATCAAAGACCCCAGAAGGATATAATATTACCTGAGTAAACAGGAAGAGCGTGGCAAGCAACTTCCATAGTTCTAGCAATAATAAAGGCATGTGGCTACCTGGACAGTCGTCCAAAGATTCTGTGTAACTTTGCGGCATCTGTCTTCAGTCTACAGGCCTAGAGTCTCTGGCATAGCTTTCAGTGAAGCAGGAAATTCTAAGGGCTTTTCCGCCCATTCTGGCAGAGTTCGTCTGTCACTTCTCCTCATGTCCTCTAGAATGTCTGGCAGTTTCTTCTGTGAAGCAGGACCCTGAAGGACCTTCTCATCTTGCAAAGTTCAATGCTCACCTTCCTATGGGTCCTGCATGGGCCAGTTTATATAGCATCCTGTCAAACAGTTGAGGCAAGGGCATTTTTTTGCCCAGTGGCTTATCTTTTGCCACCAAGAAAGCAAATTCCATAATGAGTTTCTTCGATGCCCATCATCCTCTTTAAAGTAATTGGTGCTGCCAGGAGCAGACATGTCTCACTGTCCAGAAAAGTCCAAGTTCTTAAAAACATTTTAAATGCCATATTCTGTAGGTCTTTGAAGTGTTTGAAGATTACCTACCTAATTGAAATATACCTTTGTATACCTAAAAATCTTAACTAACATGACTATAAGTTTGATTACCATAGATGACTAATTATTAATCTGTATTTCTTAGTTATACATTACAATTTTAAATGAATCGCATAAATATAGTACCTTAAACAAGAAGTAGAAATATGTATACAGTATTATAACAAAATTAACTTTAAATTTGTATCAATAAACTAAAATCCATAGCAATGTATAACATTTCAAACAAGTTGTTGCTCTTTAAAAGCAGATTCAATAATCTACCCTTTCATCCTATCACATCTATATCCTCTTTTCTTTTTTTAGAAAGATTGCATTTATAATCAACCTCCTTTAAATAAAAATAAACATTCATAAACAATATTTTCACAATTTGGACATAGCTTCCCATACTATTTCCTGCTTATTGGGGGCGCTGTCAATCTTATGTGGGTCCTGAGAAAATTAAGAATTATAGTTAAATCTTGCTGTAGTAGTCTGTGAGGCAATATCATCTCAGCCAGTTGCCTTGAAAGCAGTTTTGGATGTTGGATCATCTGGGCCATGGCTGTCTTTCACGGGGTCTTGGTTGGTCAAACCATATTAATCTGGAAGCAATCCACAGGTTCTCATCTTCTGTAAAAACAAAAGCAGAACCTCTTTTCTAAAGCAACGTATCCTTAGACACAAATTTTGAAGTCAAGATACCTTTAAAATACATAATGGTTTAACTTAGTAGCTCCTACAATCAAATGTCTCTCTGCAGTTAAAAATCCCAAAAACAATGTAATAATATGCAGTATCCAGATTCTTTGTGTAATTTCTATCCTTATGGTGGCTTAACTTTCGTATTATTCTTACTGTCTCTTTAAAGATTTTATTTTTTGAAACTATTTCTTTATATAACTGCCTTTAATCCTTTTCCTCTCTCTTCCAAGTCTATGTACATTTTTACGACACCCTGTACACCGTTTTTGAGTTTTATTCCATCTGAATCTGTCTTATTGTGAATCTGTAATCATTTTTTGACCATCGATTTAAACTGCAGTGTGGCTAGGACCGCAATGTGGCCAGGACCGCAGTGGCAGCCATGGCTGCTGGCTCCGCCCACCTCAGCTTCCCAACATGGTAGAGGTGCGTTTATCGCCAACTCTGGGAAAGAGTGGGTCTGTGCCTGCATTCTGCAGCATGTAGCCCACTGCAGGGCTTGGAGGTACCTCTGTGTACCTCGGCAGGACTTGGCCATGCCGCTTAGCTCATGGCGGCTGGCGGCCAGCTCCAAGAGACAAAACTCTGTCTCTTTTTCACAATGGTAGTAGGAGCTTGGGTGAATGGCTCAGTTAATAGTGTTTGTCCAACCTGCAGAAGGCAGTAGGCTCAATGTCCATCCACTGTATGGATTGGCTGTGGTGGCCCGGGGTGGCAAGGAGATGGGAATACATAGCAAGTTCAAGGCCAGCCTGTGACACATGGAAATGTCTCCTAAGTAAATAAAGATGATAGTTTTCAGGTTCTTCATGTTTGTTTAGTTGGTGGTTGGTTGGTTAGTTAGTTTTTCAAGACAGGGTTTCTCTGTGTAGCCCTGGCTGTCCTGGAACACACTCTGTAGACCAGGCTGGCCTTGAACTCAGAGCTCCACCTGCCTCTGCCTCCCGAGTGCTGGGATTAAAGGCGTGTGCCACTGCTGCCCGGCTTGGTTTGTTATGGTTTAGATACTGCTATAAATGCAATTCTTTTTTTTGTTTGGTTTGGTTTGGTTTATTTAAGATAGAGTTTCGCCGGGCGGTGAAAATTTGCATTTGCATACCTCATGGTATTTTCTAGCTGTTTTTTGGCTTGGCTCTCTTGTGCTTTGTTAATGCTAATTCTTTAGTTAATTAACATCTATCGGTGTGTGTGGTGTATGCTGTGTGGTTTGGGTTTCACTCGGGAGGCAGAGCCAGGTGGATCTCTGTGAGTTCGAGGCCAGCCTGGACTGCCAAGTGAGTTCCAGGAGAGGCGCAAAGCTACACAGAGAAACCCTGTCTTGAAAAACCAAAAAAAAGATAGAGTTTCTCTGTGTTGCCCTGCTGTCCTGGAACTCACTTTGAAGACCAGGCTGGACTCAAACTCACAGTGATCTGCCTCCCTCTGTGATTTAAGGTGTGTGCCACCACCGCTCGGCTGAGTGTGGGGTTCTTATCTGGGCAAATCAGGAATGAAGAAAGGGAAGTGCCCAGCTGGCTCTCTCTCCCTTTTCCTTCATCATGGGGCTCCGGCCCGGGGCCTTGAAGCCCACATTCAGTGCGGTCTTCCCTCATCAATTCACGAAGTGAGACACCCCAAATTAGGCCTTACTAGTGCCCTGGCATTGCATAATCAAGTCAGATTGATGATCAGAAATGATTTTCCTGCTCCTTGTTATTCATTTTATATATTTATTTTAAAGGATGTGCTTTTTTTTTTTTAAATTATCGAGGCAAATGCTAAGTTTTTACTTTGATTTAAAGGTAAATCAAAGAACATTTTCTGTGTGGTTTTAATTCCATTCAGTGTACTGAGACTTGTCTTATTTATGGCCATATAACCCTGAGCACACCAATCTCCTCTGATCTCAGAAGCTAAGCAGGGTTAGGCCTGATTAGTACTTGAATGGGAGACTTGTGGGCTTGTTTGTTTTTGAGACAGGGTTTCTCTCTCTATGTAGCCCAGGCTGTCCTAGAACTTGCTCTGTGGACCAGGCTAGCCTCAAACTCAGATGTGTCTGCCTCTGCCTCCCAAGTGCTGGAATTAAAGGCGTGCACCACCACCTAGTGAGACTTGTTTTATGACCAGGACGGTCTGTCTTGGAGAGCATCCCAAGTGTGCTTGAAAAGCTGTGTGTAATAGCCAGTATAGTCGGGTGCTAGAGGTGTCCTTCCTGATTTAGGTACTTACTGTGGTTCCGTTCAGGTCTATCCTGGACTGGACTGTGATATATTAAACCTCTGCTCTGATTGTGGATTTGCATGTGTCTGTCTTTAAATCTCTTGGGCTTCTGATGCGTTTAATCTTGAAATATGTTGGTATTTAACCTCTTTGCTCTGCACATTTGCATACCTCATGGTATTTTCTAGCTGTTTTTTGGCTTGGCTCTCTTGTGCTTTGTTAATGCTAATTCTTTAGTTAATTAACATCTATCGGTGTGTGTGGTGTATGCTGTGTGGTTTGGGTGCGTAGAGGTCACAGGTTGACATAGGATTTCTTTCTCACTTTCTTCTCCACCTCATAAACTTTTTTAATTTTAGATTTATTTATTTATGTGTATGACTGTTGTGCCAGCATGCATGTATATGTACTAGGATCCCCTAGAACTAGGGTTACTGATGGTTTTGAGTTGCCAGATGAGTGCTGTAGCTAGAGTTTTCCTGCCTGGCCCACAGTCAGGACAAATCTCTCTCACCCCGCCAGTCCCACAGCCACTCAGACCCGACCAAGTAAACACAGAGACTTATATTGCTTACAAACTGTATGGCCGTGGCAGGCTTCTTGCTAACTGTTCTTACAGCTTAAATTAATCCATTTCCATTAATCTATACCCTTGCCACGTGGCTCGTGGCTTACCGGCATCTTCACATGCTGTTTGTCATCATGGCGGCTGGCAGTGTCTCTCTGACTTAGCCTTCCACTTCCCAGCTTTATTCTCCTCCTTGTCCCGCCTATACTTCCTGCCTGGCCACTGACCAATCAGTGATTTATTTATTGACCAATCAGCAACACATTTGACATACAGACCATCCCACAGCAGAGTGCTGTGAGCTGAACCCTGGTCCTCTTCAAGAGCAACAAGGGATTTTAACCACTGACTGGGTTCCATGTTTGTCCACCCCTCAGTACAGGGGATATCAGCATGCACCGGTATATCCGACTTTTGTGTGGATGGTTATAGGTGTGCACCAGTATGTCCGACGTTTGTGTGGATGGCACTCAGTCCCTCGTGCTTGTGAGGCAAGCGCTTTACTTACTGCCCCATCTCCCTGGTCACCCACATTCATTTTTATGGCCAAATAATATTCTGCTGTGTGGACCGACCACATTTTGTCCATCAGTTACGGACACTTTTCCTGCCTGTGCCAGTCAAGGTAGGCTATGACAGTAGAAATCTCTCTGTCAGAGTCTGTGTTGGAGAGGCAGAGTCCTGTCTGGTTATGCACATCTTACTTTCTTTTACCTTGAATTAGTTTCAGGCTGGGTGTAGTAGCACATGCCTGCAACCCCGGCCTCTGGGGGCAGGCCCGGAGAACTGTGAGTCTGTGAGAGTCTGGGTTACATAGGGAGAGTTTCTGTCAGGGGGTTAGTATTGCCCAGCCCATCACTCTTACAGGAACCTAGGAACCCTCCCTGGTACCTGCAGGACTATGGAGGGTGGCAGCCAGGTGGAGTGAGCTGCCCATCACCTCAGTTGGGGCACCACAGGCTCAACGTTCAGACTGTCTTGTGGTCCCCTGGGAGACTCTGTCATCCTCATGTGTTCTCATCTTCATGGGCCCTCTTGCTGTTGCAGGCCTCCATGAGGAAGTGGACTATTCCGAGAAACTGAAGTTCAGTGACGATGAAGATGAGGAGGAAGTTGTGAAGGATGGGCGGTCAAAGTGGTGAGTCCTTCCACCCAGCTCCCAGCATGGGGCCGTCAGAAACCTACACAGCTTGTTACTGATGCTGCATGGAGTTCACGGTGCCAGGAGCGCTTCTTGGTTTCCATTGCAACCTGCAGTTTCAGGGATGAGGTCTATAGAGACAGCATGCAGCAACCAGCCAAGATTTGCATCCGGGCCCGGGCCCTGGTCCTTCCTCCTCTGCACCCAGTCTCCCAGATCGTTGATGGGTGTGGCACCCTGAGAAGCTTTTGTTGGAAGCCACCTCAGGCCCCGCTTGGTTAAACCAAGAACTCTCCCAGCTCGGCTCTTGCGCAGTGCACCTGGGAGGTGCAGGAGAGGTGTGCAGATTGGGTGCATCCCTTCTGCCCCTATTTCCTTCCTGGGTCATTCCCACTGGACTAGGTTTACCTAATGCCCTTTAGAAAATGCAACATTATACTCCAGTTCTTTTAGAGGGTTTGTCTGTTTTTGTTTTGTGTTTTGATCGTTTATTTTTATTTTAAAATTGTGTGTGTGTGTGTGTGTACACATACATGACCACAGGTGCCTGCAGAGAATAGAGGCTTTGGCACCACTGGAGGCTTCCAGGATGTACTTGGAGTTTCTGAGTCTCCTTTGACATCTTCTGATTTGCTGCGTGTATTATCAGCCCCGGAAGCTCTTCCTCTTTATCTCTGGAGCTCTTGGGACCAGCAGCCTTCCTTGTCTGGCCCCTAGGGGACGGTCAGTGTGTCTCCTTCCTTCGGCCTGCCTCTCATGGCTCATCCTTCACATCACCTTCCTCCCAGAATCCTAGCTGGTTTCTGAGAGGCCAGACCGTTTCTCAGAGGTCGGGTCCGAGGTCCCTAGCACCTGTCTCTCTGCTTTTTTTTCCTTTTTGTAAAATTGTTTTTAAAAATTTGAGACAAGGGTCTCAACTCTGTAGCCCTGGCTGTCCTGGAACTCAGTGTATAGACCAGGATGACCTCAAGCTCACAGAGGTCTTCCTGCCTGTCTCCTGGGATTAAAGGCGTGTACCGCCATGCCCAGCTTTACAAGCAGTTGTTAATCTTTCTGTCTTCTTATGTGCCTCTCCAGCTACCTGCCACACGTGTGCGCGCGTGCCTGTGTATGTGTGTGCGTGCGTGCGTGCGCGTGCGTGCGCGTGTGTGTCTGTGTGTGTGTGTGTCTGTGTAGCTAAGCTGCCTGTCTTTGCTGACGGCTTTCCTGACACCTGTGCATATATGACTGTGGCTGTGTTGGGCCCTGCTCAGCACACCTTCTCCCTCCCGCAGAGCCTCAGTGCAGCCCTTTTCGGGACCGTCTCCTTTTCTACCCTGGTGTACTTGCTGGATTCTCATTGTTCACTGGTGGTCGGCCTCTTCCTCCTTTGCAGAGCTCTGGGGGCACTTGTTCTGGCAGAGCCGAGGAGGGAGCTGGAGACTGAGGCCGGGTCCCAGCCTTGCCCTCTGTCTCCTCCTGTGGCAGCTCCTCACCTCTCTGAGGCCGGCTCCAAGCACATTAAGATTTTATTAATTTTTATTTATGTGTATGGGTATTTTGCCTGTATATATTTCTATGCACCACATGCATGTAACGTCTGTGGAGGTCCCAGAGGGCATTGGATCTCCTGAAACTGGAGTTACAGGCAGCTGACTATGAGCCACCATGTGGATGCTAGAAATTGATGAAAAACTCAACAGCTCTCCAGGCCTGATTCCCAGCTCTTTCAATATGAGCGAGCAGGCCTGGTCTTTGCCATCGAGGATGGGGGTGAATTAGATGTCTCCTGGGGGCTTCATGAGAGATGGTGACTTGGTTAATACTGGCCTGAATTTTGTAGTTCACAGGTAAAGGATGTGAGTGGGGTGTTGAAGGGAATTAGTCTGTAAATGGTTGTAATAGCTGGCTGCAGAATTCCCAGCGGCCCCTGACCGGTGAGGTGAGACAGCCCTAGCTGTCTGGGGAAACTGCTGAACAGTTGTTGTTCCTCCTAGGAGCAGCTGGGACCCGAGGCGGCAGCGAGAGTCGTCACTGAGCTCTGCAGACAGTGCTGATGCCAGGCGCTCTCAAGAGGAAGGAAAGGACTGGGGAGAAGCAGGGAATGTGTCCCGCGTTGTCCGGAAGGGGCCAGAGCCGCAGCCTCCTTCCAGGAAGCTCCACAGCTGGGCATCTGGCCCTGACTACCAGGTATGCGGGCCCACGTGCTGTGCCCTCCTGTTTCCCCCGAGCCCTGGCGTGTGCTGTGGACTTGATTGCATGCTCGCTCTTGCTCTGCCTCTTTCTCTTTTCCTTCTTTACTCCCTACACATACACGCACACATGCACGCACACGCACACACCAATCCAGCCACTGTCCTGAGAGTTTGTACTATGTTGATGTCAGTGGCTGGGTTTCCAGAAAATGCCGGGTCACGTTTCTTCTCTCATTCTCCCTTTCTTTTTTATTTATGTTTATGTGTTGACACATACGTTATGGCATGCATGTGGAGTTAGGTCCGAGGACAACAACACCTTTGTGAAGTTTAACTCTCCTCCCACCTCTACACCGTTTCCAGAGATCAGACTCATATTGTCAAGCTTCAAGACAAATGTTCTACCTCCTGAGCTGTGTGGCTAGCCAGAGTTTATGGAAAACTTGGAATTAAATATAAAGACTGACTGGGCATGGTAACACGTGTCTTTAATCCCAGCACTCAGGAGGCACAGATAGGCAGGCGCTCCATGATTCAAGACCAGCCTGGTCTATATAGTAAGTTCCAGGCCAGCCAAGGGCTTCACAGTGAGACCCTGTCCTCCATTAAAAAAAACAAAGATGAGCTGGGCGGCGGCGGCGCATGCCTTTAATCTCAGCACTCGGGAGGCAGAGGCAGGCAGGTGGATCTCTGTGAGTTCGAGGCCAGCCTGGGCTACCAAGTGAGTTCCAGGAAAGGCGCAAAGCTACACAGAATAACCCTGTCTCGAAAAACCAAAAAAAAAAAAAAAAAAAAAAAAAAACAACAAAAAACAAAGATGAAAACAGCTGTTTGCCTGGCTGGCTGAAGAGGGCGCCACCTCCCGGTTAGCTGCTCTCACTGCAAGCTGAGCTGGCCTCATCTTCTGCCCAGACACTGGTGTGTTTTAAGAACCAGAATCAAGCGCTGGGCGGTGGTGGCGCACGCCTTTAATCCCAGCACTCGGGAGGCAGAGCCAGGCGGATCTCTGTGAGTTCGAGGCCAGCCTGGGCTACCAAGTGAGTTCCAGGAAAGGCACAAAGCTACACAGAGAAACCCTGTCTCAGAAAACCAAAAAAAAAAAGAACCAGAATCAAGCCAGGAAGCACGTGTTGCAACCTCGCTGTGGCACATCCACCAGGCAGCGATGCTGGTGAAGTCCTTCATGCATGAGCTCACCTGTTATCACTGCGACTCACTTTCCCATGGTCTCCTGGCCTGGGTGCTCTGGAGAGGGTGAGCTCCTCAGATTGTCTTGCCCTGGTGCTTGCTCCTGGTCAGGTCCAAGGCTTGGCCAGCTTCCCTGGGCTGTTTTCTGGACTCCTCCTGCCTCTGGTGACTGGCACTTTGATCTCTTGGTGAATGTTGGCGATGTTGCCAAGGCTTGCACTGGACAGTCCCTTTCTCTCCACTGTGAGTGATGAGGAACGTGGGGAGGGATGGGGAGAAACATTGAGACTGGCTAGCCTATTTGTCATGCTTAAAACTTGGTGTGTGTCTGTATGTAGGATATGTGTATGGGAGTACGCATGTGGAGGTAAGAGGACATCTTCCTGGAGTCAGTTCTTGTTTCTCCCTTGGTCAGCGGCGTGTGCAGCAAGCACCTTCACCTCCTGAGCGGTCTCCTTGGCCCCCGTTCATCATCCTTTCAATGTATTCATTTATTCCAGCAGCCGATCAGCTCCCATCATCTGGTGTGAAGATGGAATTGTCTTTGCTTTCACTTCCCTGTTGTGGGTCCTTGCTTCTTATCTTATTTTGAGATCTTTTTACTTCCTGAGGACTAACTCCTTAAACTCACCGAGATCCAAGTCCTCTGCTGTCCCAGTCAGTTCTCCTAGGAACTCTTCATTCCTTTGAGTGGTGGGGAACACTTAGACACAGTGCATGCATGCATGAGTGTGTGGGTCAATGTGCGTGCATGAGTGTGTTTGTGCATGTGTGCGCCTGTGCAAGAGCTCACATTCCACCAGATGCCTGTGGAATTCAGAGGACAGCTTTGGTATCCATCTTTGCTTTCCACTCTGGTTAAGACAGAGTCTTTGTTGGTTTCTGTTGAGTTTGCCAGGCTAGCTGGCCTGAGCGCTTCTGGGCCATCTCCTGTCTCTGGTTCCCGTCTCCCTATGGGAGCGCTGGGGTCCAGACACTCAGGCCTTCCATCTGCCTTTTCCAGATTCCTCACACTTATACAGTAAGCACTTTAACCCACGAGCATCTTCGCAGCCCCTCATTACATATTACAGCAGTCACGTGTCCCTAACACTGATGCCTACTGGTTGGCTCCTTCGTGTGAAGTGTCCATTGCACAGATGTCCTCCAAGCCCTTAGAGGTGCCACCTTTACATTAATTTCCATGCCACGCCCTGTCCTATGGTTGTCCCAAACCAATCCACCACTCAGATTGCATGCCTTGCACCCTGCAGGGCTCCGGCCACCCACAGACTCTGTGACTCCCCGGCAGCTGACACACACACACCTTTCTTGCCACATCCAGTGATTGTGGGTGAACACATGTTGGAAAAGAGAAAGGCACTGTTTGGAATCCTCTTGGGAAACACGTTGTTTTTGGCTCCTCTGCCTCATCATGCTCAGTGAACAGGCTTTCTTCTCCTGTCTTCACTGTGTGACCGGCACTGTGTGACTGGGCGCTGTGCTGGCTACAGAGCATAGAGGTGAATCAGACATTGTGCCTCCCCTCCTGGAGATTCCTGTGCCGAAGGCTTCGCAATGAACCTGGACCTTTCAGTCTGTTTAGCACTTTGGCAGGAGGTAATCAGGTTTAAGAATACATAAAATTGGACTGAAGAACTGGCTCTGTGGGTAAGAGCATGTACTTTCAGCGGATTCAAGTTCAAGTCCCAGCACCTACATCAGGGGTTCCCAAGTACCTGTAACTGCAGCTCCAGGGAAACCTGGACACTTTGGGCCATTGCTGGCACACGCAGTCATGTGCACATACTCAACACAGACATAAACACATAACTTAATAAAAACAGAAGTGAAAAAAAGAAAAAAACAGAAAATGCACAAAAGGTAGGTTGTCAGGATGGCTCCGTGGATAAAGGAGCCTGCTGCCAAGTCTGAGGACTGAGTTCAATCCCCAGCACCCAGATAGTGGAAGGAGAGAACTGACTCCCAAAAGTTGTTGCATATAACACGCACATGCACACAAATAAATATGTAATTTTTTCTTTTTTTTTTTTTGGTTTTTCGAGACAGGGTTTCTCTGTGTAGCTTTGCGCCTTTTCCTGGAACTCACTTGGTAGTCCAGGCTGGCCTCGAACTCACAGAGATCCACCTGGCTCTGCCTCCCAAGTGCTGGGATTAAAGGCGTGCGCCATCACCGCCTTGGAGTATTGGCCCAGGTGTTAAGTGTGTTTCCCGCTCTGCCAGCGTACCTGAGATCAGTTCCCAGCACCCCGCTCTGCCAGCGTACCTGAGATCAGTTCCCAGCACCCCGCTCTGCCAGCGTACCTGAGATCAGTTCCCAGCACCCCGCTCTGCCAGTGTACCTGAGATCAGTTCCCAGCACCCATGTCCAACAGCTCACAGCTGTCTCCAGGGTCTGACGCCACCTTTTGGCCTCCAAGACACCTGTACTCACATGCAGAAACACACATATGAACATTTTCTTTCTTTCTTTCTTTTTTTTTTTTTTTTTTTTTTGGTTGATTTGTGAGATCAGGTAGCTTATCGGGGAATCCGTGAAATGGTCAGTGGATAGCTGTTTGCAGAGCAGGGCAGATGTTCTGTTTAGTCGCGGAGTGAAAGAAGAGTGAGTGGGGTGAGGGGCATGTCCGAACTTACATTGGAGCGTCTACTCTCGCCTCGTTGGAGTTGCAGCTGCATCACGAGAAACGACCTTTTAAGAGGAAATCTAACTATCACCAGTGTGTGTTTCTTTCTGTGAGAAGTGATACGCGAATAGCCACAAGAGAAGGCAGGGCCTTGCCATATTCTGTCTGTCTGTCTGTCTGTCTCTCTCTCTCTCTCTCTCTTGTTTTTTGATTATTTGAGACAGGGTTTCTCTGTGTAGCCCTGGCTGTTCTGGAACTCTAGACCAGGCTGGCCTTGACCTCAGAGATCTGCCCTCCTCTGTCTCCTCAGTGCTAGCATTGAAGGCATAGGCTGCCACCACCCAGCCCTGTTGGACCGTCTTTGACCGTGGCATACACCTGTCTGGCCACCATTCAAAACAGGCAGTCTCTCTGTGTGGCTGGGAATGGCTCCCCTCCAGTGGTTTCTGCTCCTCTGTGCCTGCAGCAGCAGCAGCAGCATTGGTCACTCCCTGCAGACTAGTGGGACGTCTCTCTGGTGTTGAGTTTTTCTCAGGACACCCTCAACACCCTGCTTATATTGTACCGGACAACCAGCAGGATACTCAGGGATGGAGAAACTATCCAAAAGACGTGTTTGTAGTCATGCCTTCTCATTAATGTACAAGCATCGATCTGAAGTCAGACTGTAGGGGTTACGTGGTCATGGTGGGGCCCCCTGTGGCCCTTGGAGTCACTGAGTCATTTACTGTTTTCCTGGTGTCGGTCTCAGTGGGAGGGAAGTAGCCATTGTCTCAGGCTTCCGACCTGAACCTCATTCCCTCCTTCTTTTGGCAGAAGCCCACAATGGGCAGCACGTTCCGACAGCAGTCCTCTGAGGACAAGGAGGACAAGCCACCCCCACGGCAGAAGTTCATCCAGTCAGAGATGTCGGAGGCTGTGGAGCGAGCCCGAAAGCGCAGGGAAGAAGAAGAGCGCCGGGCCCGGGAGGAGAGGCTGGCGGCCTGTGCGGCCAAACTCAGGCAGCTGGATCAGAAGTGCAAGCAGGCCCCGAAGGCCAGCGAGGCCCTGAAGCCTGTGGAGAAGGAGGGCCCCCGGTCCCCGGGCATCGAGAAGGCCTCCCCACAGGAGAACGGCCCTATTGTCCGCAAAGGTGAGCGGACTCCCTATCCCATGGTGGGGAGCCTTGAACCATCAGCCCCACATTCTGACTATAAAGTAGCTAAACCTGTGGCTGAAAGCACATTCTAATGGGAAGCATCAGTCTGTTGAAGTGTAGGCCCGGCTGCCTGTGGTGACACACACTTTCAATCCCAGCACCCAGGAGGCAGAGACAGGATCCCTGAGAGTTTGAGGTCAACTGCTCTACATAGAGTGCCAGGACATTTGGCTACACGGAGAGACCCTGTCTCAGACACGCACACACATGCACATACACAAGTGTAGGCTTGGGTACTTGTGTGATTATAGCTCAACTTTTTTTTCACTCTGATTTTGTGTGTGTGTGTGTGTGTGTGTGTGTGTGTGTGTGTGGTGTGCCTCAAAGTATATATAGATATGTGGAGGTCAGAGGGCAACTCTGTCCTGATTGTCTTCTACTTTTCCATGGGTTCAGAGGGTTGGACTCAGGTCTCTAGGCTATACTGTTAGTCAGGCCCTGTTGGTGGTATACGCGTTGATCTCACTGAATTCTCACACAAGCCCCGTGGAGGAGGCAGCCATGGCTGCTATCAGTACTTACAGAGAATTCTGGGCAAGGGAGGCTGAGCAAAGGGCTCAGGGTGCCCGCCTGTGGCTGCTGTTTCGTTCTGTCTGGGGATGAATTTGTAGTAGTCAGTGAGTTAGGGCTACTGTCTCCCTCGTCAGAGTCCTGTATCCTGCTTCACCACAATCAGGTACAGTTCTGAGCTGACTCAGCATCCTCACTGGTGGTTTTTGATGCGGGGGTACAACCTCCTTACTGGCTTTGTGGGGAATCCGCAGTCTGGTGCCCAAGGAACACTTGATGCAGGCGGCTGGACCTGCGTCCCTGGTTCCCCAGCGGAGAGTATGTAGCCACGACAGAAGTATTTGCTCTTCACCACATAGTTGGCTCAGTTCCTGTGAGTTCACTGTGCCATTTCTTCACCTGCCTGTTCTCTAGGCTCCCCAGAGTTCCCTGTCCAAGAAGCCCCGAGCATGTTCTTAGAAGAGACACCTGCAACATCCCCTGCAGTAGCTCAGAGCAGCAGCAGCAGCAGCAGCAGCGAGGAAGAAGCCAGGGAGGCCGAGTCCCCTGCACAGGAGTTCAGCAAGTATCAGAAGTCCCTTCCTCCTCGTTTCCAGCGGCAGCAGCAGCAGCAGCAGCAGCAGCAGCAGCAGCAGGTAAAGCGATGGACATGACCATGAGCAAATGTTCTCCCCACTCACCTCCAGTTTAAAGAAACGGCAGTATTCTTACATGTCACAGTCACCATCACAGATGTCAGAGATGACACCTCAGAACTTGGACTGTCTCCCCATTGGTAGAGGCTCTGTGCGTACACACTGATTGGTGCACTCTCTGAGCTGCATTTGGTGCAGTGTGGGGGCAGTCTTCACTCAGAGCACCCCCTCTGACCCTATTCAATTATACCGGGGCTTCTGAGTTTCCTAAAGCCTGGTTGGTGCATTGGGAGTTACTGGAGAGGGACACCAGCTTTGGATTAAGGATGTTCACCTTGTATAGGGCTCCCACCCTCAGCCCATGTTCTTCTTTGTAAACTAGAGAGAGTGCCTTCCTCAGCAGAGCAGAGAGCCTTTGGCAGTGATGCCCATGAGCAGGCCAGAAGCATTGCCCATATTGGTCTGAAACCGTCAAAATGGTCTGCTCTTTTCTCTGGAGATGGTGTGGCCAGTGGCTAGCGTTGCAGCAGTCCCCATGTCCTGGGGACCTCCTCTGCTGGAAGTGTCCATGGCAGCTGTGTGCCCTGGAGAGTAGTGATTGCTGGGACTGGGGCTGGAACTTAGTGGTAGAGCTCGCCCGCATGAATGAGGTCTGAGGTCAGTTCTCGGTACCTGGCATACAAAGGAAAACACTTCTAGGGACTGGGATGACGGGGGTGTTACTTGGAAGCCCAGCAGCTGAGAGTACAATATTTTTATCTAAGACTTTTTTGTTTTTGTTTTTTGAGACGGGGTTTCTCTGTGTAGTTTTGGTGCCTGTCCTGGATCTCGCTCTGTAGACCAGGCTGGCCTTGAACTCACAGAGATCCGCCTGGCTCTGCCTCCCGAGTGCTGAGATTAAAGGCGTGTGCCACCACCGCCCAGCCAATCTAAGACTGTTTTAAGTAAACTTGTTTTTTAAAGACGTTTTTCCCCCCCAGGCCTCATGTGGATATATGTGGCCAGACATTGGGCGCCATATGTAGGCAGACTTTTCTGTCCTTCCCATGAGCTTCCAAAAAAGCCCACAGAGACTTCTTCCTAATTAAGAAAGCCCAGCCTCTAGCTTAGGCTTGTTTTTAGCCAGCTCTTCCTACTGAAATTCACTTATTTCTACTGATCTATGTGCTGCCTTGAGGCTCACTTACCTCTGTGAACTTCACATGTTGCTTCTTCCTGTCTAGTTCAATACTCTTCAGACTCTGCCATTTTTCCCAGCATTCTCTCTGCCCCGAAAATCTGCCTAGCTATCGGCCACTCAGCTTTTTATTGACAATGAGAGCAACACATTTTCAGAGGATTATTCCACAGCACAGAGCTCGTGGAGATGACATCATGAGAGACGTCTGGTGGGTGGCGTGAGGGTCTCGTTGCTGAGTAGTCATTGGTGGTTTGTGTTTATCTCTTCAGATATCTTAGAACACAGTGCCATAGCAAGCCAAACATATACCACCTCTTATGATTCAGATTCAGATTCAGTTAGGGAGACAGCCTCGAAAACCAGCCAGCTACCATGACAGCAGCAAACGGAGCAAAATAGGGCCCTGGTTCGGCCTGGTGGCTGCTTTCCAGAGGCAATGTGCTTATGCTGGGAGTGTAGTGAAGAGCATCCTAGTCCAAGGCCCCAGCCTTCCCACGGGCTAGCAAAGCTCCACAGGACTGAAACAGAGAGTCGGGTGCATTGTGGAGGAGTAGCCAAGAAAGACCCCCCATAGGCTGCTGGGAGCCATATGGGGTCAGACTGGTAAGAAGAGAGCAGGGGACTTGGAGCCACAAATGTGGGGTGCCATGACCCTGGTACGTGAGCGGGTCTGATTCTAGGAAGTAGTCATTCAAACGGTAACTCTAGTCTGATGGGGATAGCTGAGGTGCTGCACACAGTCCTTGAAGTGACACCATCATGGCTGTTCATCCAGCTCAGAGAGACCTCAGCCCGGGACATGTTAGTGTGTGCATGTCCGGTCTCCATTCCCCCCCACCCCCCTGACACACACAGGGTTTCTTTGAGTAGCTCTGCAGACCAGGCTGGCCTCAGGCTCGAACTCAGAGGTCCACCTGCCTCTGCCTCTTGAGTCCTGAGACTAAAGGCGTGTGCTACCACCGCCCAGCTTGTTAGGGCCTTTCTGGAGGACTGGAGGGCTGTACCATGCGCACTGGTGTGCGCCTCAACCCCTCATACATGTCTTCTTCCTCCAGGAGCAACTATACAAGATGCAGCACTGGCAGCCGGTGTACCCCCCGCCTTCTCACCCCCCGCGCTCCTTCTACCCACACCACCCCCAGATGCTGGGCTTTGACCCGCGGTGGATGATGATGCCCTCCTACATGGACCCACGCATTACACCCACTCGGACACCCGTGGACTTCTACCCCTCAGCCCTGCATCCTTCAGGTGAGCACAGGGCCAGGTAACTGGGAAGGGAAGGGAAGTCGCCAGAAGAGTTAGAGCCACTGAGTTCAGTCTGGCCTGTGTCAGGTTGTTCGGTTGCTCTTGAGTTTTACCAAGTTAAAGACACAATTTTGCTCCTGTCAAAAAGTTATTGGGACCTGAGTGTGGGTGGGGACATGTTTGTAATTTCAGCACTTGAGAGGCTGAGACAGGAAGTGAGACCAGCCTGGGCTATGTATTGGGACTCTGTCTCCAAACAAACAAAATTGTTGGCTTGAGTTACGAACTTGTATATTGTAAGTTGCCTGGATTACACTCAGATCTCTGCCCGTCATCGATCCTCTTTGCATCCTGGCTTTTGGGTTTTCTCCCTTAAAACCAGCTTTGGAGTTTCTTCAACCCTTTGTCTTACTGTACAGTTCTCTTTATAGTACAAGTGCCTACTTGTTCATTATTCCTACTTACAATACAATCTTTATAGTATTGTTTCTAGTGTTGCTTTTTTGGGGTCCTGTGATGTGACATTCTCAGCAGTAAGCTGTTTATCTCACTGCCGAGGTGGTGCATAGGCATAGTGATTGTTAAGTGGTCTCAGTCTCTTTCTCGTCATATCCAAGTCGTCCATGAACTTGCACTTGCCAGTTGTGTTGTACAAATACCCGTATCATTAGTTTTTAAAATCCCCTTGATCGGTTACTAATGGGTGTTAAAATTGCTGACCACAAGGTTTGAAATTTAACTTAGTGGTAGAGCTCATTCTTTTAGTATTCACAAGGACCTGGGTTCAACTCTAGCACCAAACTTACAAACAAATAAATATCCCAGTGTGGTTGTGGCTTTGTAGAATCCTCATAAGCCACCAGTGTTGGTTTTTGTGGTGTTTTTTGTTTTGTCTCTGTGTAACCCTCTAGCCTTGAACTCACTCTGTAGACCAGGCTGGCTTCCAACTCACAGAGATCCACCTGTCTCTGCCTCCTGAGTGCTGGGATTAAAGGCGTGCGCCCCCACACCTGCTTTTTAGCTTGTTCTTGAGACCTCTCTCTCACTGTAGCTCAGGCTGGCCTCACATTCACGAAGTCCTCTTAGGTCAGCCTCCTGTGTGCTGAAATTACAGGCTGGGGCCACTGTGCCCAAACAAACACTCGTTCTTGCGGCATGAGTCCGGAGGCCCGTGGGAAGGATGTACCCCTCTTCTTTATGTCGGTGTCGGTTTCCTGTCTTTGCTGCGTTGTCTGGGTTTAATGTAATTGTCCTGGGTTTCTTCACTATTTGATACCTTCTGTTCTGGACTTACTGTGACTCTTCTGGAAGGCTTCCTGTGTGGATGAGAAGGCTTACTCGGATAGTCTATAGCTTTTAATTGCCAAAGCTGGTTCCTTTAGGTTTATTGGGAAGCTGAGTGTGGTGGTATGTACTTTTAATCCCAGCACTTGGCAGGCAGGTGCAGGCAGGCCTCTAATTTCGAGACCAGCCTGGTCTACAGGATGAGTTCCAGGAAAGATAGAACTACATAGTGAGACCCTGTCTCAATCTTCCCCCCCCATCCTCACCAAAAAAAAATTGTTTTCTGTCTGTGGGCTGGAGATAGCCCAGCGGTTGAGAGCGCTGGCTGCTCTTTCAGTTCCGGCTCGCACATGGGAGCTCACAAACCGCCTTACGTCCAGTTCAGAGGACCCAGTGCCATCTTCCCAGCCTCTATGGGCACCAGGCAAGCATCCACATACATATATGCATACGTATGTATGTACATACATACATGCATGCATGCGTGCGTGCATAAATATATATTTACATACACAGGCAGGCAAACATAACAGGATCCGTCTCTCTCTTGTTGTATTGTGTTCATCTCCCATCCTCAGTGATATTCCAGAGCTCCTGTTTTGTGTCACCCTCCTGCTGCGACTTCAGGCCATCCTTTCTGTATTGTACTTTCCACATGAGAAGGCTGGGTTTGCTCCCAGTGGGAGAGAGGAGAGAGAAGGGAATGTAAGTGTGAAAAGGAACTAATAGGAAGGCGGTTGCCTCCATGTTGCCATCCAGGAATCCGTCTTAAGAACTGTCTGCAGCTCTTCCCCTGTATAATCTACCTTTTAAATTTCAGTGACTATATTTCAATAATTTATTTTTATTTTGTGTTCATTGGTATTTTGTGTGCATGTATGTCTGTGTGAGGGTGTCAGAATCCCTTGAACTGGAGTTAAAGATAGGCCTGAGCTGCCATGTGGGTGCTAGGAATTGAACCCAGGTCCTCTGGAAGAGCAGCCAGTGCTCTTAACCACTGAGCCATCTCTCCAGCCCCAGCAGTATATTTTTTGGAAATAGGGTGTGCTTCCCAAATCATTGTTTTATTTTTCTTTCCTCCTCCTCTTTTTAACATGCATTTCTCCGTTTGGGGGAGTGTCACCCGCACAGCATGTGTGTGGTGATCAAAAGGTCTCTGTCTACCATGTGGCTTTGGGGATTGAACCTTCACTCCTCCAGCCATTTCACCAGCTCCTAGTAAAGGTTTTCTTTGTTTTTAAAGACAGGGTCTCTATGAGGCCTTGCTTGTCCTGGAACTAACTATGGAGACTAGTCTGACTTCAAACTCACAGAGTGCTGGGATTACAGGCGTGCACCATTGCATCCACCAAGATTTTAATTCCTTCTTTTATGCTTTCAATCATTTAAATATAAATTTTTAGTGTTTTAGGTTGTTCTACAAAGTATCTAGTTATGATATATTACATTCCATACACATTCTGGCCAATTTTGTCTTTTAAGTTCAGTTTCAAGACCTGATAAGGATTAGATTCTGGCTGGGCCTTCATTGGATTCGGGGCCCATCCTCCCAGAGCCCCTTATAACCAGTTTTGGTTAATTTGAGAGATCTCTGCATCATTCTGGAAGGCAGAAATTTGAATACAGCCATCCTGAAAACCCTAAGAAAGCAAGTAAGAATGCAATTATATTTTGAATTCCTAAGGCTGGTTGGTTTTATCCTTCCCTGGACTGGACTGAGATGAATGTCCAGGTGGGAATCCCCTGTACCAAAGGGGGTTTCTAATGTTTAGTAGTATTTCAGAGGCATTGGAAGTCTTCTGAGAGGATGCCAAAGAGTAGGCCTGCAGATGTGGAGAGGCTGGGGAAGGAACATCACGTTACCTATGTCCTAGTCATCTGGACCGCTTGCTCCATGCTCTCCCTCCTCAACAACAGAATTCTCAAATAAAGAATGCAGAGTATCCGTGTCCAACTTCCCGTAGGGATAGTAGGAAGTGAAGCCAGATCTCTGTCTGAATCAACTGAGTGCTGGCTGTCTGGTCTTTGTGAGCCGTCTGGGATGTGGCTCATCTGTCCAAAGCTGTGCAGTGTTGCGGCGGCTCCCGGGCCAGCCCCGCTGATTTGACATCTGGCTTCCATTCATTGTTTTCACTATCTTTCAAATGGGTCCCCCCCTCCCCCCCAAGACAGTGTAACCCTGGCTGTCCTGGAACTTACTCTGTAGACCAGGCTGGTCTTGAACTCTTGAGATCCGCCTGCCTCGGCCTCCCGAGTGTTGGGATTAAAGGCGTGCGCCACCACCACCCAGCTCATGGATTCTTGTTCTGGGAACCAGAATTGGCTCCTAAGGGTCATAAGCAGGTCATGTGGTGTGGCCCTGTGCCACAGGGTCCTCTGTCAGGGTAGAGTGAGGACTTACATGCTGAAGGCGTAGCTGCTTCGTCCATGTGGTGCTGGGACCGCTGCCTCTGTTTTGAGGCTGTGTTTTGCTTTGAGGCCCTTGCCAGGCACTCTATGTCAGAAGAGAGAGCTTGATTCTTTGTTTTCTTCAGGACTGATGAAGCCCATGATGCCTCAAGAGTCCCTCAGTGGGACTGGCTGTCGCTCTGAAGATCAAAACTGTGTGCCCTCACTCCAAGAAAGAAAAGTGACCACCATCGACCCAACTCCCGTGTGGAGCCCTGAGGGCTACATGGCACTGCAGAGCAAAGGTTACTCACTGGCCCACCCGAAGTCTGCCGACACCCTGGCCATGGACATGCACGTCAGGTGAGCTGACCCTCCTGCTGCTCTGCGACTGAAGGAAGACTCCACAGTCCCCATGGAGGGCCCTAGGAAGAGGCCCCGTCCCTGGGGACACTGCCCCGAGGGAGGGGCGGGGCGAGTGTAAGCAGGTGTGTTTGAATGCTTGGTGTGAGTGACTCTTTCTAATGGCCAGGCTGAGGCTCAGCAGGAACCCTGTGGTCGCCGCTGCCGCCGCCGCCGCACTGTGGGCACGGGCAAAGGCGCAGAGGGGCGGGCTCACAGGCAGCTGGGTTGGGGGGTCTGGGCTTGCTCCTCCTGTGTGAGCGGGAGCTAGCCCTGGCACCCCTCGGCCCAGGCTCACAGACTCCCAGGCTCCAGCTTGTTCATTGCTCCAGGGACTGCCAGCTCCTCTCTGTCTCCAGGGTGGTGTACTGAGCTGCCACTGCCGTCGCCACGCTCACGGACTCCAGGGGCCACCGAGCAACGTGTCTTAAGCTAGAGCAAATGTTTGCTTGTGGTTTCTTTTCTTTTTAAAAAACATTTTTTTTTTCTTTAAAACAAACCAAACCAAAACTAAGCCCTGTTCAGCATGGAAACCAGGAACCAAGCTCCAATCACATTGACTGATTTTTCTGGTTCCTTTTCAGGAATGAAAGGTCTTACTCTGCCTCCCCCGGAAGGTCAGGGGGCTTAAGTGCCCAGCGCGATCTCTTTGAGGAGAGAGGGGAGGAGTTCTTGAGTGCTTTTGACAAGAAGGCCCAAGCAGACTTTGACAGCTGTGTTTCTGCTCAGAGAATAGGCCAGGAGCTTTTATTTCCACCCCAGGAAAATGTTCAGGAGGTGGGTGCTCCTGGGGGGCGTACCCCAAACCTCAGGTGTTCCCCATTGGAGCCCGACTTTGTCCCAGCCGAGAAAAAGCCAGAGTATGGCAGTTGGGATGTTGGCCACCAGCCACAGGCTGCCGACACAGCTAACAGTGTCGAGCGGGAGGCACCCCAGGAGGAGCCATCCTTCCACGCTTCCTCCTGGGAGAAGGAAGGGAGCCCCAAGAAACAACCAAACCCAGAGCCCGAGTGGACGCCCGAGTCCCGGAGCCAGCACCAGGAGCAGCCGGGCAGGACCCGGAGGTCGGGACCCATCAAGAAACCTGTCCTCAAGGCCCTGAAGGTGGAAGAGAAGGAGAAGGCGCTGGAGAGGGCCAGGCAGGGCCTGGGAGAGGAGAGCTCTCAGCCGGCCCTAGACAAAGAGCCCATGTGCGGGACAGAAGAAGATGAGGATGAAGAGAACAACCCTGCTCTGGCCAATGCCTCCTCTTCTGCCCTGGAGGACAAGGCTGCTGCCCGGCCTGGGTTTGGCCATGAGGCCAGCAAGCCGGATGAAGACGCTAAGGCTGATAAGACCTGGGAGAGCAGGCCCTCGAGGGATGCCAGTGACATTCCCCCAACCAAGAGAAACAACTGGATCTTCATTGATGAGGAGCAGGCCTTTGGGGGCCGGGGCCAGACCCGCAGCCGTGGCCGCGGCTTCAGAGAGTTCACCTTCCGAGGCAGCCGGCCTGCAGGCAGCAACACAAGTGGTCTGTGTGGCACGGGTGTCCTCGGGGCTCGCAGCATGTACAGTGGTGGCCAGCGCAGTAGCCGAGGCAGGGGCCTTCGTGACTTCCCCCTGCCAGAAGACTGCCCTAGAGCCAAGCCCAGGCGCCGCATCGCCAGTGAGACCCACAGCGAGGGCTCTGAGTATGAAGAGCTACCCAAGAGGCGGCGTCAGCGGGGCTCCGAGCCTGGCCACGAGGGCATGCTCCTGGAAAGGGACGAGGGCGCCCTGAAGAAGGACTCTTGGCGCTCCAACAGGACTTACACAGAGGACCAGGGTGGCCTAGATGCCCGCAGCCGGGGACCCCGGGCCTGTGGGAGGGCCCTCCCACCTCGCCTAAGCAATTGCAGCTATGGCCGAAGAACCTTTGTCACCAAAGAGCCTCCCCACTGGCAGAGCCGGAGCCCAGGTGGCTCCTGGCAGGAATATGGCCCCTCGGACCCATGTGGCCCACGGCGAACCACTGACAGAGACTACATCCCAGACTCCTACCGACACTCTGACACATACGGCAGCAGGGTCTTCGAGGACAGCCGCATGGAGGACAAGAGGTCCTTTTTCCAAGATGACCACGGGGCAGATTCTGAAAATGCAGAGAACAGGCCCTTCCGCCGGAGGCGGCCCCCACGCCAAGACAAGCCCCCTCGCTTCCGGCGCCTCCGTCAAGAGCGGGAGTCCCTGGGCTTGTGGGGACCCGAGGAGGAGTCCCACCTGCTGGCAAGTCAATGGCCAGGCCGGTCCAAACTCAGTCCTGGGGACAAGAGTGGTCCTGGAGGTCACAGGTCCCCAGAGCTCTCCTACCAGAATTCTTCTGATCATGCCAACGAAGAGTGGGAGACGGCCTCTGAGAGCAGCGACTTCAGCGAGCGTAGGGAGCGGCGAGAAGGCCTTGCAGCTGAGCCTGAAGCACAAGGGGATGGTGGCCTGTCAGGGGCCAGTCTGGGTGAGAAGAAGGAGCTGGCCAAGCGGAGCTTCTCCAGCCAGAGGCCCCTGGCTGACAGACAGAGCCGCAAGCTGGAGCCGGGAGGGTTTGGGGAGAAGCCTGTTAGGCCAGGTGGGGGTGAGGCTTCCCCCCGCTGCGAGAGCCAGCAGAGCGGGACTTCTCTGAAAGTCAAAAGGTAACGCGCCAGCACCATCTCGGGTCCTTGTCGTTGTCCTGTCCGCAACAGCACCAAGTCCATGCATGCACGCCCTGCCAAGCCAGGCGGCCCTGGCCGCTGTGTGTGAGCGTCTCCATCACCTGCTCCTGCATTGCTTGTCGCTTCTCCATGGTGTGTCATTGTTGATGTTGTGGCTTGATCAACTCCACCCAGAGTGCCCATAGCCTGTTCCCCAGAGGCCTCCTTGTGACTGCTGTCCTAGCCAGTGTCCCTGGAGTCCAGCCTCCGAGTGTATTCTCAACCCTGCAGTGGTGGCTGTTGCCTGTGTGTGGTGCCTGGGGAGCGCTGACCGGGAGACATCCCTCGCCTTTTGGTCATGTGGAGATAGCTCTGGCCCTTGGCGGTCCTGCTTTCCTGTTGCCGCCTGGGCAGGGCTGGAGCCACCAGGAACGGGAGCAGGCCGCTTGCAGCCCATGAGCCTGGTTCTCTAGAACTGGAAGCTTTAGGATAGGTAATCTGTTGGGTATTGACCCACTGCCCCGGGCTTGTTGCCTCAGATTGAGGTTTCAGGGGATGCAGAGGTCACCCCTCCTGTCCTTGTAATTCAGGGTTCGCAACTCTGGTGTACATACCCTGAAGAAGTTGAGGAAAGTGTTTGTTCTTTCAAGTGTTTGTGTGACCACACTCCAGCCCCTAAAAGGCATTGTGAATGTGCTCAAAAGCCCTGCAGCCAAGGAAACCTGTGCTGCTGTTTCTGTTCAGAAAGGCTGGCAGTCCCGTCCTGGGCGCATTTGCCCAGCCTCTTCTCACTAAAGGCAGCATGCAGTGCGAGGGAATGGAATGCTGGGAAGGAGGTGTTCACAGCAGCCTTCCCCTGCTCAGGTAGAGTCCTTCCCCACAGAACTGAACCAGCACATAGCATGTACTGTCCGCAGGCCTTCCTGACCCTTGATGGCTCCGCAAAAGGTTCTGGAGCTAGACAGCTGCCATGTCTGTGTGTGTGGGCCTTGTGCATTCCAAGTTTTTCCTCATCCCTCTCTCCTAGCCTTTGCGTGATGGCGAAATCATGAAATCCCCTTCCTTTGCAGGTCTCCAGATGAGGCCTTGCCTGGAGGCTTTGGTTGCAGCAGTGGAAGCCACTCACCCTATGCCCTGGAGCGGACCACTCACACCAGCTCCGACAGTCCTGAAGCCACCAGGAAGAAAGCAGAGAAGGAGGCTCCCCTGGCTGCCCAGAGGGCTGGTGAGCAGCAGGAAGAGGCCCGCAAGCAGTTTGATCTGGGCTATGGAAGTGAGTTGACCCTAGTCTCTGGGACTTGGTTGGAGTGAGGTGTGTGGTGCAGAGCAGCCCTGACTCCTGTCTTAGGATGCCTCCGGCCTTCCTAAGCCCCCATGACATCTGTATAACTTCCCAGATTTTAAGGGGGTGCCCAAGGTTCCAGGGTGCTCTGTGGTATGTCCATAGCCACATGGCTAGCAAGAAACAGAACTGGGTTCATGAATCTGCATCTTTAAAGGCAGTTTTCTCCATCATGGTGCCTGAGCTCCTCTGGGTTGTGTTTGCAATGTCCCCGGTCACATGGGCATGAGAAGGGTGGGGCACCATGTCCAGGTTTCCTTAGACACTGGGAAAGTGGACTTCTGAGCCAGGCATGTGCCTTGTTCTTTCTTGTGACTTCTGGTTCAGATGCCATCATTGACAACTGCGCGTCCAGCCCTGGGGAGGAGAGTGAAGTGGGCTCCATGGTGGGGGAAGGCTTCATTGAAGTCTTGACCAAGAAGCAGCGCCGCCTGCTGGAAGAGGAGAGAAGGAAGAAGGAGCAGGCTGCTCAGGTGAGGGCCAGAGGGCAGCCCTGGGTGGAAGAGAGGCAGGCAGGATGTCTGTCAGGAATGCATTATCTCCACTACCTGTCACCATTGCCCTGAAACAGACAGGAGAAGATAGACTCTAACGACCAAAATGTGACCCGCCAGGTCTGAGATCTGTCTCACAGCACCCCTATGTCTTCCTCTTTCCTGAATGAAACCCCAGCCTGGCTGGGTGACCCCTGTCCTGCAAATCTCAGGGGGCTGGAACCCTGTGACAAAATGCTTGAGGCTGGCACGTCTCTCAGCCTGCTCCTGGGGCCAGTCTGGCTAACCCGGCAGTGCACCGAGTCAGACTGAGGTTTTGAAGACGGGTGTCGGGCATCTCAAGCTAGTTCGCTTTTCCCAGGAGAGTTTGTCGTCTGTCCTGTCTTAGGCTGCACTGCATTAGCCTCTTCTCCTGTAGGTGCCTGTCAAAGGTCGGGGCCTTTCAGCACGTATCCCCCCTCGGTTTGCCAAGAAGCAGAGCAGCCTGTGTCTGGAGCAAGGCGACGCGGCTGTGCCTGGCAGCAGCCTGGGCACTGAGATCTGGGAGAGCGGCAGCCAAGGTGAGGTGGGTGCCTGGCTCAGAAAAGGCAGGGCTCTTCTCCGAGAGTCACCTTTGAGCCTGGAGTATGAGTGCATCATTACCCATTTCCTGGGCCACAGCAGAGCCAGTGTTGAGTGGCATCTGAACTGTTGCTGCCGCAGTCCCTGGCGGGTGACACATCCCTGACCCCAGTGCAGTAGACCGGAGGAGTTGGTGTCAAAGCTGGCACCTTGGAGGAGGAGGCGTCGTATTTCCTCACCTAGTAGAAGAATGAATGACAGAGGGCCGGGACTGGGTTAGCGAATGCCCTTCCCCGACAGGAAGGGCAAAGTTCAGACTAAAGTCAGTGTACCTTCTTGAAAATTTTATTTCCATAAAATTGTTTTGTTTGTTTTTAATGCCCCACGCACGGCTGTGCTTTGGAACTTGTACTTTAAAACAGAAAGCCATTCCAGTTGATCAGGTTGTTCTTGAAGGCTCCTTTGCGTGGGGCCTATGCAACAGTGAGCTGTAAGATTGTACAGCTGACTGGAAGGTTCTCTGTGGCTTGCAGAGGAGCTAGGAGAGCCCACTCTATAGAACGGTGGCTGACCCCAGGCTAGGACAAATGCCACAGTGGTGACTTGAGTTCCCACAAGTCTGCTTTGTCATAGTTTCACTCATCCTTGTGTCTTAGTGAAAACCCTGGTTATAGTGTGCTGCAGAGCAACACTGAGTGATGTTGTGCCCTGGTCACATGTGGTGAGGAAGCGCGCCAGGTAGAGGTTGACTCAGTGACAGGCACCTGCTTGGCGGCGGCGTGCACCAGACTGAAGAGTATTCGTCCGCTGAGAAGTCAAGGATTGTAGAGCAACACTGAGTGATGTGCCCTGGTCACATGTGGTGAGGAAGCGCGCCAGGTAGAGGTTGACTCAGTGACAGGCACCTGCTTGGCGGCGGCGTGCACCAGACTGAAGAGCATTCGTCCGCTGAGAAGTCAAGGATTGTGCATGTCAGTTGTTAGACCAGGCCCCCATGTGTGGCTTCAGAGTGCATCGTATGCATATCCATTTTCTGGGCTCAGGCTCTATGGCTTAGGTTGGATTCAGGGAAAGGTCTGTGGGCTTACTGAATTGGGCTGTGTCTTCCTGGACCTTTCAAAGACTTAAAGAAGCTGCCCGCTTGAGGCTTCACTACAGGTTAGTGTCTGCATAGGACTGACGGAGAGTTGAAGTGATACAAAGCCAGTGAGTGTAGCTGGGTGTGGTGGCGCACACCTTTAACCTCAGCACTCAGGAGGCAGAGACAGGCAGGTCTGTGTGAGTTCCAGCCAGAGCTACATAAGACCTTGTCTAAAAAATAACTCCCCTTCTCCATGCCCCCATCTCAAAACAAAACAAAAACGAACAGTATAAAGTCAGTTAGATTCCGAGCAAGTTTGGGGTTTTGTTTACATCTGAAGGTGCTGGTTGTTGAGGGGTGCTCACACAGCCGGTGTCAGGGGCAGTCACAGAGACCTGTCTGTGGTGAGGTGTGCAGAGCCCCTGGCGGGCGGTGCCGTAAGCTGTCTTTTCAGCTGGTGTCCACAGCACAGCTCACGTCCTCCAGACTGCCTGTCTCGCTGATGTCCTGACTCTGTCTCTTTCCCTCAGCAGCCCTCCCTGTGCAGGGCGCAGCCAGCGATTCCTGGAGGAAAGCCGTCACCGCCTTCAGCAGCACTGAGCCTGGCACCACAGAGGTGAGTGCCACCACACCCACATGCCCTGGTGCTGCAGTGCCTTCACTGGCAGCCGGGTCAGTCCACGGTGCCTGGCTCGTCTCCCTCTAGCCTTGGCCTCTGGTTTTTGTGTGGTGCCTGCATGAGCAGAGAGACAAGGGAGACCTGGACTAGAGAGCCGATTGAGAAGCACCTCTGAGCTGGTCTTGGCTGGCACTCGTATGCCAAGGTGCTCATGAGCCTGAGTGGAATCGGTGCATTCCTTAAGCTGGGCGTGTGCCATGGGCCACTGTCACCAGGTCAGGACTGGAGTTAGGAGTGGAGGCTGGTGGCTGGGGAGGAATGCCAGTGCCACACAGACTTGCCTCCTGGATGCTGTGCTTTGCAGTGTGGGGACAGGGCTCTAACCCATTTTGTGCTCTGCACAGCAGGGTTTTAAGAGCAGCCAGGGAGATAGTGGTGTTGACTTGAGTGCTGAATCTCGGGAGTCATCCGCGACCTCCTCACAGCGCAGTTCCCCATATGGTACTCTCAAGCCAGAGGAGATGAGCGGGCCTGGCCTGGCGGAATCCAAGACCGACAGCCACAAGGACCAAGTTCAGAAGCAGTCTGAGCACAAGGTAACCTGGAAGTCCTCTACATGGTGGCCAGGGCATGGGCGGAAGGGGCCCTTCTTTGTCTTGTCTTCCTTGATGCCAAGGGCACCTGGAAGCAGCTGTGTCCAGCCTCTCTGCTTTCCCACCCAGGACTCAGATCAAGGATCTGGACAGAGCAAGGAGCACAGACCAGGACCCATCGGCAATGAGCGCTCCCTGAAAAACAGAAAGGGCTCGGAGGGGGCCGAGCGGCTGCAAGGGGCCGTCGTCCCGCCTGTTAATGGGGTGGAGGTTCACGTGGACCCTGTGCTGCCTGTACCCCCCATTGAGTTTGGGGTCAATCCAAAAGTGAGTTTCACTTTTACTCTTTTCTTTCTTGTTTGTGCTTCGGATTGTCTCCTAGAGAAGAAAGGAAGATAGGCGCTGAGCGTTATTTTGGGAAGAGTGTTAGTACAGCGTCAGGGATAGGCAGATGTTACTGGATTGCTGTATAGATGACCTTTCTGGCACCAGCTGGGCTCAGGCCAGCCAGGGTAGAGAGGGGCAAGTCAGGTAGCTTCCTTTCCTGTGTGTGGTGTTGCATATTGGACAGTGTTATTGATGTGGGCCCAGTGACAGGTGAGCGGGGTGGGGCTCAGACACTGTGTCCCCTTCTCTTCCAGGACTCTGATTTCAGCCTGCCACCCGGTTCTGCTTCTGGTCCTGTAGGAAATCCAGTTGCCAAGCTTCAGGATGTCTTGGCTAGTAATGTAAGTCAGCATGTCCTCCTCCAGCTCTGCCTCTGCACGCTTGCCGGCAGCTCTGTGCTGGGACTGTTCTAGCCATCCCTAGGTTTGGGGACCTTTGGCTGCAGATGGTATCAGTCTTCTTAAGGTCTGGTTTGCTTTAGCTCCAGTCTCCATGTTGTGCCAGCTGTGGTGCAGACTGCTCTGCCTGAGGAGAGAGCCCAGGGCGAGCACCCTCAACACTGAGCCACACACCCCATCCTCCCATCCCCCCATCCCACACACACCCCATCCCACACACATCCCATCCCCCCCATCCCCCCCCCCCCCCCCCCACTATTCTTTCATGGCTAATGGGTAACTGGTTAAGCAGGCAAACCTCCTGGAAGCTGCTCTCCCTCACTGGCAGGGACCACAATGTGTGACTGCCGCGGCAGACTGGGTTCTGTGCACTCAGGAGAGGGAGATTCTGCATTGTGAGCTGCTTGGGGAAACTGCTGCGTTCATTGACCTGTCCATTGACTTCTCTCCATCTGCCCGATGAGGGCGGGCATCCAGGCAGCATTCCCAAGAAGGCTGCGGGAGGAGGAGCTGCGGGAGGAGGAGCTGCGGGAGGAGGAGCTGCGGGAGGAGGAGCTGCGGGAGGAGGAGCTGCGGGAGGAGGAGCTGCGGGAGGAGGAGCTGCGGGAGGAGGAGCTGCGGGAGGAGGAGCTGCGGGAGGAGGAGCTGCGGGAGGAGGAGCAGCGGGAGGAGGAGCTGCGGGAGGAGCTGTAGTGCTTCCGAACATTGCCAGGCAGTGAATGAAAACCGCTGGGGTTCAGTGTGTTTGAGAGGCTGTGTTAGCCAGGTCTCCTCACTTTGGGAATCCTGAGTGAGTTGTGGGTGGGCTACTGAGCCCAGAGCTCTGGGCTCCAGTCTGCATTTCCCGCCTGCGTTAGGAGGGCACAGAGAGCTGAGTGACAGCCGCCACTTTTACTCTCTGGCCCTGGCCGTCTCCCAAGCCAGGCCTTAGGCTTCTGCCAAACCAGGTGCTTGTTTCTTGGCAGCTCGTCCTTGTTTGTCGCTGGGACATGACTGTGGAGGTGACTTCTGTCATGGAAACTGATCTAGGCAGCCTGCTGTAGATGAGTCTGGCATGGCGGGTATCTGTGCCCTGTGACTTTCTTTCTCTCCTCTCCAGGCAGGACTGACGCAGAGTATCCCCATCCTTCGGCGGGATCACCACATCCAGAGAGCCATCGGCCTGTCTCCCATGTCCTTCCCCACTGCAGACCTCACATTGAAGGTAAAGCCAGGCCTGAGCTGGGCTGGGGTCCTCGCCAGTGCCTCAGCTTGTGATGGGGTGCAGAGGGAGCCCTCCTGCACCCCTGGTTAGGTTGCTGCTCTTCCCTTGGCCCCCAGTAGTAATTTGCATTTCTCCCTTCTCTTGCTTCCAAAGATGGAGTCTGCACGCAAGGCTTGGGAAAACTCCCCCAGTTTGCCGGAGCAGAGCTCTCCCGGAGGTGCAGGCTCGGGGATCCAGCCTCCATCCTCTGTGGGCGCCTCCAACGGAGTCAACTACAGCTCCTTTGGTGGAGTGTCCATGCCGCCCATGCCTGTGGCTTCTGTAGCGCCTTCTGCCTCCATGCCAGGTATCACAGCCCCTGAGCCAGGCTCAGGAGACTTCTCCATTCGCTGTCGAGAGAAGCTGGATTAACTGCTCTGTGCTTTCACTTACAGAGCGACACTGGTTTCTAAGTCAGGTAGTTACAGCTTCCCACATGCTCTGTGCAATGTAATCCCTGCTCTGATGTGAGAAGCAGGATGCTGTACCATAGGGAGGCACTTGGAACTGCCAGAGAGGAGTGAGCAAACCTCCGGCTCTGAGTCAGGCTCTAGTCAGTGCCCACTCCCTGGTGAGCCACTCACCTATAAGCAGGCTGCTGCTGCTGCGCCAGCACTCCGTTGCTGGTAGCTGTTTTGATTCTCACTGTCATTATGCTTGTGACTGGGGATTTTGAGGCCCAGCTGCCAAGGTCTCAGTGATGCAGTTCCAATAGATCCTTCTGACCCTCCACTGTGGACTCAAAGCAGGGAGATGAAGAGGACAGAGACTGAGAGACCCAAGCAGCTCTCTTCCATAGTAAATAGCCCCCAAAGGCCCAGCACGGCTGGTGAGTGGTGAAGAGGTCAGGTGCTCTGCTCCTGTACTGGCCTGGGTTTCCTGAGGTATATGTTACAGCAGAGAATCACGCAGCCTCTGCTCACATGTGTCCTCAGCCCCATTGAGTCCCCTGGGGAACGTGGCCGTGTGCAATGGGGAGACTTGATCCTTTTCTGCCTTGTCTGTGTTCTGTTTCCAGGCAACCACCTCCCACCTCTGTACCTGGATGGCCACGTGTTTGCAAGTCAGCCCCGACTGGTTCCTCAAACGATACCTCAGCAGCAGAGTTACCAGCAGGTGAGCGTAGGAAGCCAGGTGGCCAGAGGTCAGAGGCAGCATGGCTCTGGTCACTCTTTGCATTTCTTTACTGGTGATCTTGTCCCCTGCCCCATGTGATACCCTCTACTGGCAGACCATGGCACCCAGAGAGCATTTGTAGAAAGAGTCTATGATCGATAAAGAGGCACAGGGTAGACACATCAGATTCTGTTCCTTCCTTCTCAGAGTCCTTGCTTCTCTTAGCTGGGGATCAGCTACAGTAGGGGTACACTGGTAATAGGGGTCCCGAAGGGCCTGAGTCTCTGGGCACAGATGCATTAAAAGAGAAAGTTTTAGAAACAGGCAGGGTGTTGGCTTTGCACAAGATTGGCATTCCATCTGTGCTGCAGACTGGTCTGTCTTGGAGCCTCCTTCCAGAGGCTGATGCTGGCCTCCTACACACCCTGGCAGTGTTCTTCCTACTGCCAGTCTCCAATCCAGAGGCTGGAGCTGCCCTCGGCTCTCAAGACATGCTGCCGGGCTGGAGAGATGGCTCAGAGGTTAAGAGCACTGACTGCTCTTCCGGAGGTCCTGAGTTCAATTCCCAGCAACCACATGGTAGCTCACAACCATCTGTAATAGGTCTGGTGCCCTCTTCTGGTCATACATGCTGTATACATAATAAATAAATCTTTAAAAAAAAAAAAGACATGCTGCCATGCTTAAGTTTTCTAAGATTTTGATCCAACTAAATGAATCTTAGCGCCCCTTTGTTCTTTAAAGGTTTGTTTTTATTTTATGAGTATGGGTATTTTGCTTGCATGTATGTGCCCACAGAGGCCAGAAGGCAGTACCAGATCCTCTGGAACTGGACTTACAGTTGTTAGCAACCATGTGGATGCTGAGAACTGAACCCAGGTCCTCAGCAAGAACAATTGCTTTTAACCACTGAGCCATCTTCCTAGGCCTCATGATTTTTGAGTCTTACTCTGTAGTCCAGGCTGGCCTATAACTCACTGTTTAGTCCTGGCCGACCTGGGACTTAGAGCCACCCAACGACTGATATTACAGGTATTAGACACCACACTCGGCTTGCACGTATCCTAAAAAGGATACCCGAAATTCACCTCCATTCATGTGGATGACTGGGCTCATTTCTCCCGTGTACCATTCTAGTGTTAGGGCTACACCATGCCTTGGTCTTGCTACCGATCTTTTGCTGTGGGAAGCCAGATCAGGTGGGTTGGGATGAGCCCTTGCTGACCCGGCCAGGACCCGGTGGAGGTGGGGAGGCATGTTGGGGTCAATGCAGTTATCACCTGGCTCTTGTTTGCAGGCTGCCACTGCCCAGCAGATCCCAATCTCCCTCCACACATCTCTGCAGGCCCAGGCGCAGCTTGGGCTGAGGGGTGGGCTCCCCGTCTCCCAGTCCCAGGAGATCTTCAGCTCCCTGCAGCCTTTCAGGTGAGAGACATCCATGCTGCACCGCTGAGGTTGTGTGCTCCTCTGCTCTGGGGCCAGGGACCAGGCCATCAGATGGTCTCCACTCCTTTCCAGCCCGTGCCCTTCCCTTTACCCAATGCCAACACCACCCCAACCACCGTCTCCCCAGCTCTCTCTTTCAGTATACATGATGGCTTCAGCCTTGCGCATCCAGCATCTGGGAGGTACCCAACCTGGCAGCCTGGCCCGAGCTGGCCCTCGTAGACCAGACTCTTTCAGTATGCATGATGGCTTCAGCCTGGCCTGCCACGCGTGGGTGTGTCCCTAGTCCTCAGGTCGGCAGTGTCAGGCTCATTCCGACCCTCTGCGTCAGTCTCTGGAGAAGCAGGGATGTGTTAGCGAGTTCTCGGTCCCTGTGCTCACCAGTGTTGAAGACAGTCGTGTGCTTGCTCACCTGGTCCTGACCTCCCTCTGGCTTTTGCAGGTCTCAGGTGTACATGCACCCCAGCCTGTCACCACCCAGCACTATGATCCTCTCTGGGGGTACCGCCTTGAAACCCCCATACTCTGCGTTTCCTGGCATACAGCCCTTGGAGATGGTGAAGCCACAGTCCGGCTCACCCTACCAGCCTATGAGTGGAAACCAGGCCCTGGTCTACGAGGGCCAGCTTGGCCAGGCTGCCGGGTTGGGTACCTCCCAGATGCTGGATTCCCAGCTTCCACAGGTCAGTGTGGTTTGGTTTCTCACCAGCCTCCTCTTTCCTCAACTGCCTCCTTGTGTGTGCTGATGTTTGCATGGATGTCTCAGCTGCAGAGACTCCTGTAGTGGTCCCCACATCACCGTGTTCTGACTTAGCTCTCCTCCAGAGCTCTGCTCTAGAGATGTTTGCAGCCCTCAAATGGAGGCTGTGGGGGTGGAAATGGGCAGGTGTCTTTGTTCCCCCCACTTAAGCCTGAATGGACCTGCCCTCCTCACATGCTGGAGCTTCCCACTGCCAAATCTGTTATTGACCCTTCCTTCCTCAGCCTCGGGCCCTGCATGGCAGCTGAGTGGCGCTCCTGGCTTACCCTCTTACTCCATCTCGATGCTCTTGACCATGCCCATAGTGTAAGAGTCACACACAGTTGGCAGCTAGCTCTGCAAAGCTTTCTAACTAATAGCTCCCAGGGGTCCGAGTCCAAGGACTTGAACCCTGCACTCCTCCTGGAAGAAGCTCTCCTCTCCCCAGGGAGGAGACCCTCAGAGCCTCCACTCCTTCTGTCTCCCACCAACCCTAACAGCCACTTCCTGCTGCTTCTCCCTTGCCGCTCCCTCCCCCATCCCTTGCTTCCTGTGGTCCACAGGGCCCGTGGCCACACCTCCCTGCCTGTGTGCTTCTGGACCCCAGCAGCATCCTGTCCCTAGGAAGACCCTCTCATCCTGCAGGCCACCCTGGCTAGTACCCTTCTCTTTCCTGTCAGTGTAGAGGTAGGCTCAGTGCTGCTCTCTTAATTGAGGGGGTCCTCTTTGGACTGTACCACAGCCACCCCATCACAGCGTCACCCCGGTCGTCACTGACTCTTGAAGCCATCTTCAAGACATTATCCTGGCTCACCTTTGTCCTCAAACCCTCTTCCCTCCTTCACACCTCCACCTCCCCCACCCTTGATTGTGGATGCTCCCTTCAGTCCTGTCTTGTTCTCCTTTCCGGTCACCATCCAAGCACTGCTCATTCCAGATTCATTTCTTTTCTTTCTTTCTTTCTTTCTTTCTTTCTTTCTTTCTTTCTTTCTTTCTTTCTTTCTTTCTTTCTTTCTTTTTTTTTTTCGAGACAGGGTTTCTCTGTGTAGCTTTGGTTCCTGTCCTGGATCTCTCTCTCTCTCTCTCTGTAGACCAGGCTGGCCTCGAACTCACAGAGATCCACCTTGCTTTGCCTCCTGAGTGCTGGGATTAAAGGTGTGCGCCACCACCGCCTGGCCCCAGATTCATTTCTACAACCCTGAGTCCTCTGCTGCCTCCTAGCACTGCCGCTTGTATCTACTGGCCAATCCAGCATGCTGGGTCCAAGGCACAGTTTCCCTCCAGTCCTGCTCATCCAATCAACATTATCCTCCATCCTGCTTCTCCTGCCCCTCCCACTCCTGGTCCTTCAGCTGCTCCTGCCATTAGGAGAGATTCAGTGTTTGTTCACACACACACACACACACACACACAAACACACACACACACACACACACACGATCACTGCACTGTGCCATGCTGGTTCTGCAGAGACTTGCTCTTTGCTCCTTTTGCCCTTGGTCCCGATAGCCTGAGCTGTGAGCACAGCTGTACCCGGCCCAGGTATCACTCTTACACGACTTCATCTGTCCATGCTGCTCTCTGCTCTGAGGCCCTGGTGCCACCACAAGTCTCAGTGATGCAGTTCCAATAGATCCTTCTGACCCTCCACTGTGGACTCAAAGCAGGGAGATGAAGAGGACAGAGACTGAGAGACCCAAGTGGCCCGCCCTGCCCCTGTGCTTACCCCTCTCCTCATCTTGTTCTGGATTTGGGATCCGTCCACAAGGGTCTCTGAGGCCTAATTTGGTCCTGTTTTCTGCCACTGTTGATACAAAAAAGTACGCACAAAGGAACGTAAGGAGAGACTTCCTGTGCGGCTTTCACTGGGGGAGCTCTCTGCGGTCTTCTTCCCCTCCGAGCCTGCATGGGTGCCGTGCAGCTGTGGGCGGCGTGTCTCACACATTGTCCTGCATGCAGTGCCGTGCAGCTGTGTGTGTCTCCCACATTGTCCTGCATGCAGTGCCGTGCAGCTGTGGGCAGCGTGTCTCACACATTGTCCTGCATGCAGTGCCGTGCAGCTGTGGGCGGCGTGTCTCACACATTGTCCTGCATGCAGTGCCGTGCAGCTGTGGGCAGCGTGTCTCCCACATTGTCCTGCATGCAGTGCCGTGCAGCTGTGGGCAGCGTGTCTCACACATTGTCCTGCATGCAGTGCCGTGCAGCTGTGGGCGGCGTGTCTCATACGTCCTGCATGCAGTGCCGTGCAGCTGTGGGCGGCGTGTCTCACACATTGTCCTGCATGCAGTGCCGTGCAGCTGTGGGCGGCGTGTCTCCCACATTGTCCTGCATGCAGTGCCGTGCAGCTGTGGGCGGCGTGTCTCACACATTGTCCTGCATGCAGTGCCGTGCAGCTGTGGGCAGCGTGTCTCACACATTGTCCTGCATGCAGTGCCGTGCAGCTGTGGGCGGCGTGTCTCACACATTGTCCTGCATGCAGTGCCGTGCAGCTGTGGGCGGCGTGTCTCACACATTGTCCTGCATGCAGTGCCGTGCAGCTGTGGGCAGCGTGTCTCACACATTGTTCTGCCGTTCTCACTGCTCAAGTCTGAGACCACCCAGAAGTGCTGTGTACACTCTCAGGTGCATGCTTTAGCATTCTGCCCCTCACTGTCCTGTCACCCAACAGCTCACGATGCCGCTGCCTCGGTATGGCTCTGGGCAGCAGCCACTGATTCTACCACAGTCCATTCAGCTGCCTCCAGGACAGAGTCTCCCTGTTGGGGCCCCCCGAAGGATTCCTCCACCTGGCTCCCAACCACCAGTCCTGAACACCAGCAGAGAGGTAAAGGTGGTTCCAGAGAGGGGGCTGTGTCTAGTCAAGACTTCTACCATAGAGCTGTATCACAGAAAGTGCAGGCTCCCAGCCTCATGTGGCTTTCTCACACTGCAAAGTCTACAGAGTCCCAGATGCCAGACTCCTCGCTTATGTGTAAACTAGTTGGGAAGACAGGTTCTGGCATGTGCCAGACTACCAGGCAGCAAGGAAAGTGTGCAACCATTGCCTCAGCAATGGGGCAGAGCCACTTGGAGCCACCTCAGATGCAGGACCCATAGACTCTTGACTAAGGACAGGTCACTGGAGCTCAGATGTGGCTGGTATCTGGGTGATAGTCTACAGCGAGAAAATAAACACTAGGAATCAGCCCTCCTTGAGCCTGGTTGGGGCTGGGGCCGTTGTGGGTTGGCTGTCTCTGGACTGCTGAGTGACCACGTTCCTTCTTGGCCACTCTAGTCCGCTCAGATGGAGCTGAAAGGCTTCCACTTTGCCGACAGTAAACAGAATGTTCCTCCCGGAGGCTCCGCACCATCCCCGCAGGCCTACAGGTAAAGATGAACCCTGGGGGTTGGGGCTCATTGCTGAGTGTTCGATGTGTCAGGAAGAATGGTGCAAGAGCACTGTAGCATGGCCCCTCTGTGTGCCCGCGTGTCACTGCGGCATCCCTGGTAACTGGAGAAAGCAGACTTGTTTCTAATCTGCAGAGTAAGATGCTCTGAGGAGTAAGAGCTTTCTAGGGTGTCTGCCTTGCCCCAGGGTCTCTTGTATGTATTCAAACTCACCCTCTGACCCCTATCAGAGAACTTTTTAATGCTGGGCGTGGGTGGCCTTTCTTCCCATACCACAAACTGGTACCCACTGTTTTCCTTGGTATGGGTCTCTACCTCTAGTAACCACCCATGTTCTCCTTCGCCTGATTCAGAGGTATCCATTGGGTCATGGCAGGGGCTCCTGGTCCCCCATGCTGGGCTGGGGGTATAGCTCTATCCCTGGGCCTGAGAGCACATGCAGCCTGGTGCCTTGTGTTTACACATGGAATGGGACAGACACACCCAGTGTCTCTCTAGAGGACATTCAGCAATACACTCTGCAGGGAGAGTCCTTCCATCTCTGTGTCCCATTTTCACTGACCATTGGACCTGACACCCGCAGGGCTGCACCGGAACTTCCTTCATCCTTTCTTTGCCTTGCATCATTACCATAGAGAGAGGGCTCATAAAGACCGCTCAGTGTGTCTTATTTTATGTTCTTGCTGTGTGGCTTCTTTTTGTTTGTGCATGAGTGCATTTTGTTTTGCTATCATGACCTGGCAGAAGACCCATCCAGCAGAGCTGTGTGGAGGGCAGCATAGCACAGTGTGTATGTTGAGGGAGGCGGGAGGGATGGAGGGAGCTTCAAGGAGCTCACACCATACTTCTGCCTGCCCAGGGTGAGTGCAGTAGCCTGGGTAGAGTAGACTGTACGGAGGGAAACAGCTTCGTCCTTAGAAGAAACTGTTAGCCCTCTATCTGCAGATTGAAAATATTTGGGAGTGGGAAGGGACCAAAAATGGTTTCTTGTCATCATTCCTAAGCAATACAGTGTAGCTACTATCTACATAGTGTTTGTATGCAGTCTAGAGAGGATTTTCAAATATATAGGAGGACCTGGGTGTTGTGGGTCAGTGTAGAGCGCATGCGTACTTAAACTCTTGAGGCCCTGGTTCCACGCCCAGAACCAAAAGAGAGCATGCTGGAAAACAGGTATCTCTGCAGTCCTAGGAATAGTCTTCAGAGATGGAGAGGTTGCTGGAGGTAGAGACACAGGCATCGTGGTGACTAGAGAGATTGCTACGACTTGTATTGTCTCCTAGGGTTGTTGGGAAATGGGGCAGCTGAGACATGGCTTGCAAAAAGGAGTCCTTGGTCATAAATTCCAGGGGTGCACTGTCCCCAAGATGGCTTTTAGGGGGATGGTGGTACCCAGCACCACACAGACCCACACCCAAGAGACTCAACCACCTCTGCCTGGTACTCTTTCTGACACAGGACCTTTTCCTCATGAAACGTCTAATGGCTTTGGGGGTACTAAAAGCAGTTGTAGATTCCTCCCCTCCCCCCACGAGTGAAGATGAGAAAACCCTTAGTGCTGGTTGCAAGCCTTTATCTGGGCACTGCGTCACACTAGTCCAGATGCTCCACAGCCTGAGGATGGCCGCTGTCTGTCTGTCCACAGCAAGGGCTGCAGCTCCTCTCCGGGTGTGTCTCCTGGAAGTGCCGAGGGCACTGGTGACCACCCTCCTCCCCATCCTGCATTCTCAGCTGTCTCAGGTCTGTGTTTTCTGTCTGCTAGGGCCTCTGGCCAGAGGGCCCTCCCTGGCTCATCTGCCTCTGTGTACTGCTAGGCTTTGCCTCCATCTCTGTGGTGACACATGTGTATTCTCAACCCTGCCTTTGGTTTTTTCAGGCCTAGCTCTGCTAGCCCCAGTGGGAAGCCCTCTGGATCAGCAGTTAACATGGGCTCTGTGCAGGGACACTACGTTCAACAGGTAGAAGATGGCTTTCCAGACCCTGCAGCCCTGGACACTTAGGCCTGTCTCCCAGCGCCAAAGGAGAGGGGACTGTCCAACTGATGGATGCTTTTTATTAAGGGAAACATGCCCTAGTGCTTAGAGCTGGGCTACCCGAGTCCCTCCTGGCAAAAGCACTTCTCTTGATGGGTGTCTGGATCATTCCTTGTCCTGCAGAGAAGGGAAGATACTGGTTCCCATAAGAGGTGACACCAGAAGGCATACTATCTCCGGCCATTTGGGGCTATCATGGCGCTCTAGGAGACATGGTTAGGCCTGGGTTAGCTCAGAGGCTGGGGAGCGTGAGCGTGCTAGCTCTAGTGAGTGGTATGGCATGTTTCTGTCTGCCTGGGTGGGATCACAGCCGGGGTGCGGCTTCCCCACTTTACAGTGAGGACTTCTCGGTGTCTTTCCCTGTAGTCCTTTTCTCTTCCTCCTGTAAAGCTGGGCTGGGGCTCCAGAGTTCAGAACCTCAGTTGGGCCTGGGGCTTAATTTGTCACTGGCAGGTGGAGGTGTGAGACTGATGCTCTCTTTGCACCCCCTTTCCTAGTGTTCCTTGGGGATCATTTCTCCTGCTGTGGAATGGGTTTCTAACCCTTTCTCCCAGAGCTGAGGGCCTAACTCAGGGATAGAAAACCTCCCTAGCATGTGTGAAACCCTGGATTTCATCCTTGGCATTGACAAAAAAAAAAAAAAAAAGAAAAACCACCCAACAAAGCTTCGTCCCAGAGTTTAGAACGAGTGAAGAGCAGACCCGCACTGGTCTGTGCAGAGCCACAGGCTAGTGGAACCCTGCCTGGAAATCTTGAGATCAAGTGTGGTCCTGGGAAAATGTAATTATTCAGAGCCACTTGGAATGGGGGCTTGACTGAATCATGGGCCAAGATCTGAGAGATCCAAGTTGGCTCCATCCCTCTACAGATAGGTGTGTGCCCGGGCCTGTGAGGTAGCTTGGCCTGCTGAAGGGGCTGTGTTTGCTTGCCAGTGGGGCACGGGGTGCACTAATTTAGAAAGGTCCTTCCCATCAGCCTTGGGACCTGAAATGCTTCACCCAAGACATGCTACTGCTGAGTTCTCTGTAGAGCCCGGGAGCCTTCCTGCCTCTGAATCACGCACTAGTGCCCATGGGAGGGGTCAGGGCAGTCCTGTCTGCACACCAGGCTCCCCCTGGTCTTTTGAGGGTAGCTTTTGGTCTGACTCGGGAGCAGGGAGGGAGTGGTCTCTACACACCTAGCCCTGCGGTCACTTTGATTTTCCTCTCATCTGTCCAAAGGCAAAGCGAGTGGATGACAAACCCGGCCTGGGAACCGTGAAGCTGCAGGAGGTCTCCTCAGCCGCCTCCCAGGTGAAGCGGACTGGAGCCATCAAGCCTCGGGCAGTCAAGGTGGAGGAGAGTAAAGCCTGAAGGTGCCTGGCATCTTTTGCCTCACCCTAACAAGGATGGTGCAGCACCGCCAGCCTGGACAGCCACCACCTGACCTGGGACCTTGCCAGATCCACCATCCCACTGTCCTACCACTTGGCCTGGACAGGCTCTCTTCCACTCCCGAAAGCTCCTGAAAGTTCCATCGTCAGCCAGCCCGCATCGTGGATATATGGCATTGACCTGCTTGCTTTGGTACAAGAGCAGACTCCCTCCTTCCCGCCCCTCTGCCCAGTGACTGTGGAGTGAGTCTCCTGTGCAGTGCAGACCTGCCCGCCCGCCCCATTCCCCAGGCACAGTGGTTTGGCAGCAGGGTCGTTTTAGCTGGAGGCTTTTTGTTTTAAAAAGCAGCTACGGTTTTCACAAAGGGGAAAGGAGAGCAAACTACTAGCTACGTCTGTATAGCTGAACTTTTATATGTCCCCTGCTGTCCTCTGCTCTGCTGTCCCCAATGGTCTCCTTTATCTCTGTCCTGTTTGACCTGTCACAGCACTACCTTAAGAGGTGATTCTTGAGAGTGCCCCCCCCCCCCCGCCCCCGCGGCCCCCCCCCCCCCCCCCCCCACAGTTGGCTAAGGATGTGAACAGTCCGTCTGGTTGGCCCCTCGATGCCTTGGGTGCCGTGAGGTTGGTGTCTGAGTTCAGTTCCAACCTCTGGCCTGGAGTTAAGAATTATTATCTGTTCTGGACCCTTCTGAAGTCAGTGGACACATCACGTATTGGGCACCAGAGAGGAATTGTGGAGTTAAGAGTCAACATTGTTTTCCAGATTGGCAGAGGTGGCCGAGTCCCAGGCCCCACTCGGGAACTGTGCATTTGAGGCTCTAAGCCTTAGCCCTCTGGGCGGCTGTGTTCCCCACTCATTTCCTTTCCTCTTCCTGCTCTGTCCCTCTGGATCCCTGTCCATCCATCCCTCACAGCTTAATCACCAAAATCAGTACAAGAACATAGATGGACACCTGTTAAGAGTCTGCAGCAGGAAAGGCTGTGAAGCATTCCTCGTGTCCCTCACTCCCAGCAACAGAGCAGGGTGTTGGGGGTGGTTGCCAAGTTACCTATCCATAGACACCTGGGCAGGGTCAAGGTATCAGGGTGGTTTCTTAGGACTGCCCCATGCACAGGTTTCGTGTGAGCTATATGCTGGGCTTCTGGCTTTCACTAAGAACAAGGAAATCTTCCCGTTGCTGGAAGGAAAGTCAAGGGGGGATTTCAAGCTGCTCAGCCCATTAGGATCCCCAGTTTACCACCACCTGCCTTGGAGAGCTCACCATTGGTGGCAGGGCTGGAACCAGCCTGCCTATCCTGGGTGGGTGTGAGAGCAGAAAGCATCTTAGGAGCTCTGCGGTGGCTTTGTGCTGCCTTGTTAGTTGTTCGAAGGAAGCAAGTCAGTTCCCCCAGCAGGTAGTGCCACACTGTCCCTAGGGTCACCCGGGCAGGGCGTCTTAGGAAAAGCTTCATTGCACCTGTAGCAGTCAGCCCTTCTCCCACCCTGCCTCTGCCCTCCAACCCTTATTCACGTGTCTTTGTCCCATCTCTTCTCGTCTCCCTCCTCAGAGGCACTGCCCACTTAGAGAGCCCCTGGCACAGATCTGCCTGCGGCCCTCATCTGCTGTTCCACTCGCCCTGGAAGTGTCTGGTTACTGTCCCAGCGATTGAGTCCTCTGCCCCACTGCCAAGTCTCAGTAAGAGCCACACAGTCACCTCTACCTGTCCTTAGAAATGCGGCCAGACCCACCTCACCTAATGCTGGTGGACATTATGTGTCAAAAGAAACAAACGTTTTTCTTCAGATGTTCACAGTCCAGGATGTGCCCTTTAGGTGAACCTGCTGTCAAAAGTGGCAGCACTTCCTGTTTGAGAAAAAGGAGGAGGTTGCCTATTACCAGTCCTTTCTCGCCCTGTATTCCCTCCTGTCTCCCACCCCAAATAAAAACAAGAAACACTAGAGTTTATTTATATGTATTGATGTTGTAGGTCTAGATGGAAAAAAAAAAAAGTAAATGTCCCACTGCTCTGTTTATATGTCTGAATTACTCTGCAGGAATGGCCAGGAGATTGCATGTGAAGTTTGCACTCACCACCTCTGTGGCCTCAGCTGTGGGCTCCTCCCTCTGAGATGCACATTTGCAATTAGAGACTCTGGGGACAGAGGGCAGGCTGCAGGCCTCCAGATGTCCCTGCCCTCCGTATGATCTGGTCAAGCCAAGTTTTTAGTGCAGAGACGTTTCAAGGTGCAGTATCTCTTCATGTGGTTTTTAGAGGCAAGCTCAAGGTGTAGTAGGACTGGGGACGTATTTTGGTTTCAAACCCCCATCTTCAGATCATAGATAAAACATAGGAGCTCTGTCAAGGTGCCATGGCCTTGGTGGGAGCAGGCAGAACCCAGCCCCCGCCTTTTCTACTGCTATGATGGGTGGAGGTGGGGCAGAATCATTTCTCCTGCCTACTGAAGTCACCTCCTGATGCTGGTGGCTTTGTTGGGGCCACTGATGGTGCAATCCATGGCGTGGCAACCAGGGATTCTTCAGTACTGTTGGTCCTGAAGGTACGTCCAGCATGGAATGTCTACTAGCTGAAGGCTGCTACCAGCTGCATTCAGTCTGGTTTCTTAACAGTTGCTTTCCTTGTCTTATTCCCAAGTTTACCAATTTCAAATCCAGAGTTCACTTCTGGGTCTAGATTCCTTGAGGGGGAGAACGAGGATGACTGTGTCCCACATTCTGAAAAGCTGGTTCATCTCTGAAGCCATGGTCACTGTGCTGCTGCTCGATGGCAGGATGACATGTCAATATTGGAGAGATGAAGTCATGTATGAGTGACACTCAAGAGTCCAGGGCACAAGCATGTCCCTGCTGAGGCCATGAGGCAACTCTGGCTAAGCCCACCCACCCCCACTCCCAACAGCCATTGGTATTCAGGTCCATTTTGCCCTTATTTCCAGCAATGCGAACCTGGGTTAGAAGGCCTGTTGGGAATCTTTTACAACCAAGGACACCAAAGTGTATCTTCTGTTGTATTTGAGTGGGAAATGGAGACTTCTAGAAAGCCAGCTTTCTGTGAGCTGGCTTTAAGACAAGTTAGTTAGGTCATCTGGAACAAAGTGGCTCAGTGTTGGGGGTGAACACTGTCACCTAGCTGTGTCAGCCCCCAGCTCTGGCACATGACACCTGCTTCAGACCTGCAGCATCCCCAGGCCCCATCTTTGGCATGTTACAATCCCACAGCAGCAGTTCCTGGAAGGCTCTGTGCAAGGCTCCTCAGTTGTTGAAAGGGGTCCTGTGCCCTCAGCTCTCAACCTCATACCTTTTATAGAAAAGGATTTGGGGGGGTTGTTCTTTTTGAGGGTCTTTGTCTTTTGCTTTTCCTCTGTCTTTTCACTTAGACCAGATATTTGAAAGGGCAGACGATGCTAACGGTGTGCTGTGCAGCTTGCTTAGACGTGATTGGGGAATCGCCACGGATGGGAAATGGAATCGTGAATTCACCCTCCCTTCCCTCCGGTTCAGTTCCCGTTGTTTCTCCTTTCAAATATGTGATTGTACTAGCTCTTTCCATACGAAAGAACTCTCCTTATTTAAATAAAAAAGTATAAAAAACAAAGCCACACATGCTTTCTCAGGTTGTGTCGGTTTTATCTCTCAGGCATGGGGAGATGGAAGAGTTCCACTCTTTCGTAGCTTACACACTAGGAGTGGCGGAAGTGCCTTAGCTGAGTGCAGCACTGTGCTAAGTTCCAAGGAGCCAGTCACCCAGGCTGGCGTCATCAGAAAAACAGCTTTTAATTACACTAGTCTCTGTGGGACTCTTTTTTTTTTTTTGTTTTTGTTTTTTGTTTTGTTTTTCGAGACAGGGTTTCTCTGTGTAGCTTTGCGCCTTTCCTGGTACTCGCTTTGGAGACCAGGCTGGCCTCGAACTCACAGAGATCCGCCTGGCTCTGCCTCCCGAGTGCTGGGATTAAAGGCGTGCGCCACCACCGCCCGGCTCTGTGGGACTCTTGTATGGCCTTTCATATGTGACTTTTGCTTGTCTCCCATAATTGTATTGGTTATCTTTAAACCTTAAGATGGTTCTCTGTTCTTTCGGGGTCTCTGGGAAGGCCTACTAAGTAAGGAAGGAGCTACAGATGATGCAAGTTGATGCATAATATTCAAGGACATTATGTAGCCTACCTTGCAGTCATGTTTTGCTTTTCCCTAGGTCTGAGGGACCCCTACCAGAGCATGGGGTATGGTTAAGGTGCACTTTAGAAATGGGCAGCACTGAAGCCCTGTCCTCCCCGGCTCACTCCTGTCTGGACTTCTGTAGGAACTAGAGGAGTGCACTGTACTGTGAAAGAACAGATGAGGTCTGGGGCAGGAAAGGGCCACAGGGATTCAGATGGTTCAGGCAGTTGTACTTGGCTGTGCCATCACTGAGATGTGTAACCTTGGTACAGGGCTCTCTCACTCTTAAGACACTCCCAAGTTCCTTATTTATAAAATGTGCTTTGTTAACCCTATCTACTGAAGGGGTGTGGGCTCAGGTCACTGGTAAGCGCATAGTGAGTTCTGGGCCAGCCAGGGTTACAGAGAGACCTGGTCTCAAAAAGAAAGAAAAAAAGGCAGTTTGCATGCGGAATCCCAATCCCTCAGACTCCAAAACCACTTGCTACAAAACTGGCAGGGATCTGGGCAGTGTAGTAACTACAGACAAGGCCTCCTGCAGCTGAGTGCCTACAGGCTGTCCTGAAGCACTGGCATGGTGTACATGCTCAGACTAAACCTCTGGGGCCCAGAGAGCGCTCTCCAAAGTCCCAGAGCCCTTTATCTACAGGAACTTGAGTAGACCATGTTCTCATGCATGAGCTAGGAACAAACTTTCCCTACATTTTTTAAAAATGGATTTTCAAGACAGGGTTTCTCTGTGTAACCCTGGCTGTCCTGGAACTCACTCTGTAGACCAGACTGGCCTTGAACTCAGAACTCAGAGACTCCCTGCCTCTGCCCCCCTGCTGGGATTAAAGGTGTGACACCAACTCCTACATTCTTTATGTAATTATTTTATGTGTGTCTGCATACCACTTGCATGCCTGGTGCCTGAAGAGGCCATCCTCTGAGCCCCTGGAACTACAGTTACAGAGGGTTGTGAGCTGCCATGTGGGTGCTGAGAATCGAACTCGGGTAGTCTTCAAGAGCAACGAGTGCTTTTAACCACTAAGCGACTTCTCAGGCATGCTACAGTCTGGATGTCATCCACTGCAGAACTTGTAAAAAATGAATTTTGACAAAAGAAACATGACTCGAAATCTGTCTGGGGAGATAGTTCAGTTGATACAGGCATAGCTTACCAGCTACCCATGAGTAGCTCAATTCGATGCCGAGAACCCACCTAAAAAGGCATGCTTGTAATACCTGCGCTGGGGAGGCAGAAGCAGTAGAAACAGAACCTCAAGGCCATCCTCGGCTACAAAAGTGAGCCTGAGACCCTGGGGGGTTGTGGAGGGATACAGACTAGTGTGAATAGAGTTGATGAGAGAAAAACGATCCACCACTATGCCCACAGCCCCAAGCGGCTTAGTGCACCCGTGCCCTCCCTCAGCCAGCGCGCTGGGGACAAGAACGCTGGGGTCGGCGCGAGACCCAAACACAGAGCTCCAAGCACGTGAAGAGCTCGTGGGAGAACACTGCCTTTTTAAAACACCGCAACGCGTGCGCTCAGAGTGCTGAGATGTGGCCGGACGGCTCGCTTAGGCCAGGATAGACCCCGGCTTCCACATTCACGCCGGTTGAACTCGCCGCGCACGCGCGCCCCTGCCCCTGCTCTCCTGCTGCGCACGCGCGCAGCTGAGGCCATCGGGCCGCGCAGGAACGACTAGTTGAGCGTCGATCGGTGGGCCGTGAGGATTGTCGAGCGGCCTCAGCCCCCAACGGTCGAGCCTGCCGGGCGGTTCGCAGTCGTGGCCCCACATGGGGAGCCACTTTGCAGGACTCGAGGAAACGCTAGTAGGTTTTGGAGTGCCAGATTCGAGAGTCCTGCTGGGGCTCTGGGATCCGGCTCGGGGGCGGCGCGCTAGGGTCGGTGGATGTTCCGGCGGAACAGGGGCGGTTCCAGGGCGGCCTCCGGATGGCAAAGAGCCCGGGTGGACAGAGTTGTAAAGAAGAGGCTCGGGGCACGTGCAACTCTAGGAGGAGAGGAATGCCCCCGGGAGCGGACGGGAAGGTCCGTCCAGGTCACAGGGTTATGACGGTACCCAGAGCTCACCAGAGGAGGGGTTAGTTTGCGGCCACACTGGGAAGGGACAGGAGAGGAGAGAGACATCATTCATTAGCAGCCTCGCTCCTAGCAAGTGCCCAGCAGGTGTTTATGGAATGACTTACAGAAATGAGTGAATGTCCAGTTCTGAGTTTACTGAATTCATCCCTCAAATGTCTTTATGTGGACCCTGTCCTTGAACACAGTAATCCTCCAAAAGGTATGTTCTAGAAGAGTCCTTCTGACGTGATTACTATGCTGTAATTCTCCCTGGGTGCATCGCGGAGCTAGGTCGCTTCAGGATCCTTGTAGTCTCTTTTGAACCTTTCCAGGCTGCTGTCCACTTTTAATGGGAGTTTCCCCCCTCTTTTCCAGGGTGTCCTCCCGGGCTTGCTTTTCTGCAAAATGTTGAGATTTTTGAAGCGGCCTCTAGTGGTGACTGCTGACATCAACTTGAACTTGGTGGCTCTGACTAGCCTGGGACTACTCACCCGGCTATGGCAACTCTCCTACCCTCGGGCTGTGGTGTAAGTGGAATTGGGGAGGAGGGTTTACGTCCAGGAGGCATTATAATTAGTGATCTGAAGCACCTTGCTATACAGTGCCAAGGAGAGAGAAATCCTGGGCTTCTGGGCCTCTTGGTGATGTATGTTTTAGCATGTAGACAAGTTTAACATGTACCAAGAGTAGCCATCACTAACAGTGTGGGTGTGGATGAAACCCCAGAACATCCCCTATCATGTATACCTTATAGGTCTTGCCCTGGAGGAAGGTAGTAAGAATAACTTGGTCTGATAATTAAGAACAATAGAAGAAATTCTAGTTTCCAGCCTTAATTTTCATTCTAAAGTTGGAAGGGAGCTGGTTTTGTTCATAAGGGGAGATGTAGTTATTATTGAAAGGGTGTTTATTAACTAATACAGGCATTCTCTTTTTATAGATGTTTTATATAGGCATTCTTTTTGTTATAGATGTCAAGTAGAATGTGATCCCTCTACAAATACATTACCCAGTCTCAGCAACCCCCCTATAGTAGATTGGTTTGAAGTCAGTTTCCAGCTGACTTCAGGTGAATGAAGAGCCAGGGTCAGATCCTTTGCGCTAACTGATCTGTTGTGTCCCCAAGCACTCACACACACACACACACACACACACACACACACACACACACACACAGTCATCTAACCTGTAAGAACACAGGGCAGGTTCTGCAAACACAATGAGCACTCAGGATGCCCGACTCCTGCAGATCCTAATTCTTTAGATTTTCTCGCCTGCCTGACTGTGTATGTGATATACAGGCACTATGTGTACGCATGTTCATGTGTGTGAGAGTACACATGTGTGTGTGCACGTGCATATGTGGAGGCTTAAGATTGTTGATATCCAGTGTCTCCTAGACATTATATTTCATTTATGAATAATTCAATATATACTAATGAAAGATGAGAATTTTTTTTTTAAGACAGAGTTTCTCTGTGTAGCCCTGGCTGTCCTGGAACTCACTCTGTAGACCAGGCTGGTCTCAAAATCAAAGATCCACCTGCCTCTGCCTCTTGAGTGCTGGGATTAAAGGTGTGTGCCACCGTGCCCATCAGGAATTAATTTTTAAGAGATAGAAAGAGTCTGCAGAAGCCAAAGAGGGTGTCAGAGCCTCTGGAGCTGAAGATACGGTATTTGGGAACAGCCTGACGTGAGTGCTGGGAGCTGAACTTGGGCTCTCTACGAAAGCACGTAAACACTGAGCCCCAAGATGAGGATTTTCCAGAACAAAGCTCACATGACCACGGTAGCATTGTCATGCCTGAGCACTGGTTCGTCAGGTCTCTCTCAGTGTCTGAGGATGTGACAGGCAGTTCTTGCTCTCACCTTGCAGCCCTTTCATCGGAGTGGTAGTTCTTCCGGAATTTATAGCTGTAGATATGTGTGAGGTTGCTCAGTCGCTTGGCCAGGACAGACCTAAATCAACAGCTGTGGGGAGGGTTGGGGAAATGGCCTAGTGGGTAAAGCATTTGCTCTACAAATGTGAGGACCAGGGTTCAGATCCCAGGCACTCAGTCAGATGCCATGTGGGCACTGTACCCCATCTGTAATCCCAGTGCACTGCTGCTGAGTCAGGGACTCGCTGGAGCAAGCTATCTAGCCTTACTATCCAAATGACAAGCTTCAGACTGAATGAGAGACCCTGCCTCAGTAGATAGAGTGGGAAGTGTTCAAGAGAGACACCTGGAACCTTCTCAAGGGCAGAAATCCAGTGCTGTTTTCTCAGGAGGTTTTCTTCTCCTGCCTGTGTTCACAATTGTGATTTCTAGGGAGCTGGAGAGATGGCTCAGTGATTATGAGCACTGGCTGCTCTTGCAGAGGACCCCAGTTCAGTTCCCAGCATCTACCGTCTAACTCCAGTTCTAGAGGATCTGATGTCCTCTTCTGCCCTCTGGGGACACTGCACGCATATGGTACACAGACATACATGCATAACACCCATACACAAAAAATGGGTTTTATTTATCTATTTGTTTTTCAAGACAGGGTTTCCCTGTTGGTCCTGGCTGTCCTGGAATTCACTTTGTAGATTAGGCTGGCCTCCAACTCATAGCAATCCACCTGCCTCTGCCTCCCGAGTGCTGGGATTAAAGACATGCCCACCACTGCCCAGCAAAAAAAATAACTTTTTTAAAAGCTTAACTAGCAGCTAAGGTTTCTAGTTGGATTAAAAAATGAGTTTTTGTTTGTTTGTGTTTAGTTTTGATGAAGTCTATTACGGGCAGTATATTTCCTTTTACATGAAGCGCGTCTTCTTTCTGGATGACAGTGGACCACCATTTGGCCACATGCTGTTGGCCTTAGGAGGTAGGTAAGAGAAACAGCCATTGTCTTTCAGGCCTTGGAATACATTAAGCTTAGCAAGTAAACCTTCTCAAGGGCAGAAATCCTGTGTTGTTGTTTTCTCACCTTATTTGGTCCATATTCCAAATTTTCTGTTTTAGGTTATTTAGGAGGATTCGACGGTAACTTTTTGTGGAACCGAATTGGAGCAGGTAAGGATTTTAACTTTCCCTATTAATCTGCACATGAAATAATGGAGACACTATGCCTTTCTTAAGAACCAACAATTGCCATTTATTAATCTGAACCAGGATATGATTGATTATTTGGGTTGAGTTCCAGGATAGCCATGGCTGTCACAGAGAAACCCTGTCTCAACAAAAAAAAAGAAAGAAAGAAAATTTTGGTTAATGGAGCTGGAGAAATGGCTCAGCAGTTAAGAACACTGACTTTTCTTCCAGAGGACCAGGGTTTGATTCCTAGAACCCACTTGGGGGCTCACAACCATCTGTAACTCCAGTTCCAGGGGATCTGACACCTTCTTTTGACCAGGCATATACAGTCATATATGCAGATAAAACACCTATATACATAGCTGGGCGGTAGTGGCACACACCTTTAATCCCAGCACTCAGGAAGCAGAGGCTAGTGGACCTCTGTGAGTTTGAGGACAGCCTGGTCTACACAGTGAGTTCCAGGACAGCCAGAACTGTTACACAGAGAAACCCTGTCTCAAAAAGTCAAAAAAGCCGGGCGGTGGTGGCGCACGCCTTTAATCCCAGCACTCGGGAGGCAGAGCCAGGCGGATCTCTGTGAGTTCGAGGCCAGCCTGGACTACCAAGTGAGTTCCAGGACAGGCGCAAAGCTACACAGAGAAACCCTGTCTCGAAAAACCAAAAAAAAAAAAAAAAAAAAGTCAAAAAAACAAAAAAACAAAATAAAAGACAAAAAACTTAAACAATAACAACAGCAACAAAAAAACACCCATATATAGATAGATAGATAGATAAGATAGATAGATAGATAGATAGATAGATAGATAGATAGATAGATACAATACATAAATAAAAATTAAAAAGAGAAAAGTCTGGTTAAAGTTTAAGTGTTTTGTGATTATAATTATCTTTGGTTCTTTGTGCATATGTCCTGTGATTTAAGGTGTGCATCAGCATGCCGAATGGTGAGACCCTGTCTCTAAAAACCACTCACCATAGAAATCCCGAAGCTCATTTTAAAGACTTTACTCCATGATTTCACCCTTAGCTGCTCATGTGCCTCCCAGCTTTTGAGAGTTTCATTTTAGGGTCTGTGAGCTGCTGTGTGTTAGTATGCATGTTCTCAGATCTGTGAACTGCTGTGTGTGTTAGTACGCATGTTCTCAGCTCTGCTGTGTGTTTCTACGCATGTTCTCAGCTCTGCTGTGTGACTCCCTTTCCAGAATACAGCAGCAACGTGCCAGTATGGTCCTTGCGCCTGCCGCCAGCCCTTGCTGGGGCTCTGTCAGTACCCATGGCCTACCAGATAGTGTTGGAGCTCCACTTTTCCCACTGTGCTGCCATGGGGGCCGCCCTGCTGATGCTCATAGGTAAACCTTGGCTCCCTGCCCGCCAGCCTTTGGCAGAGTACAGTGAAAAACCAAACACTGTGGCATTTTATCATGAGTCTTGGAGAGGCCTGGTGTTAGTGAGTGTACTGCCCTAGTGAACACATCTGCTTCATCCAGATTGCAGATTTGCCTCCACAAGACCCATACTTCTGGGCTGCACTCTTTGATGTAGGATTGATGGAGTATGAGGTCAGACTCTTATCAGAAGTGGAGATGTGAAGCCAGGCATGAGTGGTGGTGCACGCCTTTAATCCCAGCACTCAGGAGGCAGAGGCAGTGGACCTCTGTGAGTTTGAGGCCAGCCTGGTCTACAAAGCTAGTTCCAGGACAGCCAGGGCTACACAGAGAAACCCTGTCTTGAAAAACCAAAAAGAAAATAGAAGTGGAGATGTGGCAATAATAGCATATTAGAGGTGGGGGCTGCCAGACAGTGCTCAGGGCATGTATACACCGTGGCATGTGCATGCACACAGGCGCATACACACACACACACACACACACACACACACACACACACACACACACACACAATTTTTAAAACATTTTAATACCTAAAGAAAATAGCCCTGAGCTTGGGGATGTAACACAGTGGCTGGGCACTTGCCTAGCATGTATGAGGCCCTGGGTCCATCCCCAGTGCAAAAGCAAAGCTATGCCATGCTGGTTCTTGCTGAGCCTGTGATCCCAGCACCTGGAAGGCTGAGGTGGAACAGTCTTGAGTTGAAGTCAGCCTGAGCAATATAGCAAGAGTTTGTCTCAGTTTTTTTTTTCAATATTTCCTTCTGCATCAACTATGTAAAGTTTTCTTTCCCCCCATTGGGGACTGGAGAGGTAGCTCAGAGGTTAAGAGCACTTACTGGCCTTGCAGAGACCTGAGTTTGGTTCCTAGCATCCACATGGTGGCTCACAACCTTCTATAACTCCAATTTCAGGGGATCCCATGCCCTCTTCTGACCTCCATTGGCACCAGGCACTTGTGTGATCCACATACATACATGTAGGCAGACTACTTATACACATAAAATAAGTCTTAAATTAAAAAAGACAGCCGGGCGGTGGTGGCGCACGCCTTTAATCCCAGCACTCGGGAGGCAGAGCCAGGCGGATCTCTGTGAGTTTGAGGCCAGCCTGGTCTCCAAAGCGAGTTCCAGGAAAGGCGCAAAGCTACACAGAGAAACCCTGTCTCGAAAAACCAAAAAAAAAAAAAAAAAAAAAAGATTTTTCCTCTTGTTTTTCCCTTAATAAGACAGTAAAATAACTATGTGCCATTTATATTGTATAAGGGGTTTGGGGTGATCTGTAGATGACTTACAATGTACATGCAGCAGGATGGGTGGAAGTTTATATGCAAATACCTGTCTTTGTGCAAACCGGGCCTGAGCATGCATGGCCTGGCATCCTCAGAGGGTCCTTAGCTAGTCTCCATGGAGAGGCAGCTGCCTGCACCTCCTGTGCGCATGCTCAGTACTGACCACTGTTCGTCTCTGTCGCAGAAAACGCCCTGCTCACCCAGTCCAGGCTCATGCTATTGGAGTCCTTGCTGATATTCTTTAACCTCCTGGCCGTGCTGTCCTATCTGAAGTTCTTCAACTCCCAGACGCACAGGTATGGGAAGTGAGACAGCCTTCTGGTTAGGAGGGTTCTGGTGTCGCTTCCTGCTTTTTAGGCAGGGTCTGGCTGCAGAGTCTCCCAGCTCTGGGCGACTTCTAGTGTCTTTTGTCTTGAAGAGTTGCTTGCAGAATGCCTTTTGGTTACCTAATACTTTGGGTTAGCCCTTAGCCCATGATTTTTATTAGCTACATCCTTTGTAACTTTAACCTACAGTAAAATTTTTCTTGACAAAAAGAAAAATTCTTCTGAGCCCCCAACTGGGAGGTGGGGTTCTTTTTGTTGTGGCTGGTGGTCAGGGCTGGCCAACCTCCAGACTGCTCGGAGAAGCACACACTGTCCCTGAGCTGTAGGATGAGTCCTGGAAATGCTTCCTTGCCCTTCTGTTTTAATCCCAGCCCTTTCTCACTGCAATGGTGGCTGTGGCTGATGCTGACGGGGGTCTCTTGTTCCTGCGCAGTTGGGTGAGTTAGAGCCCCTGACTTGGACAGTATTCTTCCTGTCTGTGGGGTTGTCTGTCTTATAACCTTGTTTCACATCTGTCTTTTTCAGTATCAAATACATGGGAATTTTTACCTACTTGCTCGTGCTCAGCATTGCAGCTGTCCATGCCTGGAACCTGATAGGAGACCAGACCTTGTCAAATGTAGGTGGTGTATCAACACCACGTGAGTCTGTGTGTGGGGTTGGGGTGTAGAGCTGTCGTAGGGAGGAGCTGGCTTAAGGAAGTGGACCCTGGAGGCTTCAGGAGCGGGTGGGAGTGGGCCGCTTTCTGTGAGCCTCATGGAGGTGGGGCTTCTTAGTGCCCTTCCCTAAGCCTGCACGAAGTGTCTGAAAATGGTCCTGCTGCTCCACGGGTAGGAGACCTTTGCTCTCCTCCCTGGCAGCTCCGAGTGTTCAGTCACGTGATGGCCAGAGCAGTGGCCCTGCTGATTGTCCCGGTTGTCCTGTACTTGCTGTTCTTCTATGTCCACCTAATGCTGCTCTATCGCTCTGGGCCCCACGACCAAATCATGTCCAGCGCCTTCCAAGCCAGCTTGGAGGTAAGACACATGATGTCCAAGTCACTTCAGAACAAAGGTATTCCGAGGCTCAGAGTTTTTGCCTAAGCACTGTCGGAGCCGGCCTTGGTGGTTCTTGTAGCCCCAGAAGGAAGAGGTCCGTGGGTTGCCACAGGTCAGGGCAAGCCAGGGCTCCTCCAAACAGGACCCTGTTTTAAAAAACTAAATAAATGAGTAGATAGACAGACAGAGAGACAGATAAAAATAAACAGTGTCGAGTAAGCAATACAGTTGCGTGATCAGTGTCAAGTGATCCAGAAGTGAAGCAGCCTTTTGGTATTGCTTGAGGAGTTCTGAAGTTGGGATTGTGTGGGACAGTGAGGCTGCCTCTCAGTCTGACTTGCAGTTAGATGCCTCATGAGATGGACTCAGGCCTAGTGTGTGCCATGCTAACTGCGGGTTACAGAGCATTTTGCATTTTGGACTTTCAGATTGTGGGTGGCCCCCAGCCCCAGTCCCCCCAAAATTGGAATACTTCTGGTTCCGACATTTCGGATAAAGGCTACTGGCCTATAAAATGTACCGGGTGTGGTGAGGAATGTAGCCTGGAGCAGGCCTGCTCATGCCTCCTGGCTCTGCTGAGGCCCTGCATGTCACCACACCCTGGTCTCATTTCCTCAGCACTAGACACAATTGCTTGACTCTCACAGGATACCTGCAAAAGGAGTGTGTGCTGGAAGGGTCACCTGAATGCCTGCCAGGTAGTATGTGTGCGTGTGCGTGCATGCACGCGCGCACACACACACACACACACACACACATACATACACACACTCATAATTTGTAACTCAGTAGGACCCTAGTCTACGAGAGTTAGTTACAACTAATTATATGATGGTATTTGCCACTGCCCCATCTGTCACCAAGGCCAGTTGAGAATTGTTGGTCTCAGTCCAATGAGTTGGCTCCACAGGAAGAACACCTGCCGTGAGCCTGGCACCTCTCTCCATCTTGGGACCCACAGGGTAGAGGGATGGTTTTTCTCTTGAGCTCACCTGAGACCTTTTCTGTTTGTCTTAGGGAGGGCTCGCCCGCATCACCCAGGGCCAGCCCCTGGAGGTGGCCTTCGGTTCCCAGGTCACTCTGAGGAGCGTCTTTGGCAAACCCCTGCCCTGCTGGCTTCATTCCCACAAGAACACCTACCCCATGATGTAAGGAAAGTGACCATTTGAATTTGCGATCACACACGATTCTGTTAGTCACAGAATGTTCTGTTATCTCCCGGTTTGCTTATCTTGAGAGCTATCACTTTCTGTTATCGGGTTTAGAGGGACAAAGGCAGCAGGGCTCCGGGTCCCAGGCTCAGGATGGTTGTGGCACCCAGTGTGACCCAATAGGAGGGCTCTGGCATGCCATGTGTCTCCCGCAGTGGCCCGAGCAGCTCTGCCTGACAGTGGTGTTGTTTGGTCCCTGTCCTCTGGTCCCTGGGGCAGGCTATATTGTTGAGTGGCACAGCGTGCCGGGTGGTCTCTGCCGAAACAAGGGAGAGCAGAGCAGCCTGCGGGTCTCAACTGCCCGCTTCAGGTGCATTCTCTGTTGACGCCTCACACAGATATGAGAACGGGCGCGGCAGCTCCCACCAGCAGCAGGTGACCTGCTACCCTTTCAAAGACATCAACAACTGGTGGATCGTAAAGGACCCTGGGAGGTGAGTGTGGTTCCTCAGCTCACCACCCAGCGGTGGGTAAACAGTCCTGCCGAGCCCTGGGCCTCCTTTTCATCAGTGCTCCCTGACCAGGGACCTCATTCAGCCTTGGGGCTGGAGTATGTGCCTGTTAGTGTGAGGCCAGGGCCTGCTCTGGATCCTCAGTGACCTGCCCTAGCATCTCTCAGGAGCTGTAACAGGGCCTGCTATGGATCCTCAGTGACCTGCCCTAGCACTCTCAGGAGCTGTAACAGGGCCTGCTCTGGATCCTCAGTGACCTGCCCTAGCACTCTCAGGAGCTGTAACAGGGCCTGCTCTGGATCCTCAGTGACCTAGCATCTCTCAGGAGCTGTAACGGCCCAGGATTGGCCGCATTGCCCTTCCACACCTGTTCCCCTAGAGAAGGCCTGTGTAGGGGCCTCTCTACACCCCCCTGTGTCTAGGCCTAAGGAGTCTGCCTGTGAGATTCTTACCTTCTTACCAACATTGGGCTTCCACTCCTCACTGCCCACTCGAGTGTTGCAGCCTCTAAGAAACCCTAGACCAGGTACTCTCCTAGCCCTACCAAATGAGTGTTCTTGGCCTCTAGACTAGTTCCTGCCCTCAAGACTCCTACCACAGCCTCCAGGAACACGCTTACCATCCCCAGGCCCGTGCCATCTCTGCACTCACTGTTCTTCCAGGACTGTGAGGCCGGGTTCCTGGGGAGGCCTCCTAGGCCAGTCATCTCTAGGTGTGCCCTACCTCCGCTCGTCACTCTTCCCCAGGTTTCCTGTGTCCGTCTATGCTTGCTGGCTTGGTTTGCCCGTTCGCATGTCTGGGAGTGAGTGAGGCTGCCCTGTCCACATATGTCTGGGAGTGAGTGAGGCTGCCCTGTCCACATATGTCTGGGAGTGAGTGAGGCTGCCCTGTCCACATATGTCTGGGAGTGAGTGAGGCTGCCCTGTCCGCATGTCTGGGAGTGAGTGAGGCTGCCCTGTCCGCATGTCTGGGAGTGAGTGAGGCTGCCCTGGCCCGTCTAGCCTGTGTAGGACTTGGTAGGTTCTAAGAGTTTGGTGGCTTTTTTTGTTTGGTTAGTTTTGGTGTGTTTTTTTCTTTTACTTTCTTTTTAAGACAGCATCTCTCCTTATAGCCAAGTCTTGCCTCAAACTCCTAATCCCCTTGCCTCAGCCTTCAAGTGCTGGGATTACAGGCATCTTAATTTTTTTTTTTCTGGAGGTATGGAAAAAAGAGTATGTTGTCAACATAAGGATTTTTTTTTTTGCACCTAGTTTATTCTTCATAAACAAATATGACATTGGCAAATGGAGTCACATTTGGCAATTTGTAAAGTGACCTTAGTTTGAGAAGAGTTAAATGAAACATAAACACCTTGATTCTATGTAAAGTCACCTCACTCAAGGTATACATCATGGGGGTGCACACTCCCCAGACTTTGCAGCCTCAGCATTCCCAGAGAGTTTATGGTAAGAGGGTGCTGGGCGGAGTGCCACCCTGACAGTACTGTCTTCCTAGACATCAGCTGGTGGTGAACAACCCTCCCAGGCCTGTGCGCCATGGAGACATTATACAGCTTGTTCACGGCATGACCACCCGCCTCCTTAACACGTGAGTACTCGCCATGCTGGCTCTATCGGGCATTGCCTTTCACTCCCTCAAACACCCACTCAGCCTGCTTCCTGCATCCTGTCTTCCCACCTCTACCTCACTCCACTGAGGCCGCACTGGGCCCTTGAGAAGACAGAGTGGCTTCATTACTTCTCTGCCCACAGCCCTTCCTCTAGTGACTCCCTCAGCTCTCCCGCAGGCTCCTGGTGACCCTGGATTGTGTCACCCTGTTCATTTGGCCTCCCTGCTAGTGCTGCAGTAAGCCAACACAGCACCTTTGGGCATCCACACTCACTTTTCTGCTGAAATGTCCCTAAGGCTACCACACCAGAAATCCTGTCTGGGTACCGTCCTATCCTCCACGGCATTGGTGTGCTGCTGTCGAGAGGCTGCCAAGACTCTCTTTCTCACTGGGCCTTCATGGTGCCTCGTGCATCCTGGGATGAAGTGAGTCCTGCCTGAGCAGCCAGTGACAGGCTCCTTCTGGCCACTAAGGCTGAGTCACACACAGAGAGTCTGCTCTCCAGAAACTACTCTGCTTGCTGGCCCAAGGCTGACAGGACTGCTTTTTCTGAGTTCTGCCCCGCCAGTGACACCCCAGGGCCAGTTCTTTTTTTTTTTTTTTTAAAAGGTTTATTTATTTATTATGTATACAGTGTTCTGCCTGCATGTGTCCCTGCAGGCCAGAAGAGGGCACCATATCTCATTACAGATGGTTGTGAGCCACCATGTGGTTGCTGGGAATTGAACTCAGGACCTCTGGAAGAGCAGTCAGTGCTCTTAACCACTGAGCCATCTCTCCAGCCCCCAGGGCCAGTTCTTAAGACTCCTTCTTCCAGTCTCTGAGGCAGCCATTCTTTTCTCTGAGATTTGCCTCAACCTGTCCAAAAAGTGAATGACCCATTCAATTGTTACATCAACTCTGGACACACACGCCCTCACAGATAGCCAACAGGACAGTCTGATCTGGGCAGTCCCGTGCTGAGATTCCATTCTCAGAGGAGTCCAGGCTGTGTCATGGTGGTTATTAAAGTCCACCTCAGTGTGGCCTTTCCTGGATGTGTGGGAACCCCTTTCCAGCCAGCTTCCCCAGCCTCAGCAGGTAGACCCAGCTTTGCGTTGAAACCCTCCCCTCAGACACTGAGGGACAGCTCTGCTCTTCCAGGCACGATGTTGCAGCCCCACTGAGCCCCCATTCTCAAGAAGTCTCCTGTTACATCGACTATAACATCTCCATGCCTGCCCAGAACCTCTGGAAACTGGTAAGTTCCACGTGGAGTGCTGGCTGGTCAGTGGGACACCCGATTTCTACCTCGGAGCACCCAAAATGCTCCTTTGGATAATGGATTCTGATGTAGAAGGAGACAGGGAGCTTGCATTCACAAAGCAAGTCTGAGATGTTCCCACGGGGAGCTTCACTTCCTCAAGTCTGGAGTCCTCCAGGGCCTCAGGAAGGGATAGGGAAAGTTCCAAATGCTGTGTGGACCCTGTGAAGGCCTTTGGATCAGGACTCTTACAGCTGTAGCTGCTTCCTGGCCCGTTCATTAGTCACCCTCTGCTCTAGTCCCATTCAGTTGTTGTGCCAAGTACCATGACCAGAAGCAACTTAGAGGAGGAGAGGGAAGTCAGCAGTTCATCCCTGAGGGAAGTCAGGGCAGGGACTCAAGCAGAAACCATGGAGGAGTGCTGTTACTGGCCCACTCCCGGACTGATGCTTAGCAAGCTTTCATGTACAGCCCAGGACCACCTGCCCAGGGAATGGTGCCTCCCACAGTGGACGGGGCCTCTACATCAATTAACCATCAAGGCCATGCCCTCACAGACAGCCCACAGGACAGTCTGATCTGGGCGGTCCCGCAGTTTAGACTCGGTTCTCAGAGGAGTCCAAGCTGTGTCACACTGACAGTTAAAGCTAATAAAGACACCCTTTCACCAGACATGAGCTCCAGCCACTCTTGGGACCTAGGGGAAGCTTCTCAGCCAGTTCTCAGGAGTAAATAGAGCCTAAGCAGTTGCCTGGTGAGGGGCTTGGCCATCAGAGGGTGATTACTGAGGCAGGGGCCTGCAGTGGCCTTCACTTCCGGTGATGGTCACTTGCTCCCCTTCAGAATCAGGTCTCCTGGAAAAGTTGCTGAGCAGAAAGCCTTGTTACTGGCCCACAGAGTGAGTCCTGAACCGCTTCCGGCCTGAAGTCATTTCCTAGGAGGAGAGGTCATACTGTCCTAGCTTCTGATTGGCCGCAGCAGTCAGCCCTGATTACTCAGCTTCTCTCCCACTTTGGACCTACCTCCCTCGGGAGTCCCATGCCAGTTTGATAAGGCGCCTCTTGCCAGTTCCCTCAGCAGAGCTGTCCGAGGACTTTTCTTCGGCATGTCTGGCACATCTCTGCCGCTTTCCCCTTGTCTGTGCTGTGCATGTTTGTAGCCTCTCTGTTCTCCGGCCTCCTGAGCAGGCCTGCCTGATGACGGTCCTGTGCCCCTTCTCATGGGACTCTCTCTCAGTAGGAATGATGCTGAATCTCACAGTGACCTCCCTGCTACCGTGCTACTGATGGCTCCATCGCTGACACACACACACACACACACACACACACACACACACACACACACACCCGCCCACTTGCTGGCAGCCCTTTGTGTACCACTTGGTACAGGTCAAGTAGAGACCCCAGAGAAGGCGAGCAGGCCTCAGAAGTGGCCACCCAGCCCAGGATGTCTTGCCCCCGCTCAGCCTCTTTTTTTTTTTTTTTTAATTTATTTATTATGTATAGTGTTCTGTCTGCACGCATCCCTGCAGGCCAGAAGAGGGCACCAGATCTCATTACAGATGGTTGTGAGCCACCATGTGGTTGCTGGGAATTGAACTCAGGACCTCTGGAAGAGCAAGCAGTGCTCTTAACCTCTGAGCCACCTCTCCAGGCCCCACCCCCACCCCACCCCATCCCGTTCAGCCTCTTGAGATCTGTGGTTCTCATCATGAGAACCTCATCGATGAGGCACGTATCAGGCTGTAACAGGCAAAGAACTACCAGGGGCAGGACCTGCCCTGAGCCAGTCTTGGGGGCTGGGGGTTTTGACCTCTAGAACCACCTTACACTGGCCAGATAGTCTAAGAAATTCTGTTTTGGCTGGAGTTCTGAGTGCCCTTGTAACTGACTAGACGGCTTTTGAGTGTCTGTGGGAAGAGCCTTTCCTGCAGCCTCTGACAAGGACAGTGCCCTTTCCCTGTGGCTGGCTCAAATGCTGTATAGTAAGGTACCCAGGCCGAAGACTAGCTAGCATCATGTGCTTCCTTTGTTTGAGGACTCATCAGCCTAGCCGGGACCCACACTGGTTTCATAGCTGTGTGATTGGTAAAAAGGCGAAAAGGCCGGGAAGCGATGGGTGGCCAGTCTTTAGGTTGACATTTAAGGCAATCTGAAAGGAATGAATAACTGACTAGATATATTTGGGTTTATCCTGGTTTGTGGTGCTGGGGATGGTCCTCACAAATGCTAGGCGGGTGCTCCGCTGCCGGCCCCCAGGCTGACAAGATCTCCTTCTGCAGGACATTGTGAACAGAGAGTCCAGCCGGGATACCTGGAAGACCATCCTGTCTGAAGTGCGCTTTGTGCATGTGAACACGTCTGCCATCTTGAAGGTGATGAAAGTCATCCTGTGTTCATAGTCCGTACAGCGGCAAAGAATCCTGGGAAGGCCTGGGGCAGGGGTCTGCTGACACATTGCTGGGGTTAGCCAGCTTCCTGTCATGCTCATTCCCTTTGTTGGTTTTGCTAGCTGAGTGGGGCTCACCTCCCTGACTGGGGGTTCCGGCAGCTGGAGGTGGTTGGGGAGAAGTCACGAGGCCACCACGAGAGCATGGTGTGGAATGTGGAGGAACACCGGTATGGCAAGAGTGAGTGGCAAAGCCTGGGTCATGGGATTTGGTTGTCCTTGTGGATCTCACGGCACTCAAGGACTACCAAAACAACAGTGTTGGTTTGGAGGGACCTAAGCCCTCCATTCTGTTTGGCTGACTCTTGCAGTGGTCCATGATTACATGAGGTGTCTGTGCTGAGGGAGTGGGGGTGGAGACTGGGATGACAGCAAATCATGCATCCCGGGGTGCACAGTCCTGACTTGGCAGGGGCGTTGGGGTGTGGTAGGAACCAAGTGGAATGACACGGTCTGCTGAGGTGTCCTTGTGGGTTATTGGAAACACGGGGGGCAGCCATTGTCCTCAGCTCTTCAGCCCCACTGAGACCCTTCCCTGGTGTCCGTCCACTCAGGCCAGGAGCAGAAGGAGAGGGAACTGGAGCTACATCTACCCACTCAGGTTGACATCAGCAGGAACCTGAGCTTCATGGCCAGATTCTCGGAACTGCAGGTGACAAGTGGCAGGAGGGACGCCATCCTCCAGCAGGAGCTGATTTCTACTGGTGAAGGCACTGTGTGCTGCTGAGCCCTGAAGTTCAAAGTCCTCCAGCCTGGAGCTTGAGGCTCTGCAGCAGAATGAGTGTCTCTCCCTTCTGCAGGCCCATGAACCTGCGCCCACAGTCAGGGACAAGGGGTTTCTGCACCAGTGTGACATTGTAATAATGTCAGGGTGTCTTAAGGCCTCCCATCAGGTCAGTTGGGTTACATTCAACCAGCAGAGCCCTAGATAAGTCTGGCAGACTCAGAGAGTCGATGGCATGGCTCCTGTCACTGTCTGCAGAGCAAGTGCTGATCCATGAAGTTGGGGCATGCCCCGGAGCCGTAGCTCTGCAGCACTTGCCAGATGAACTTAGTCTGGGCAGCTGACACACAGGGGACAGTAGTTGAGTCACACACCTTGACACTGTGGCAGCTGGAGGCGAGGTCCTCCTCTGCAACCTATGCTTTGTCCTGTGGTAGTGGAAGATGCTGACGCTGAAGAACGAGGATTCAGAACACAAGTACAGCTCCACCCCGCTGGAGTGGGTCACCCTGGACACCAACATCGCCTACTGGCTGCATCCCAGGACCAGTGTAAGCGAGCATGTGTGAGCCCCGGTCACGTTCCTGGAGGAGGTGTCCTGGGTTTCTCCAAAGCGAATGCTCAGAATTTGCTTTTTTTAAAATTTTTTTTATTTTGGCCATTGGGCAGTCCAAGGCCTGAACTACTCATTGCCAAAGAGCAAGGCCTCCCTCTCAGACGGTCTGTTGAGGGAATCCATGATTAGCCTTCGTGGAAGCCCACCACTACTTCATTCAGACAGTTTTCAGTATTTTCCCTGCAGCACCTGACCAGTAAACTGGCCAGTGCTGGCTGGGTTATGTTGTATGTGTGATGTATGCTAGGCTGTGTATATATAGTATGTATGTTATGCTGTGTGATGTATGTTATGCTGTGTGATGTATGTTATGTGTGTATGTTATTCTGTGTGATGTATGTATGTTATGCTGTGTGATGTATGTTATGTGTGTATGTTATTCTGTGTGATGTATGTATGTTATGCTGTGTGATGTATGTTATGTGTGTATGTTATGCTGTGTATGTATGTTATGTTATAGCTCTGGTTATGTTGCCTCTGCCATGGCAGACTGGAAGCAGCATGGAGAGGCATGGAGGCAGAGCTGGGCAGATCACCGAGTGAGTAAATGCTAAGACTTCCCCAACACGCTTGTTCAGTGGAATTGAGGGCAGTCACCAGAAAGTGAGGGCACGTGGAGCAAGTCCCAGGGCTCCCCCACAGCTGTGTGTATACACAGATTCTCTTTCCGGTTATGACCTTCCTGTGAGTAACTGTGTTGTTGAATGAGGAATCCCAATCCAGGCATGGTGGCACACATTTTTTTTTTTTTAAGAACTATTTATTTTATATACAATGTTCTGCCTGCACGTCAGAAGAGGGCACTAAATCTCATTATAGACAGTTGTGAGCCACCATGTGGGTGCTGGGAATTAAACTCAGGACCTTCGGAAGAGCAGCCAGTGCTCTTAACCTCTGAGCCATCTCTCCAGCCTGGTGGCACACATTTAAGACAGGGATTATATATTTGAGGCCAGGCTGGGCTACCTAGGAAACAGTCTCGGATGAACTGGGGTTGTGGATAAATCTCAGTGACAGTGTATGTGAGCACGCAGAGCTCCGGATTCATTCCCAACACCCCAAATCTCCATTACTCCTAATTTTCAGTTTTGACAAACTGGATTTGAAAACATTAATGCTTGTCTTGAAAAGTGGCTGGGGCCGGGCGGTGGTGGCACACAACTTTAATCCCAGCACTCGGGAAGCAGAGGCAGGCGGATCTCTGTGAGTTCGAGGCCAGCCTGGACTACAAAGTGAGTTCCAGGAAAGGCACAAAACTACACAGAGAAACCCTGTCTCGAAAAAAAAAAAGAAAAGTGGCTGGGAACAAGTTTGTCCAGATGTGTCTAGGCTAGAGTTCCAGATGTGCCTGTGTACCTTTGGACTGCTGAAGTATGTTTGGTTTCTCTCGTGACCATTGCCCTCCACTTGGGGTGAGGGGGCAGGTAGCGAGCAGCTCCCTGTGATTTCAGGCTCAGATCCACTTGCTTGGAAACATCGTGATCTGGGCTTCAGCCAGCCTTGCCACAGTGGCCTACACCCTACTCTTCTTCTGGTACCTGCTCCGCCGGCGAAGGAGTATCTGTGACCTCCCTGAGGGTTAGTGTCCTCACAGGATGGGAGCACATTATGCATAGGTGACAGCCAGCTTTACTAGGACCCAAGACCCTGGAGCCCCTGGTTTTCCAGGTAGGGGCCCTGAAAGAAACCACACCACAATTGAGACTTCTTTAGCAGAGAGCACACAGGGGACAGAGGCTTAGTTCTTGGTTGCCTGCATGCACCAGGCACGCTGGATGAGGTCCAGCAGTCAGCAGGAGGCTTAGAGGTCAGTGGTTGTATGCAGCTAACAGAAATGCATTCAGAAAGAAAACCCAAGCACTGGCCCACCATCGCCCTGTAACCTCCATCCCAGAAAACATGGTCCCTGCTTTCTACTGACTTTGGCTACAGTTCTGGGCTGGTCACAATTGTAGCTCCTTTGTAGCTCCCTGAGGAGCTGAGAACAGAATTCTCAGATGAGAGCAGCCTGTCCTTACACTGGTCATGAGCTAAGGTTGCAGGGAACCTCGCAGGGCTGGGCTGGGCCTCACCCTGAGCCTGGGCCTTGCAGACCCAGGAGCAGCAGCAGGGTCGTCCATCAGTCCACTTAGTCCTGGGGGTCGGGGAGTGAGGTGCTGAGGACAGCATGTGACTTTGGAATGAGCTCATGGCTAGCAGGCCCAGTGGTAGTGCTGCTCTGAGATATACCCTCCCACAGATGCCTGGTCCCACTGGGTGCTAGCTGGAGCCCTGTGTACTGGCGGCTGGGCGCTCAACTACCTGCCCTTCTTCCTGATGGAGAGGATGCTCTTCCTCTACCACTACCTGCCAGCACTCACCTTCCAGATCCTGCTGCTTCCGATCGTCCTGCAGCACGTCAGTGACCACCTGTGCAGGTGCGGGCACAGTGGGCCTTAGGGTCGTGAAACTGGGGAGAGGCTTAACCACCTGTGGACCAGCATTCCAGGACAGCGGCAGCTCACTGCCCAGACTTGATGGGATGTGGCAGATAGAAAGCTTTGGGTTAGCGTAGTGTGGTGGTACCCACGTTTAATCCCAGCACTCGGGAGGCAGAGGCAGGCAGGTCTCTTGTAAGTTCGAGGCCAGCCTGGTGAGTTCCAGGACAGCCAGGACTGATACACAGAGAAACTCTGTCTCAAAAAAGAAAAAAGAAAGCTTTGGGTTGGAGCAGAGGGCCTTGATGTGGAGGGCATGGAAAATACCTCTGGCATTGTGTGTAGAGCCATGGCAAATCCAGGAGCAGGATGAGGGTCATGTGCGATGTATCCAGGCAGATAAGGTTTGGTGGGGCACAGAGAAGCAGGGGAGATCTAAGGAACACACAGGTAGAGGCCACAAGTGTGTCAGCAGGTTCCTGGGAGATGGCCGGGCAGGGATGCTGTGGGGAGGCAAGCCAGATGTTCCAACCTCACTCTCCCTGTTGCCCACAGGTCCCAGCTGCAGAAGAATGTCTTCAGTGCCCTGGTTGTAGCCTGGTATTCCTCTGCATGCCATGTGTCCAACATGCTTCGTCCACTAACCTACGGGGACACGTCCCTCTCACCAGGAGAACTCCAAGCCCTTCGCTGGAAAGACAGCTGGGACATTCTGATCCGGAATTACTAGCTCAGAAGAGCGTGGAAGACAAGCATGCAGAACAGGATCTAAAACGTGTTTGTCCCCCACCAGCAGAGGTCTCAGCAGTCAGGGACTGGCTGGGTCCAGGAAGGACTCCAGGGATTAATTACGATTTCTCCTGAAGAGCCACTGGTTTCTCATTTGAGTGATTTATTCCTCTTCACACAGTGAAGACTATGCCCACAGCATCACCCATGAGGCCCACCTCTGACCAGCCAGTGTTTGAGCTGCCAGCGTAGGAACCACCAAGGCAGGCAGGAGCACCCGGCCAGGGAAGGAGTGGACAGGACTCCCGTGATGAGCCTGAGCGTCCCACCAGCTGTGGGGCACCAATGGGGTCTTGGCCCTGCCTTTCACAAGACCTGCAGCTACCCCAAACAACTCACTGAGGTACAGCGGACCTGTGTAAAGCCTACTTGGAAATCTGACAGTGCATTAACACCAAGACTCCTCATGATCTGTATTTTAAAAACCCCTTCTGGGAAATTTCACCAAATGTCTTCACTTGTCTTCCAGCCAAGATGTTATCCATACACTTCCTTGCCTTGAATTTGCCTTTCCTAATGTAAATAAAAAGGAACAAACTGATAATCGTTCTTTAGTGTTATTTATTGATTCTTCCTCCAAAGAGGGGTTTCAGTTCAACAAAACCAGTACAGCACTAACAGAAACCAGCCCCTGAGCTCAACACAGCTCAGCTGCTGTCATGAGTGGGAACCACGGTTGTATTTAACAAGAACAAATGAGAAGTGTCTGTGCCAAAGCCTGTGACAATAGCAAAGGACACTTCCAAAAGGGCCATCCCGTGGGAGGGGAGACAAACTTGACATCATAGAATGGACCATTTGGGAAGCCATGAGCTCAGGTTGGGTGTGCAGGAGACTGGCTGGCTTTAGGCAACCACGGTCATGTGACTGTTCTGCACTTGGTGCTCCCCTACCTGGAGATAGCCTGCCCTGGCATGCTCACCATGAACTATACCCAAGTGGCTTGTACAGACAGCCCTTGGGGCTTGGGCTCCCTGCAGAATTGCGAAGACACTATTTTAGCCATAGGAAACCTGATGGCCTGCTTCCATTTATCCTACAATCCAGGCCCCAGGATACCCAGGAGTTCCTTGCATCAAGTGTAATGCTGCTTAGGGTCACATGAGTAGACAGATTTAGGGTTCCTTCCTGCCTCAAGCTCCTTAGACTGGACGATAGACCACTTGGAGGTGTTAAACTAGGTTCATTGGTCACAAACAGCCTGCCACAAAACAAATAAGGATATATAACGTATCTTCAAACTTTACTTCTGCAACATGTACATGAACCACATCATACTGAGAAGCACATCACTGTGGTTCACTATCAACGCCAGGCCAGCAAGGCCAGCCAGTGCCGGGGCTGTTTCCTCAGTTGCCCCATAATGTATGTCCTGCATCCCTCTGGAAGCCCGCACCATGGGCTTTCTTTGCAGTTTGGGACACTTCTCAGTGACCCAGAAACCTGTTGGCCTCCTCCAATGAGAGGAAGCAGAGGACACTGGAATGCTCTGTCAGCATGAATCTGCCCTTCCAAGCAAGGAAGGCCTTGGTCCTAAATGCTGCCACTCTAGATCATGCTGAGAGGAACCCCTGACTGTGCTTTTAAGGGCAAGTGGTTGTCCCCAGGCTCAGACCCTTAACCATGGGTCTGTGGGGAACCTACATATGCCGGTCTCAGTGGGGCCTGCTGCTGGACTCCAAGTGTGAGCGCTTGCCAGTGGCCAGCACCCCAGGGTGATCTCCTGGCTCAGGGAAGGTCCTCTTGTAGTTGCGCCCATTGGGCCCTCCTCGGTGCCGCTTGCACAGGTCACCGTTGAGAATGTCCTGGATGTGCTGGACGATCAGGTTGATGGCAACTGCAATGAGACATGGGAAATGCTCATCACGTTCACTCCTGGAGCCCTTGCGGCCCGCCCTCACTCCTGTACTCTGCAAAACACTCAGCATGCAGGAAAGCCACTGTGCCTTCCTGCCTCCCAGCAGTCCCGACCTGCCTGCCTGCTGATGTCTCAGCGGACAGAAGGCACACAACTGGACAGGTGCAGCAGAACTCCTGGCTTCTGTTGTTGACAGCCTAACAAAAACACATCCCAGTGGCCTGACAGGCCCCGCCCAGCAGCTCTGGGTGTTTGGAAAGTACACAGACCCCATGTCCCAGATGAACGTTGACAGGCTCCATGCACATACTTGGGAAGCCTTGGTAACCAAGGCAAGTGGTGGCAGTCTGCTTGGGAATAGGGCTGGGGGTTGCTTACCCATGTTGTCAACTCCTCGAGGGATGATCACATCAGCATACTTCTTGGTCTGAAAGACACAGAGGGGTCTCCTGAGGCTGTTTCCTCCAGGGTGACTTTAAGGTACTCAGGAACAAGGGATGAAAGCCTGGGTGTTGGCAGCACCGGCAGGTTGGAGACAGCCTTATACAAGTGCGAGATGGGGTCTGAACAGTGCGGCAGAAGATTAAGCTGGAGTGAACTTGCACATCAGCGCCCCCACCGTTTGCCTAGTCACAGCTTACTTGCTGCGCTAGGTAGGTGTGATGCCTCCCACAGTTCTTGGCCTCTGAAATTGGGACTGAAGTCTGCAAATGCCCTACCTATAAAAGTGAGTATGACAGACAAGAGATGTGCCATGCGCAGGCCTCTTAGCCGGCCCTGCACGGTGTGGAGACGTGCATGGCACCTGCATGCTCTCACTACCGATTTGTTCTGATGCCAGTGAGACTCCAGCAGTCACCTCTGAGGAAAGCAGAGGGAAAGATGTGGCTGAGGGGACACGGCGGAACCAGGCAAAGCCCAGAGGGTGAGGCACACTCTTGACCCAGGCTGATACTGCCAACCTGTGTGTTTGGGTCAAGGAGGCCTGTCCCCTGCAGCAGATAGGTTTGGGAAGGCAGTAGAAACCCTTGCCGTGAAAGGGAAGAGCAGACCTTGGCTGGGACCCACTCTGGCAGTACCGTTGGTGAGGTGAAGAGGGGCTGAAACCCACCCACTTCCCCAGCAGGCTGGGAAACGCTTTTGAGGGGCTGGCTGGCTTGAGGGGAGGAAACCCTGGGGAGGTCAGCAGCACATGGGTCAGGGAAGGGAGGTTGCGGGCTGCTCAAGAGGCTGGTCAGATGCAGGCCTCAGGGTTTCGCTGCCTGCTCAGCACCTACTCAGCAAAAAGCCCATGAGTCGAGACTGCAAGGGTCTGCACTTCACACATTCCTACTTTGCAGGAACTTCAGAGAGCGTGAGTATTAAAGAAGAAACTCTTTTAGCCAGGGGTGGTAGTACACTGTAATCCCAGCACCCAGAAGGGGCTCTTTTGGTAGCAGCAAATGGAACTTATTTATCCTGTTCTTGATAGTTCTGCTTCCTTTACTTTTGGGGCCGCGGGCAGTCTCCTCATTTCTGGGGCATGTGGTGGGACTCTCCATTTATCTCTATCTGGCCTGGAATGTACTATGTACACCAAGCTGGCCTTGAACACATAGAGATCTCCTGCCTCTGAGCTCTGGGATTAAAAGCATGCACAACCATGCCTGGCTTTTATTTTCACCTTCAAGTGATAAAATACTGGGGGCTGAAGAGATGCTCAGCAGTTAAGAGCAATTGTGCTCTTACAAGAGGACTCAGTTCAGTTCCCAGCACCCACATCAGGCAGCTCACAACCGCCTGTAACTCCAGTTCCAGGGATCCCACACTCTCTCCTGGCTCCTCTCTCCTGAACACACACATGCACAACACACACACATACACAAATACATTTTTTTAAAGAGGCAAAACACTATTAATAAGCTTCTCTTTAAAACACTTCAATTTGACACAGCATGATGGCTCACACTTAGAATCCCGGCACTCAGGAAACTAAATGTAGAAGCCTGCCATGAGATCAGGGCCAGCCAGGGCTACAACCCTCAGCTCCCCACCACCTTACTCCCTCTCTGAATTGGGTAAAGCCACAAATTGACCTCTAACTCCAGAAATACAAGATGAGTCATCAGGGATCTTAGCATCTGATCACAGCAGCCCAAAGGACAGTTAAAGCACCCCACAGCTACTTCAGGCAGTGAACAGTCAAAAGTCCTTACAGAGCAGCTCCAAGGGGAACGAGCAAGATACACAAGCCAGGCTTTGAGGGGAACAGCCAATGCATGTGCACCAGGGTCTAGCCTGAGGCAAATAGGCCAACAGTGCAGACAGGGAGAGGTGGGCAGAGCGGAGACCCATTTTCATTTTTGAATGGATGAAAGCAATACCGGCAGGCAGAACTCCTCAAAGGCTGGCTTCACAAAGGTGGTGTACTGGGTCAGAATCTGCTCCAGGTCCCTCCCTCGGTGCACATCCCGGAGAACTGTAGCAACAGGAGCAAGGCACCACCATAAGCCCTCCTTGGGACTCCTGCAGCACCCGAGCGCAGTCAGGGACCTAGAGGCCCTTACCTCTTCGAGACAGTCTAACATCCGAGTCTGTGTCTACAAAGAGACGCAGGTGGAACATGTCCCGGATCTCCTGGGTGTAGAATACCAAGATGCCCTCGAACAGAACCACGTCAGCTGGGTAGACCACTGTGGTCTCTGACAACCTACCAGGGAGAGGCTCGCTTTAGTGACAAGGGCCCTGATGACAGGAGAGTCCACAGAAACAGACTGGGGCGGAATCCACCAGAGGACAGTGTGTAGACAGCCCTCTCACTGCCCCCCCCAACTACGTGCTTACCTTGAGTGGGTCACAAAATCATAGGTGGGGACCTCGACAGTCTTGCCTTCGACAATGTTTTTCAGAGTCTTGTGCATCAGATCGTTATCAAAAGCATCTACAAAAACAGCAAGAGGCCAGACTACCCAGCTGCCCTGGTGGAGCAGCCGGAGAGAACCGCCTCTGTCCAGAGTCAGCACAGCTGGGAGCCAGGGCTGCTCAAGACCCCACAACACACCACAGGATCAAGGATCAAATCGTCCCAACAGGAACTGGGACAAAGACTTTCTGATTGGCTAGCACTGGGGGGAAGAGAGATGACTTGGGCCTCTGCTCTCTGTGTCTGGGAAGAGCCAGTTAAAAGTGTTGTTCTCTGACCTTCTTGTGTCCCTGGAAAAGCTGAAACTTTCTAGGCACCCTCCGGACCAGGAAACAGCTCCAAGGCCTGGGCACCAGGTAAGCCTTTGCTTCTACTACCGCCTCTCTGAAGACTGCCCCTAGACGGTTGGGGAATCCATAGGTCACCCAGGCAGTAGGGTGTGCAAAGAACCCCTTAGCAGCAAGGTGCAGGGAGGTGATGTCAACACATCGAGAAGTGATCCTGAAGACACCTCTGCTACCTCCTTCCAAGTGAACTAGACAGTCTTGAATGCTCCAGGCCCACAGCACTTAGCAAATCCTCCTAACCTAGTGGGTAAAGGCTTCATGAAGCCTCACCGCTTCTGCCTTCCAATACAATCCCCACCTCGGCAGTCGGTATCAGCGGTTCTCCCTGTACAGCCTTGGTAGCTCTGCATCCTACATACACTCTCCTGTACAGCCTCCCACGGCAGTCTGCACCCAGCAAACAGCTCCGAGAGCCGCTGATCTGGCAGCCTGCATCC